AGGAAGAGCAATATAAAACCAGCATAGGAGGATTTCTATCTGTTTGTATGATAGCTACCATCATCAGCTTCTTTTATTCCAATATCATTAACTTTTTTGCCAAATTAAACGTAACATCTACACAAGAATTCAAATTTGCAAACAATCCCGATAACTTGATATTGGATAAGTCCCACTTTATGTTTGCTGTTTAGATTGAACAGGATAATTTCACAACAAATCCTTTCTTTAATATCACTGTTGAATAGCGTCATTACCATCGATTTCCCAATGGTACCCAATATAGATACCCAAATGTATTAATTGACTTAGTACCATGTACATTGGAGCACTTTTCACATCTCTTCGATTAGTACAATGTCAATTTTACAGATCAGTTTGAGTAGTAAAATTTAGGAAATTTCCTGTGTCCAAATCAAAACTTTATACATAGTCAGAATATGACCGTGGGAGGGGTTTGGGCAAGTACAGATTATTACTTCTTGAAGTTCTCTGTGACCAATTGTGTAAATTAATCAAATAGTAGTCTAACTTGGAACCCCACGTGTAAATCCGCAGATGAAATTAAGAACACCTTAAATTCTTAAGGTAGCTTTCGATTTCAGGTTTTTACAACCAACTTTGTATTTATTGATAAATATTATATATTAGCTAATCAATCCAAATATACCAAACGATTATGTTTAACCATTTTTAGCAACCGATTAATTTTACACATTCGTACCAGATAAAATGTTTGTTTAATCTGATATTTTTTTTCGAACAAAAAAGGTGACCACTGATCAAGGAATTCTCATGTATCCCGATAAACAAAATGAAACATTCGCTTTCAGAGACTATGGCGATCAACGAGAACAATTTGAAATATCTAGAATCACTCCAAACTATTATGCTGCCTTCTACTTTTAGAGAAGTCCCTACTCATATCAAATCAACAGAAAGTTCCTACGATTGGACGAATTGTTAAGTTATTTAGGTGGTTTCACATAGTTTATGATTGTAGTCATTGGAATTCTAGTGAGATTTTACAATCGATAACACTTGATTGTTTCAATAGCTAACGACCTTTATGAGTTTGACATGAGTTTAAATAGAGCAAATACATAAATGAATTTTAATAGTCTCCTAGAAAAAAAAGAAAGAGTCAGGGAGAATGGAAAGTAAAAGACTGAGAGAAATCAATAGACATTGCCAAAAATTTAAATTATGACTACTTTTTAAAATAAACCTGAAATGTTACAACGTACAACTCCGGCAAGAGATGATTCACAGCAAGTTGAAAATAAATCATCAGTAGAATTTGTAGAACCTAAAATTCAAAAATTATAAGGAAGATTAAGTATTCTCTAAGCGAAGGCCTTTGAATATTTTGATGATTTTAGGGAATTTTTAAAAAACAAATATGTAATTGGTCTAGGATTTCGAGTGATATTGAGTTCTATATTCCCGATAGAATCAATTAAAAACGATGATTGCAAAGTACTTAAAAGAGCCATGTAAAATTAAAGAATATCTTAGTGATTAAGTGAATAAAGAGTTGGACATTGAGTATATTATTAAACAACTTCATGAACTCACAAAACTAAAAAAGGTTTTATTTAGCGAAGAATAAATTACTTTATTTAATTTCAGTAGAAAACCAAAAATAGCGTTAATTTAAGAAGGAAAGAAACGAAGATCTACCAAGTAAATTAGTTAATTTAATTTTAGGTTCATTGTTAATGGGTGTATAACTACAGAAGAACAAGGATTGCTTAGATAATTTAATGACTTAGTTACTTCATATTAGAAAATCATGGGCTTGGACTTCGAAAATTAAACTCAAGAATAGATAAGATTTAATTAAAGACTTATTATGTTGTTAGGAACAGAATTGATGAATGTTTTGGAGAGGGAAATTTCGTAATAATAGCATTTGGATTCAGATAACAATGAGATTATTAAAGTAGAAGAAAATTTTATCAATGGTGGTGAAATTGACAGCAAGAATGATTCATGTAGATGAAATTTGATATTTAGTGAATAATTTTTCATTTTTCTAAGAGATAATTACAATTCTAACAATCAAATAAAACTCTAATATATAATTTTAATATTTAATTATGTTTGAAGAAATTTAGCTAAGTGGAATCGTAGCCAAAGAAATATCATCTCATTCAAATATTACATTAATGGGAAACCAGGTGGAAGAACATTTTAAATGCACAGACTAATCAATTAGTTACTTAATAGAAGAGATCATTTATGTTGTGTATGTTTGATGTTTTATTTATCAATAGAAAGGTTACGAATGGTCAGACTGTATCAGTTCATCGATACGATATGAAGGATTTATTTAACTAATCAATATAATTAAGTAGCGAGTACTTTAACTTTTCTCATTTAATTACTCAGAATGGTTGCATTATAATGAGAGACCAGAATACACCTTATTTATTGGTTGTAACACAGACAGGATAAATCTTTTATAAGAATTTAATATCAAATACTTCTAGTATAATTAATAATTTAAAGTTGGACAACCAAAGGTTTATGTGTCTGGCTAAACCACTCATTTATAATAGTTAGATCAAATTTTATGTATTGAGTGATGCTGACTAATTACTTCATATAACAATCGATGTAATAAGAGGTGAAATTGCAAAATATAAATATCAATTAAGTTTTGGTAGCAAATTTTTGAGTAAATTTTTTGGCAATTAAACTAATGATTGGAGGACTGCTTTTTAAATTAGTGAAAAATAATTAATCCATTACTCCTTTTAAACATAGTTTCACTTAATTGAGATAAAAGGAACAGATATTTATTGTAGACATTTATAAACTGAGGATAATAATCTTAAAGTTAAATAAATTGAGGTGTTTTAGCATAAACCCAATGGTTAAATTACTTTATGTTATCTTTAATAGAATCAGATGAAAATATATTCACTTATTGGAAACCAATTAAGAATAAATTGTGTAATCTCCTAATTAGATTTCTTATTAAACATCACCTTTAATATTAGCAGCATCTAAAACTCTATAATTTTGATTTAAGGATGTGAAATCTATTAATTAAGTTATGAAAACTATGCTTTTGAATTAGTAAATTAAAATAAATACCCTGTTTTAGGTTATATAAACTAAGATGATTAATTGTTATTGTTTTATAAAAATCATATTTCATTTATTAATTAAGTTTAAAATCAGTTTAGTAAAATATAATATTAGTTAAGACAAAAAATTTATAAGTTTAAAAAGGATGTAGAGGATTAATATAGATTAAAAGATGAAGAGCTGATCCTTCAATCGATCTCCATTGAATTCTATATTAAAAATAAGTTTGATCAATTCTAGACCCTGATGAAATTTATGCATCGTAATTTAAACTAGAGAAAAGTAATCTAATTGATGAAAAAACAATATAACAATTTTTGCATTGAAGACTTTATGAATGACCTAATGGATGAATTAGAAGATATTTATTATTATTTGAAACCAACCATCAAAATGTTAGATTTGGATTTCCATTAATCCTACGATCAATTGAGATAATAACTTAGCCGATTAGATCAATTCTTAATGCACCTCTATTTTAATTAATTCTAACCCTAATAAGATTCCAAATACGATCAATCAGTTAAGTTATCGTTGCTCAAATCCTTAGTAATAAATCAACTCAAAGACTATTACTAGATGTATTTGGAAATATATTTAGGTCTAGCTGTCATAGTCAACATTTCCAACATATAATTTGATCTTCAACATATGCACTAATTGTTTTATGCTACTATGCTTCTATTAACTTTATTTTAGGATAAGTCTTACATATCCTTTTAAAATGTAGTAAAAAAACAATTCCAATTCGTTTCTAGTGATATTTCATTACAAAATTTAACTTCTATTCATATTGTCATAGACAGATTTATTAATTTGATCTCTAGCGAAGTATTTAGAGACTTCCCTATTCCAGAAGAATTATTATGTGAGAGTTTCCAAAAGAATTAAAGAAAGTCATTTATAAATCAAAATAATGCAAAGGAACTAATTAGGTATTATCAAGTGAGTTAATAAATTGGATAATAATAACATAATATCCTCAAATTTGTCAATGAAAATGAAGACCAATACTAAGAGTTAAAATTGAGAATTTCATTCTATCTGTAAATACAATAAAACCCTTAGTACCAAGATGAATAGGAACTTTTATTAAATAAGTTGATAGATTATGCTATTAAATAGGAACAACATTAGCTTTTATTTTAAATTCTGAATTTGAACCAAACAAAACAAATAAATAATCAATTGGTTCAGATGATCGATAGTTATCATTTATATAAATGCCAATTAAGTAAGTTGATTTTTATATATTTTAGCTGCCAGAACTACTGATCAAATTGCAGAATTGTTACTTCAATATTCGCGCGAGAAGTGTCGTAATTTGATGAATGCTGATAAAGTGCTTCAATATTACAGCTTTCTAATGAGACAGGAATCTAAAGATAAAGTATTGATTCAAATCTTATGACAAGGCATTAACACTATTGTTTGAGTATATTGTAAATTTGGAGATGGTGCTATTCTATTTAAAAAGCAAGAAAGTATCTCGCGGAGTTTAGATTCAATTAGATTATATAAAACTATTGTTGAGTTAAATGCAATTGTCAAGTAAACAAGACTAATAGCCTTACTCTCAATAATTAATTTGTAAACTTAGCAATTAGAGTTATGAGTAGTTTAAGAATCCAAGCACTATAAATGATAAATCTGAAATCGACTTAAAATCTCCTGAAAATATTAAAATTGTTAATTTAGAGCAGATAATAAAATTTAAGAAATACAAAGAAATTTAAAATTTCGTTTGCCGTTATTACATTCCTTATGCATAACTCAATAAAGTTATAGAATAACTGATACTCAATGGAAATCTGAATGAATTGATTAATGTATTTCAATTGAATTTTGATCCAAATATCGAAAAGAATATAGTGTTCTTCTATTTTCAAAACGAGGATTAAAGACAAGAATTGCTCAACAAAGTGAAACAATTTTTAACTCAAAAGGAACTTTCAATAATTTTAGCTTAGATTTGTGTAGTTTGTAATTTGAATTTAGAAAAATGCACAGAATTGTTTAAGATGACTCAAAGTTAAGAATACTTCTTATAATATATGATTAATGTTAATAAGGAATAAATAGCTTAGATATTGATCTGATTGTTATATTCATTTTATACATTTTTAGAAAAATTATATTAATTATCTATCTGACTTATTTATATACCTTATTGAGGTTACAACATAATTAAAGTAGGAATAATACAGATAGGAAAAAAAAGAGATGGAAAAGAAATTTCTATGCGAGTAAATGCTTTAGTAGACAAAGTTTTAAGTATTTGCAAGCTGAAAGAAAACAAATATAAGGGGAATAAATTCTGGAATTAAATTAAGGATTTTGTAAACTTATAACATTCTTATCAAGGAATGATTGATATCTAAAGTATAATTTTATGGCATTGAATAAATGAGAAATTGAAATGCGTAGGTATAATAAATGTAATTTTAGAATTTATGTTTCTAACACCAAATTGCTTATTGATGTGACAACCAAATAGTTTTGACCAAACTAAAGTAAATTTCTCAGGGAGAAGATAACAAAAGGATATAAAGTTAAATTTGAAATCAATATAATCAGCGATTGATACATCCTAAAGCAATTAAAGCTTTGGTTAAAAATCCTATGTTTTAGTAGTTATTTTAGGGTGGCTATTGGTCTTGCTGGCGTTAAAACTAAAATTATAAGCTTCTAAATTTCATAGCTTCCCATTCTTAAATTGATGATTTTTAACCAAATTATAGATTATTAATTTTGGATTAGCTTTCAAGTACTTCAGATGTGTAATGAGTTGATTTAATGGAAATCATAGAAGAACTTCGTAATGATCCTTTTCTATCTTATCCTTAGGATAGCATCCATTAATGATTTTTAATTTTATCAATTGAAGGTCTACAATGAATAGTATGTTAGAGTAGGCTGTTGATTAAAGACTTACATTCATCAGAAACATCGAACTCAAATTCTACCTGACTTCTAGATAATATTTTTTAACTCTTCTCCATAAATGTTGTGCCTTAAAACGGTGGTTTTCCCTATACCATTTCATACAATAGCACTCCTAGGCTCCATATATCTGTTTTATAATCAGTTGTCTAAGATTATATCATCTCAGGTGACATATATTCTGTTGTACCGCAGAAAGCTTTATGATAATTCGGCATTTAGGTAGCCCAACCAAAATCACCAATTTTTAAGTCTCCTGATTTGGTTATTAGTAAGTTTTCGGGCTATCTTTATATAATATTTATACTTTTAAATCTCTGTGTACAATCTACATCTTATGCATGTATTCTAAGCCGGATAATAATTGTGAAAAGAATACATAAGCTTCTCTCTCCTATAATCTTTATTTTCGTTTAATCAATGAGAAAAGCGAACCCAGTTCTGCGTACTCTAAGATTAAAAATACACTAATTGTTTATAGTTACATAACAGTACTTAGACGAGTCTTCATAACAGTAGCATAGTTTAAGAATATTTGGATGACAAAGTTTCTTTTGTATTAATACTTCTCTTTTCAAGTTATCTATCGATTCCTGGGCTTTTAATTTTGATTTACTAATCTGTCATATATCATCAAGTGTTACCGTCTTTCGTGCATAATAAATTCGGCTGTTAACATCTCTCACTAGTTAAACAGACCCATAAGCACCGGAACCTAGACACTATTCAATAATCTGAAAGTCCCTTTGAAAAAAATTAAATTATATGCTACTTTTCACTTTTCCGAGAATTATTGTCTCTTTAACAAGCTTAAGGGTCAATTTAAAACAACCTTTTGAATAACTTAAAAAAATATACAAATCATTCTTTTACTAATTAGGAACATGAGCATTTAATTAGTGAAACACCTTTTAATTCATATCTTCTTTTTTCTTAATAACGAATTTGTTCATTATAAAATGTTTGAGATTTTTCAAGATATTAATTATTTTGATCAATTTGTTCTCTAATTATACTATTTGTTAAATAACCTCATTAAATAGATACAATGGCTTAAGCGCATTTTATAATCTATTCAATATTTACTATTCTAACTCTTTAATTAAATTATAAATAATTGAACAAATATATTACAATTTATAAAATTTATAATTTAATACACGATTCCTATTATTTAATTTGATCATTAATTTATATTGCTATTAATCCCTAAGTAGGATCTCTGCTTTTCTAAGTGATCGATTTACCCAAATTAAAATAAAGGCAATTATCATATTTCTTAGATTATTGATTCAAAATGTACAGAATAATTGGCATAAAAATATAAATTAAATGATTTTTCAATATCGTTACATTCAGATATTAAAATGCTTATAACGGTATATTTTTACTCCTTTGATAGTTTTAGACTTCTTTTATTTTGATGTAATATGATGATTATGACGAATTATGAATTATTAAATTATAAAAAATTAAAAGAAAATTCTTTCATTACATTATTTCAAAGTTGAAATAGAAAACATTCATCAAAAATAATTGTTAAATAATATATGGAATAAAAATCTAACTTTATGAATGGTAGAGATGTTTAATATTACTTAAGTTGAGGAACGAGTTAATTTTCCTGAAGAGGAAGTGAAAATATTGAAGTATTGGAATGAAATTAATGCGTTTCAGAAATAATAAGATTTGACTAAGGACCGCCCTCGGTTTACATTTTACGATGGTCCACCATTTGCAACAGGATTACCGCATTATGGTCATATGTGTGCAGGTANAAGAATACATAAGCTTCTCTCTCCTATAATCTTTATTTTCGTTTAATCAATGAGAAAAGCGAACCCAGTTCTGCGTACTCTAAGATTAAAAATACACTAATTGTTTATAGTTACATAACAGTACTTAGACGAGTCTTCATAACAGTAGCATAGTTTAAGAATATTTGGATGACAAAGTTTCTTTTGTATTAATACTTCTCTTTTCAAGTTATCTATCGATTCCTGGGCTTTTAATTTTGATTTACTAATCTGTCATATATCATCAAGTGTTACCGTCTTTCGTGCATAATAAATTCGGCTGTTAACATCTCTCACTAGTTAAACAGACCCATAAGCACCGGAACCTAGACACTATTCAATAATCTGAAAGTCCCTTTGAAAAAAATTAAATTATATGCTACTTTTCACTTTTCCGAGAATTATTGTCTCTTTAACAAGCTTAAGGGTCAATTTAAAACAACCTTTTGAATAACTTAAAAAAATATACAAATCATTCTTTTACTAATTAGGAACATGAGCATTTAATTAGTGAAACACCTTTTAATTCATATCTTCTTTTTTCTTAATAACGAATTTGTTCATTATAAAATGTTTGAGATTTTTCAAGATATTAATTATTTTGATCAATTTGTTCTCTAATTATACTATTTGTTAAATAACCTCATTAAATAGATACAATGGCTTAAGCGCATTTTATAATCTATTCAATATTTACTATTCTAACTCTTTAATTAAATTATAAATAATTGAACAAATATATTACAATTTATAAAATTTATAATTTAATACACGATTCCTATTATTTAATTTGATCATTAATTTATATTGCTATTAATCCCTAAGTAGGATCTCTGCTTTTCTAAGTGATCGATTTACCCAAATTAAAATAAAGGCAATTATCATATTTCTTAGATTATTGATTCAAAATGTACAGAATAATTGGCATAAAAATATAAATTAAATGATTTTTCAATATCGTTACATTCAGATATTAAAATGCTTATAACGGTATATTTTTACTCCTTTGATAGTTTTAGACTTCTTTTATTTTGATGTAATATGATGATTATGACGAATTATGAATTATTAAATTATAAAAAATTAAAAGAAAATTCTTTCATTACATTATTTCAAAGTTGAAATAGAAAACATTCATCAAAAATAATTGTTAAATAATATATGGAATAAAAATCTAACTTTATGAATGGTAGAGATGTTTAATATTACTTAAGTTGAGGAACGAGTTAATTTTCCTGAAGAGGAAGTGAAAATATTGAAGTATTGGAATGAAATTAATGCGTTTCAGAAATAATAAGATTTGACTAAGGACCGCCCTCGGTTTACATTTTACGATGGTCCACCATTTGCAACAGGATTACCGCATTATGGTCATATGTGTGCAGGTACAATCAAAGTAATAAAATGTATCATTTGTAATTAGGATGTTGTGTGTAGATATTTTGCGATGAATGGTAAATATGTAGAGAGAAGGTTTGGGTGGGATTGTCATGGTTTACCAGTGGAGCACGAAATAGACAAGGCTCTTAATATTAAAAAAAGAGGAGATATCTTGAATGTAAATAATTGAACAAATTTATAATTTAGATGGGAATTGATAAATATAACCATGAGTGCAGATCAATTGTAACTAAGTATGCCTCAGAATGGAGGAGAATCGTGGGGAGAGCAGGCAGATGGGTTGATTTCGATAATGATTATAAAACAATGGACCCTTCATATATGGAGAGTGTGTGGTGGGTGTTTAAATAATTGTGGGAAAAAGGATTAGTATATCGAGGATGCAAGGTTATGCCATATTCTAATGGATGTTCGACAGTTCTAAGCAATTTTGAAACCTAATAAAATTATAAAGATGTATGGGATCCAGCAATTGTGATTACATTTCCCTTGGTGAATGAGGAAAACACAAGTTTCTTAGCTTGGACAACAACTCCATGGACTCTACCATCTAACTTAGCCTTGGCGGTTAATCCAAAATTTGTATACGTAAAGGTGTTAGATAAAGCTACAAATACTCATTATATCTTAGCAGAATCTAGGATTGTAGAACTCTATTCAAATGCAACTCAATATGAAATTGTAAATAAAGTATTTGGTAGTTAATTAGAAGGGATTGAGTATGTGCCTTTGTTTGATTACTTTTTGGATAGAAAGTAGCAGGGATGTTTTAAAGTATTATCAGCTAGCTATGTAACCGATAAGGATGGGACAGGGATAGTACATATTGCCCCTGGATTTGGAGAAGAGGATTATAAGTTAAGTTTGAAGGCTGGAATCATTACTCCCTAAGATCCATTAGTACCTATTGATTCTGATGGCAGGTTTTTGGAATGCGTCACAGATTTTTCAGGAATGGATATCAAAAGTGCAGATAAAGAAGTCAGAAGGACTTTGAAACTAAAATAGAGACTAATTAAGGATGGATAAGTTTACCATAGTTACCCTTTTTGTTGGAGATCATAAACCCCCTTAATTTATAAAGCAATCAGTTGTTGGTTTATTAAAGTCACAGCCATTAAAGATGAGTTGATTGACAATAATAAAAAAGCGAGATGGGTACCTAATGCCATCTAAGAGGGGAGATTCAATAATTGGTTAGAATAAGCTCAAGATTGGTGTTTCAGTAGAAATAGATTTTGGGGTAATCCAATTCCTATTTGGGCAAGTGAGGATTTGGAAGAACTTGTCTGTGTTGGATCAATTGATGAGTTGAAATAATTATCGGGGGTCAATAATATTTCAGATCTTCATCGAGAATTCATTGATTAAATCACCATCCCTAGTAAATATGGAAAAGGGGTTTTAAGAAGAATTGATGAAGTTTTTGACTGCTGGTTTGAAAGTGGATCTATGCCATTTGCTCAATAACATTATCCTTTTGAAAGAAAAGATTTATTTGAAAATATCTTTCCTGCTGATTTCATTGCTGAAGGATTAGATCAAACCAGAGGGTGGTTCTATACATTGAATGTCATCTCTACTGCTTTACGCAATGATACCCCTTATAAAAATGTCATTGTCAATGGAATTGTTTTAAATGAAAAAGGTGAAAAAATGTCAAAGTCTAAGAAAAACTATCCAGATCCAGAGGATGAAATTATTAATGTATTCGGAGCAGATGCCATGAGACTTTATTTAATCAATAGTGGATTAGTGAAAGCCTAACCTTTGAACTTTAATAAAGAAGGTGTTTAAAATGTTATTAAGAACGTCTTCCTACCATGGTACAATGCTTACAGATTCCTTATCTAAAATCTACAGAGATACGAGACCCTTTTTGGTAAATTCACATTTGATGACTCAGTGATCAATAAAGTTCAAAATACTATGGATAAATGGATCATTTCGTGTAGTCAAGATCTATTAGAGTTTGTCAGAACTGAGATGGAATCTTATAGATTATACACTATTGTACCAAGGCTAATTGAATATCTTGACTCATTAACTAATTGGTATGTTAGATTGAATAGGAATAGAATTAAAGGAGATCAAGGTAATCATGAATGGCAACTTAGCTTAAATGTCTTATTTGATGTTTTACATAAAATTAATCTTCTTATGTCTCCATATGTGCCTTTCATTACAGAGGCTTTCTATTAAAATATGAGAAAATGCATCCCTTAAGGGAAGAATTAAATGGATTCTATTCATTTCCTGTAGATCCCTGAAGTTAGGAAAGAATTAATCGATCCTTAAATTGCTTAAAAGGTCAAGAAAATGCAAATGGTTATTGAAAATGCAAGAAAGTTAAGAGAAACTCATAAAATAAGTCTTAAATAACCTGTTAATAGTTTAACTATTTTAACAACTGATGAAACACTACTTTAAAGTGTCCAATTACTTTCTAAGTATATCGAAGAAGAAATCAATACCCCACAAATTTTGGTTGAAAAAGACCTTGCTCAATACATCTAATAATAAGCTGAGCCTGAGGTTAAACTTTGTGGGAAAGAATTAAGAGAAAAGTTTAGCCCAGATCTTATTTAATAAATTAAAAATTTTTCTTAAGATTAAATTACTTAACTTAAAAGGGAAGGTAAGATCTTATTAAAAGTACTTGTAAACGCGAAAAAGTAGGCATCTGAAAAATAGTTATAATAGTAGGAAGGAAATTTAGTATAAGAAATGGAATGTGAATTATTATTGAAGCATGTCAAAATTACAGAACAATTTAACACATAAAAACATTAAAATCTATTATTTACAAAAGAGGATGGATACTCATTAATAATTGATCCCTCTTAAACTCAAAAACTTAAGAATTTAGGATTAGCAAGGGAATTTACTAATAGAATTCAAAAACTTAGAAAGAAGGCTTAATTAAGATAAGAAGATAAAGTTATCATTTTTTATTCTGTTGATAAAGATTCTCAATTATTTTAAGCTTTAGAAAATGAAAAAGAATGGATTTAAAATTAAATTAAAAAACCTTTATATCCATTATCACAACGATCCTTTCTAAACCTAGAAATTGCTTCTGAAAAGACAGATATTGAAGATTAATTGGTGACTCTTGTAATCACTACTTATTCACCTTTATTTAATAAACAAAAACTATAAGTATACATTTATTTTATTATTAGCAATAATTCAATGAAAAATAGGTAGATACAATTATGAGAGTGATTTTAGTACTAGAAAATCTACAACCAACAGTTGAAATAACTCTTGATGGCTAAAAAATTGTACTTGACCATAATCATTATACAATCCCATGAAAGTTATGCAATTATTATAATAAATAAAATCAGATTTATTAAGATTTAATGAAAAATTAATTTTTTTAATTTATAAGCCAAAATCTGCAAATCAGGCATCATGTATAGTACCGATGTTATAGTGTCCAGGTCTTATTAGTAAAATTATTTTATTTTCATTTTTTTCTTCATATTAATTTACGATGAACTCTTCATTCTCAAAAAATATCAGTGTAATATTTCTAATGATAAATTAAATAAAATACAATTTTAAGTATTTAGCTAACAGCATAATAACAATTTCGTTACTATTACATTCGGTTTCCCAAATCAATAAGTTGTTTTACTGATCACCAATTAAAGTTTTTGCTTCAGCATCTTATTCAACAAGATAATAACTAAGATTTCTAAAGAATATAGTTGATAATGCATATAAAAACGCAGTTCCATCTTGTTCAAGTTCATATTGTGAAAATTAATTTAATAATTCTTGCTTTCTTTCTTCAATGTCTTCAATGATTCTCAATTATTATATTTAATATATGAATTCATCCAAAATTTATTTTTCTAATTCTAAATTATCTATTTTAAAATCTTTAATTTGTATCCTACATCTCAAATTAATATTTTTTATGTTATAAATAAATTAATTGAATTAATCATCCTAATATGTAATTAATAGATGCTTTAAGAATTGATATCCAAAAGCAGTATAAAAGCAGTTACCATCTCCTCTAACTTAAATATAACCTTGGCAAATTTGATACAACTATTATTTTGTTGCTAACCTTTTGATATTATACTCTTTAGATAAATCATTTTTATCATGTTAATCTTAGATATATCTTTTATATTATTCTGAAACAGCCCTACTATCAGAAGAATTTTTATTTATTTTCTATAAAATTAAGTAAATTAATTATTGCCTATTTTCATTTCTTTCCAGAAGATCTGAAATTGTATTTTATTTTTAAAAATCTTCCTAGCTTTTATTCAATTATATTTTTCCTTTTTGATCTTACTCATTAGATTCTGAATTTTATTTTTATTATTGTTATTATTAAGTTGATTAATCTTTTTATTCTTATTGTTTTTCTTATTATTATTCTATTTTTCCTTTTTCTTCTTCATTTAATTACTATTCTGTTTACTATTTCTATTATTATTATTCTTTTTATTGCTATTATTATGTTGACTAACCCTACTATTCTTATATTTTTGATCCCTTATAATAATTCTATTATTAATATTATTATTATGGTTATTAGTGATTCTAATTATTTTAAAATTCTACTTTTCCATTTTCATTTTCTTTGACTTATTATACTTTAGGCTATTATTCTTATTATTGTTATTATTTTTATTATTATTATGGTTATTAGTGATTCTAATTATTTTAAAATTCTGCTTTTCCATTTTCATTTTCTTTGACTTATTATAATTTAGGCTCTTATTCTTATTCTTATTCTTATTATTCTTATTATTATTATTATTATTATGGTTATTATTGTTTCTAATTATTTTAATGTTCTAATTTTCCATTTCCAACTCCACTTCCTTTGACTTGGTAGAATTTAGAATATTATCCTTATTATTGTTATTATTATTATTATGGTTATTAGTGTTTCTCATTATTTTAAAATTCTACTTTTTCATTTTCATTTTCTTTGACTTATTATAATTTAGGCTATTATTCTTATTATTGTTATTATTATTATGGTTATTATTGTTTCTAATTATTTTAATGTTCTAATTTTCCATTTCCAATTCCACTTCCTTTGACTTGGTATAATTTAAACTATTATCCTTATTATTGTTATTATTATTATTATTATGGTTTCTTTTTATTTTAATGTCCTAATTTTTCATTTCCAACTCCACTTCCTTTGACTTATTATAATTTAGGCTATTATTCTTATTATTGTTATTATTATTATTCTGGTTATTATGGTTATGAGTATTTCTACTAAGTTGGTGAAACTTGCAATTCATAGGATTATTGTTATTCGTTATATAATACATTTTTTTCATTATTTTATGGTTTGCATTATTTTTGGTAATTTTATTCATATTATTCATCATAATATTGATAATTCTATTAACCTTAATTTTATAAGCGTTATTAATATTATTGTATTTAATTTTGAGAAGTTGTGTTCTAATTCACTGATGGCTAACCTATTTGATATGAATACATCTCAAAATAAAATCAATTAAATAATTTTTATTTTATGTTATTTTTAAATATGTTATATGATAATATCTAGTTTTAGTTTTATTTGTTTTAAAGTTTAAATGAAACGTCTGATCATGAATAAATCAGAACCTTCATTATAAATTACATGAGAAACAATAAAAATTGAATATATCTTATTCCTTCATGAAAATTGTTTTTCAGATTTTATGGAAGGACTTAAAATTATATAATTAAAATAAATTGAGGAAATGCAATAATTTCTAGGCAAAGCTTTTTTTAAAAAATCAGAGACATAATAGTAAAATCCTTGAATTTTAAATCTAAAAAAAGGATTTATTGCAAATAGAATGTGTTTAATTTTATATATATTATTAAATTAACTGTTTATAATGAGTTAACTGAAGAAATTAAATCAGCAGGTTAAATAAGTGAAATGCATAACACTATCTACAAATTAATCTCGTCATTCTAATTATTCTTCTGTGAAAACATTACCTAAACCAATTGCATCTCGACCTGTTACTTCAATTGCTAAGAATAAGAATAATAAGGTGGAGGCTGTGAAAATTGATTTAGTCAAATAGAAAAAGCAAACAACAAATATTAGTGTGACTAGATCTACTTCTTCTGCTCGTACAAGATCTGCTTCAAATGGGCCTAAAGAAGATAAAATTCCAAGAATATTAGGTGACTTATTAGGTCCTGAAATTGAATTAGCAGATTGTTAAGATTTCTTATTATAATTAAATGAACCGCAGTTTAAGATGGATGAAGATGTAATGAAAGAACGTGTAATTTTGGCAAACAGGATAGCAAATACAATTAAAGTGAAAAAAAGAATACCTACAACCACAGCAGATTACTATAAGGTTTGATATATTGACTTAAAATAGGCAGCTGTGTTCTGTGATAGGGAAAGGGGCTTTTGCTAAAGTTTGTTTAGGGATATAAATCTTGACTGGAGCAAAAGTGGCAATGAAGATAATTGATAAATCAAGTCTAAAAAACGATAGTGCTAAAAAAAGATTGATGCAGGAAATCGCTTTAATGAAACTCTTACAACCTTATAAATGCTGCATTCGATTATACGAGGTTTTTGAAACCAAAAGACAAATTTATTTAATTATGGAATATGTAGAAGGAGGAGACTTAATAAAATTTACTAAAGAAAAACCATTATCTGAATAAATAGCCAAAAATATTTTTGGACAATTAGTGTAAGCACTTTAAATATTGCAAAATCACAATATATTGCATAGAGATATTAAATTAGACAATATACTATTTTAAGGAGAATAAATAAAATTATGTGATTTTGGAGTAAGTCGATAAATTGTAAAGGGGTAGAAGATATTAGAATAATGTGGAACACCTGCTTATTTGGCTCCTGAGATTATGACTTAAAAATCTGGATATGAGGGATTTGCAAGTGATATTTGGAGCTCAGGAATTCTTCTTTATGTTTTGTTGGTTGGTAAAACACCATTCAAGGGAAACAATATGAATGAACTCAACTCATAGATTCAGAGCGGATAATTAAATTTTATGGAAATTAAGAAGGCAAATCTTTCAAATGAAGCTGTAGATTTGATGAAATCTATTTTACATATCAATCCTAAATTAAGATGTACCTTACCTGAAATTATGAAACACACTTGGATGAAAGATATTGATTTCAAGTAAACTAAATAATAAGCAAATTTAAATTTAGATTTAAGAATCATTTGCTAAGTATTTTATTAATTGTGATTTTATATAGATTGAATAATATGGTTATCAAAGAGAAGTGATAATCAAAACTTTATAAAGCAAGACAATAAGCCACATATCTGCTCTTTATTGGGCTTAATATTAGTGATAACTTATAATTACACATTGAAATACTTATGAATATATAACTAACTATAATTAATACGATGATAAAATAACTATCGAGATGTTAGTACTTAAAGAATACAACATTAAAGATAAAATGGTTATTAAATGATATCTAATATTTGCTTATCACATTTGCATGTATTGTTTATAAAGTTGTGATGTTCTAAAATTTTATACCGATTAAAAATCTTTCCTAAGTAATGCTTAAATAATTAGTAACTCAGGTTGATAATTTTATAGAATATGGGATCTAAATAAACTATAAAATAGACTTAGATTTTACTTATTTGTTGCATTCATTTGAATTTAAATTCTTTCCTATTTAGTTAAAGTTGGATCACAAAGATCCAATATAATTATTCCAACTTAAAACAATTCTTCTCTTGCATCATAAACTATTTCTATCCTTTATATCCCATCTTTGAGTTCTGTAGTTCCATAATCTTTAATAAATATTAACTAATTATTATTTTATCCATCATCATTTTAATGAGATTTGCTCCAATCAAAATCACAAATTCTTAGAGCTATTTCTCCAACATTATCTTTAGTAACAAGAAGATTTTCTAGCTTTAAATCTCTATGAAAGAACCCTTAACTATGAATGTATTCCAATCCAGAAATTAACTAATTAATCAAAGATTAAATAGTTTTTCTTTTCACATTTGCTGATGCTTTTGATAAGTGTTTCATACTATATTAGAATAAATTATTGCAACCTAAATATGAATCATATTCTTATTGCTAATAAAGATAAAAATATTTTTGATGTCTTTCTCTAATTTCTTCTTCGATCCACCAACTATATAATCTAATTACATTTGGATGTTGAAGTCGTAGCATAGCTTTGACTTCTCTGATTTGAGTAATTTTATTATAGTATAATTTTTACCAAGTAAACTCCCCAATTATTCTTACTTTTTTGATTGCATAAATCTGTTAATCCATTTTATTGATCGACAAGATTATGGATGTAAACCTTTAAGACTCTTAATATTAGTTGATCACAGCAAATTCTTTAGCAAATTTTCCATTTCTCAGTAGATCGCATTCATTAAATTAATTGAAGTCAAAAAATGTAACGTCAAAAATCGAATTCTACTCCTTTTATTGATCTTTGTCACTAAATTAGAAAGGCACTTTATATTCTTTTAATTATTGAATTATGTTTTCATCGACTTAAATCAGACAACAAGCCTTTTAAACAGAAGTTGATAGTATAGATTCAATTTTAACATCTATTGATCTTATTTATTTCTATTATTAGACATGTTAATTACCATTTCCCCTTAGAATATTCTCTTTACAATATGTTCTATAGCTGCTATAACGTCTCTTCTTGAGATAGTCTATTGAATGTTATTGCTCTATTAATGAATTATGATAACTGCAAAAATATTTGGAGAGACAGCTTCTTCCTACAGCATACTCTATTATAAAAATTAAGTATTCTTAGCCTCACTATCACTATCGAGAAAATCAAGATCATAATCGTTACTCATCATATTAAAAAAAATATTAATTTGCTATTTAATCAAATCTAATATTGAAGTTATAAAAAAAATAGTTTATAACTTCTGATGGAATAATTAAAATTTAATGTAATCAGCTATTTTAATGTAAGCCTTAATTAATAATATATTTCCAACTTACATTTTATGAGTAAAATTTGATTGCCTACATGATTTTCTCCTACTTTCTTTTATGATTATAAAATATTAATAAGTTTATCGTTAATTTTAATTTGGCTAATTTTTAACATTAAATTAGAACTAAGAAGGAGTTAAATTAAGAAAATAAGAATCAAAATTTAAATTAGGATTTATTCAATGCAGATTAAATAATAGAGATTGATTTTGAGCATTTCTATTTTAAAACTGAAACAATAAAAAAATATCTAATTTCGATTCGTATTCTTTGATTAAGTGACATTAAAAATATAAGTTTATATTGAAATTTTGCTGCATATTTGATATATATTTAATTTTTTAGTTAAGAATATGAAAGTTATTTTTTTGATTAAAATCTAAGAAAACTAATTGATTTCAGATTAAACAAAAATTGTATAATAAAATTGTTATTATTTAATCATTTATTGTATCCAATGTTATAATGTCCTGGCTAGATAAGAAGAATAATTTAATTTTAAAAATCTTTTTCATACTCTTGAATAATAAAGTCACCAGCCGAAAAAAATATCAATTTAACATTACTAGAATTAGTTATGATAAGTTTACATTTTCAATTTTGATGCAAGTGCTTAAATAATAACTTCATTAGAATTGCATTCAGCCTCCCAAATTAGCAAGTTTTCTCTATCAAGGCACAAATCTTTCAATTCACTAAATTCTAAGATATTATCACATAAATTTCTTAAGAATATCGTAGAAAGATTATGAAAGCAACCTTAACCATTTTCTTGAATCTCGTGTTCAGCAAATTATGATAAAAGTTATTGTTTTCGATCATCTTAGTCTTCAATTAAACGAAGTTACTAAAGTTAATAAAGAAATTCTTCTAATAAATCTTAGTCATCTATTTAAAAATTGTCATAATTTATTTTGAATTAAATCTTTTTATCTAAAATAAATTAGATGAATTGATCATATTGATTAAGATTGAAAGTGCATAGTAAATGTTTCAATAATTGATACCCAAAAGCAGTATAGAAACAATTTCCGTCTCCCCTTACAAACTATATATTATTGCAATGCTTTTTTAAATTTTATTTTTGCTATAATTTCTTAATAGAATAATGTTAACATAAAGAGTTGAAGTCGTCCGTCTCTCTAAGATAATATTTATACTTTTCTTCTATATGTCGTTGATTTGATGATATTTTCTATAGCTATCTAATAATTTCAACAGTTTTTTGTAGTCTGGCTTTGTTTGATTGAAATTTCCTATTTAATTGATAGGTTTCGTTTTTCTATTCATCCTAATTATTTGGCTCAGATATTTCGATATTATTGGCCTATATTTCTTCAACCTTGCTGGTATTTTTTTCTTCATTATTATAGATATTTGTTCCTTGATAATCTATTTTGATATCCTAATTTTATTCATTAAATTTATTAATACTGTCTTCAGATTTCTTATGCTTTTAAACATTACCTGTATTTTAAAGAAGATTATAATCAAAAGGCTTTTTTTTCTCTTTATTCAATTTAGGTAAATATTATTAAATTTATTTTTTCTTGGTATTGCTTTTTTTGATTTTATTTTACTTTTTAATATCCTTTTGTGGTTGCCTTATTGGTTATTTTGGATTATGTTAAAATTCTCTATTTTATTGTTATTAATTTCCAATATCAGTTTTGCTAAAGGGTAACTTATCACTTAATTTTTATTTGTCTACTTCTAAGAAGGCTTTTGATTAAATGAAGCTATCAGGTTTACAGTTCAAGCTATTATCCCGTTCAATTTTAAATTACTCTTCAGTTCCTATCTTCTCAGCTTGTCTTGAAATAATAGCAATAGCTTTACTTGTAAGGGGACTTTGCTTTGTTCTAAGATTAACGCATAAATGAATATATTCGTTAAATTATAAATTATTAGAAAATTTAATAGAATACTTAAGAGATAAAAAAATTATTTCATATTTTAATTATATTAATTTATATTGAATTCTAAATAAAACTGTTCTTAATATTTTGATGGTCTATAATTGAAGTGTTTGCTACAATATTTCTTAATGATTTAATAAAACAATAAATATGCTTACTAAATTTATAATTTAAGACTTAATAATAAGTTACTTAAGCTTTGCTTGGAGAAACCTTTAAGTATTTAAGGAGTTCTTAATAAATAATTTTAATAGAATAAAAACTCAAATTGATCTAGATTAATTTATATAATTTTCTGAAAAAAATATGATGAAATCATCTGTCATTTAATATTTTAAATTTGCAATCTTGTGTTCTAATTAATTATACGATTTAACGTAATAAATTATTTTGAAACTTTAATCTATATCCTAATAATTCCTTATTTATCTTTTAAAAATTACTATTCCAATTCAAAAATTATGTATGTTTTAAAAATAATATAAGATTATCATCTAAGTTCTTCATCTTAATTTAATGAGTGACCACTCTTCCTTTTAATATGTTAATTACGGGCTTTCCTAAAGGATTTGTTGTCATTCTTGATATAGGAAACAAGACTGAACTTAATCCCAAAGTAAATGTATGCTACATAAGAAATCCCAAGCTTCATACTTTGATCATTAACTATCAGTTATTCCTACAAAACTATATTCCAAACCTGTTGTTGGTTCTTTTTACCAATGGGGGATGTTGTCATTTTAAGTAATATTATTATAAAGTTTAGCAAAAGTTATCTGCAAAAAATCAAACACAAAAAAGAATCGCCTTAAGACAAGTCTAAAAATATAAATCAGATAAGAGTATATATTTTAGAATGATAAATATTAATTATTGAGTATTTATATCGTAATAAATACCTTTTTCAAGGAATTTTTAAACCAATATTGTAATGGCCTGGTTAAATCAATAATAAAATTGACGATCTAGAATTTTAATTATATTCTCTCTTTTAGAATTCTCCCTTATCAAAAAACAAAAGTTTAATATTTCTAAAAGATATTAAATAATTTAAATTACATATTTAAATAGTCTGCTAGTAATTTAATAACAATTTCATTTGAGTTGCATTCAGCTTCCCACTTTAACAATGCTTATTAGTCATCAATCATGTCTTTTTCTTCGCTATTTTCAACTACATAATAAGCTAGATTTCTAAAGAATATTGTTGATAATCCATATAGACATCCATCAATTGGTTAGCCTGGAATAGCATCATAAGCTTAAAAGTGTTAAGTAAATGAATTAATTCTTTCTTCTATATTCTATATTTTTCTAAATTCTTATAATCTATATAAAAATTCATAATAAACAGAATTATGGAATTCATCACCACTAAACTTTTCATTCTGTAATTAGATTTAACATTTAAACTTTCCACCTAATTTATCAATTAATAACTTATAATCCTAATTAGAAAATTCACTTATTAAAATTTATATTACTTAGAATCCAAAAGCAGTGTAAAAACAATTTCCATCCCCTCTAGCTTGTCTGAAAGCATTACATATTTCCTTTAAAGTTTATTTTTCTTTCAGAGTTTTTATTCCATAGTGTTTTAAAAATTATTAGAAATCCTCCACCTCTCTAATAAAACATTAATAATTTCCTGAAGCTGATCTCTTTCTAGTTGTTTCATCATATATTTTATTAATTATTTATTTAATTTTTAGAAATCTATTAAAATCGTTTTAAATTATTGATAAGTTAGCTTCTGAGCTTTAAAATGAGGGTATTTTTAACTAACTCTAATATTTAATATTATCATTGGTACTTCTTTGAAATACCATCATTGACTATTTTCTTTAATCAAATTATCCAGGTTAAATAGTCTATTAGCCAGTTTGATAAGGAAATTACTTTTGTTAAATAGGATTTTACTATTGTTATGGGAATTATTAGAAGGGATTAAATGTGAAATTATATCTTTATAAGTTATTCTGATTTTATTCGAATTAAAATTTATTTTGGTTTTAATCGGATTAAAATTTATTTGGGCTTTTCTCGATTTAAAATTTAGGTTATTCCATACTCCCAACTTACATAGTTGCATGAAATTTCTAAAACTAATTTTATGAATTTTGCGAAATTCCATTTTAACTTTTTTATCCAACCATCTGAGGTAGATTATCAGTATTGACTTTCTGTTATTCTATAAATAGGATTTAATTTTATTACTTGTAAGTAAAATTATATCTTTTTCTAATTATTACAATTTAATATTTATTTCGTTTACTTTTTATTCAGCTATATTACAGGCTTGAGTTTATAAATAATTGTAATTTAATTATTTTTAGACTTATTCATTTAACAACTATTCCAATTACTTAAATTTTTCCTCATTCTACTTTTCTAATTATTTAAATTCCCCAATTATATCACTTTAAAAATTTTTTGTAGATTCAATACTGAGTTGATCATAGGAATATTATAATTTTTGTTATAAAACATCAATTCTTTATTATTATTCCAATATCAATTTATTTGTTTACTAATTTTTTTCATCATATTTTCTTTCTAATTTTTAGAATCTCTCAGATAGTTCATATTGATTTTGTGTGATATGTTTTATTTTTTCTTTTGATTCTGGATTTATTTCTGAAAATAGCATCTAAATTTTCTATTCTAATTTTGTTTCTAAGGGTTATAATTTATTAATTTCTTTCTCCAAATCTTGATATTTATAATGCAGGTAATATGTTTATTCGATTTTTTTTTCCAGATCTTCCATTTTATTTTTATTACAATTGATATTCTCTTTCAATAAATTTATTTCTTATTCATAATTATTTATTTGCATTTCATTTTTATTTTTATTTTATTGCTATTAATTATACTGTTCCATATATCTCGTAAATTGAACTTAACAATCAAATTCTAGATATTGTTTAATTTCCTCCTAGATTATTTTCTTGTAATCCAACTCCTTACTTTAAATCTTTAATTGCTTATTTCTTTCATTTTAAAATACATCTAAATCTAGCAATAAATTCATGCTCATAAAATTTTCTAAAGCATAAATTTCATCTTTAATATTTTGGTCATGTTTTATCATGTCATCTTATATGCTTTGTATTTTTTTATTAAACTGTTCTATAATCTATTATTAAGCAAAATTATAAGCAATAGGCTTCTTATTCTACTCCTGTTAATTCATTGGAGGTAATTCTATTAAAATATTTTATTATTAATTTTGTTTTACTACTTCTCATTATTTTATTATTGAATTTCATAAAACAAAACTATCTAAAATAAAAACAAAAGAGTATCAAACTTAGAATAATTCTTATATATTATCTTTGCTATTGTAAAAATTTCCTGATTTAGAAATTAGTTAGGTTTATTTTATTGTACTTTTAAATTGTTAACTCAACTCAATATTATTTTTCTTTTAATTTTTGTAATTTTTTAGAATAATGATTAATATATAAGATGACATCTATTTATTGATAAAGTTATAATTTCTTATTTATGTAAATTCCCATTGATTAATTTACATATTTATACATTCTAATATTGTTTGTTCATAAAAAAAGAAATAAAGAATCTTAAAATTATTATTTCCAATTCAGCTTAAGTATAAAGTGCTGTAACACTTAGATTTAGAGAAAATTATTAAATCATGATATTGAAATTGAATGTGAATGAAGAAATAAGAGAAACAAAGATATTAATTCAATCAATATAAAAGGTGGCTTCCATTATGGTTAGATAGATGCCTTCAACACCATCTAAATTTCCCAAGTACCTCTGCATTATTTCAAAGTGAGTGTATGGATTTTAGAGCTTAGACTTGCATAGAACATAATTAAATATTGTTATCATTTCATCGGTACTCATGTTTGATGGTTGTTAAGCAAATTATTGATAGTAATCCAAAATCGTAGAATATATACATTAAAAACACAGCACTAATTATTTTATTTTATGATGAGGAGTCTATCTAAATTAAATAAGTTGTAAGGCCTATATAGCTTTTTCAAAAGGGGATTGATGAAAAAAAGTACCTTAAAGTAACCTTGCTTAAGGTCTAGAGGGTATCGAAGTAAGATCAACATCCTCTATGATAAGAGTTTAGTAATTATCTTATTGTTTAGGAGTGGTAATCAAAGGATTTGTATTAATTTTCGTTGATATTTTGGTTTGAATATAATCTCTGGTAGTGCAATCTAAGCAAAACTTAATAGAAGTTCCAAAATCTGCAAGGGTTTTGTTTTGAGATTAGATCAATTTGAGGTGAATCCTTTCATTTTCGGCTATCTATTCCAACTTTTTAATTTAGTAAACATAAGAAGATATCTCATCATTAAAAATCATATTAGTGACAAGACACTAGAGTGATTGGAGAGTTAGAAATTGGCATTAATTTATTGCAGCATAGTGTCTAAGATCATAATAATGTATTAAAATCTAAAATTAATTATTTAATTACTTAAACAAATGAATCTCGAAATTTAATTAATAATGTATCTAATTCTTGACTAGTATTGGGCAGTTATGTTTGTAGAAAAGTTTAAAAGATTTCCAATAAGCTGCCAGAAAGGGTTGATAATTAATTAATGACTTATTTCTCATAATCTTGAAAACAAGGATCACAATCTTAGAGCAATGTTGTAACTTAAAATTCTTTAAATGGATCTATTGTTTTTTTGCTTCGTTTTATATTTTCTAACTCTGTTGCGAAGAGAGATTCGTTAGTACTCATTGTTATAATTGACTCAGGCTTGGGTTTAATTATTTAGTATAAGGAAAGAAAGTTGCTTTTATGAAAACGATCTGATCTGACATTTATATGATATCCTAGTTTTTAGACTTCCCTTTCCACTCCAACGTACCAGTGATTCTAAATTATCAAAAGAGATGTTACTTAGTAAGTTTTGTAGATTTCATATGGGTTCTCGAACTGATTGGTGTGGTTATTGCCCATTAATTAATATATAAATTTAATTCAATTAACTATTCCAAATGTTTCCTTATTTAAACATTTTGCTATGCTGAACGCTTTTTCAGTTGATATATTTGCCCATTCAATAATTATAAAGAACAATTAAATTTGAGGTGTACGCTAACTTCTCATTCTCTAATGGTTCATTTTCTCAATCTTTCCATTTAAAACCCCCTCCTTATTGAACTTCTCTATCAATATCATTAATTGTATGGTGCATCCATACTGGAATGTCAGATACTAAATAATTTTTTATAACAAAATAATGGATTCTTTAAATATTTCAAATTAATCTAAGATTTAGTTAATTGAAATAAGTCTCGTTTCCACCAAATATGTCAAATTACATTCCATGCATAGTATAAAAATTGATTTTCATTTACTTATTGGTACATAAATAATCCTAAATTTCCAGTCTCATCATCATTTAGAATCCTAATATAACTGACTGAATCATCTTTGATATTATGAAAATTAATAAAATATTCCATCTAATACTAACAACTGCTAGGGTATAATTATCATTATGAGCCTAATTTCTTCTAAATATAAAAGTAAATTCATTTCATATTCAAAGAAAATATTCCTAAACTAACTTTATGTAATAATTCAGTGATTCTTGTTTGTTCATTAGATTTTACAGAATGTATAAAATCTAGAAATTGTAATAGTTATATAACTCCTTTAAAAATCAGAATACTCCACCAAAATCTTCTTCACTCAATTTGTTTCTGTTAGAATACTTCTAGATCATCTTTTTAATAGAACATAAACAATCAATGTGTATTAAGAAATATATAAATTTGAAGTAATTCAACAGAATAAAATATCTTTTCTTTAAGCACTTCGATAATAATCCAATTACGCTTATATTTTGGGAACCTAAGCACTCATTAGAATTTCTTATTCTGATCTACTCATAGAATCATTTTAAGAATAAATGAGTAATCATTTAAAATATGGAAATTTATTTGATCCCACTCTAATACAGAATTTATATGTATTATTGGACAAGAAAGAGAAACTTCTAAGATTTGAATAAAACTTGAAAATATAACTATCAGCAGAAAGAAATGAATTAATAATTATTCTGCTGAAATATGTAATTTATTTGGTCGATTTTCTTCCATAGTTATTTGATTGTTAATGATAATAGAAAATCATTTCTAAAGTGATATGCCTCTTTAAAATAATTCATTTCTTATTTATATAATTTACATATAATGTAAACTTTATATCAGATATGATTTTGAATTATAAAAATAGGAATTTTAGTTAGCTTTTAGAATATGAAACTTTCAACTTATTTATATACAGGTAAGGATATTAGAAATGATATTTGATATTTCAAATTTATGAATAATTAAACTTACTTATATTAGTATAAATGAACTATCGAATAATTTATAAAAGAAATTTTATTTACTCTTCAAATTAGAATTTTAGGGAATGATTCAAATTTCCATTAGATTGACATATTTGAAATTGGTAATTTCGAGATTTCACTGTGTTTGAATGAGATTCAAATATTAATTCATCATTCCTTAAGAACAAGTATTAGACTGTAAAATGTTGAACCCAATGGGATAATATTACATTACTTGGAAGACAAATTAGTTATATATGTTATATTTCTTTTTAATGTTTTCAACAATCTTAATAAGAATCATTCTTCTTAGAATAATTATTTTAGTATTTCCTTATTATAATATAAAACTTTAGTTATTATTCATCCTTATTCTATATTATACAAGTTACATCAATCAAACTTCTTAGGTTAAACTGTTATATTTTGAATGTTTCGAGGCAAATCTCGCCAAAATTTGCCTTGTAAATAGGAAAAACAATTTTGGTATGAATATCTGACTAGGCAATTTTCAGCATAATTATATAGCAATTGATTTAGAATTAGGGTAATAAAGTCTTGGAAAGGTGATTGAGGCGGGAATCTTCCATTTGATGGGATGTAAGGGCTATTCTGAAGATTACTTATCGTATATCAACAGAAGGGAATTATAAAAGAAATAAAACTAAGATTTACTTATTTGTTCTTCAGAAATAAAAATTGGATATAATGTCTTAGGGGAAAGATAAACCTGAAGTTAAGATACATGCGAGTGATAAAATCTCAGAAGTAAAGGCAAATGAAGGGAAACCTAAAATGATAGCTTATTTTGATCTATTTAGATTTGCAAAAAAAGAAGATATAGCATTAATGGTTTTGGGATCAATAGCGGCATTTTTGAATGGTGGAGCCATTCCAAGTTTTTCTTTGATATTCGGATCTATGATAAATTCATTTTAGGAGGCTGGAGATGAGATGGTTAGACAGGCGGGGTGGAATGCATTGTACATTTTCAAATTTTATTTTAAAAGGTGGTTCTTGATAGTTGCAATTGGGACAGGAATTTTGTCGTTCACAATGTTTTCAACCTGGATGATATCTGGAGAAAGATAGGGGATAGAATTTAGAAAAAACTACTTCAAAGCAATATTGCACCAGGAAGTGGGGTGGTTTGATACAATAAATCCAAACGAGTTGAATAGTAAAGTGGCAAACGAATCATTTGCTGTTCAAGGTGCCATAGGAGAGAAGGTTCCAACCTTTATAATGACTTTCTCGATGACATTTTTTGGATTTCTATATGGATATATTTGGTAATGAAGCTAACAATGATTTTAGGGGTTGGCAATTAGCAATAGTGATTACAGCCACACTACCAGCATTGACGATAATAATGTCAATATTTTCTGTGGTGATTCAACAATCAGCAGCTGCAACTTAAGCGGCATATAGCGAAGCGGGAGCTTTGGCAGAGTAGGCGATAAACTCAATAAAGACAGTAAAAATGTTGGATGGAGAGGAGTACGAACACGAGAAATATTATCGTCTTTTAGAGGGAGCAGCACATAAAACAATGAAATACGATTTAGGAGTAGGAATTGCAATTGGTTTGTTGTGGGCAGCTAGTTTATGGTCATATGCCTTAGGATTTTGGTATGGTGCAAAGTTGATTGCAGATTAAGTAAAATAATAAGCAATTCATTTTAGACATATAATCATAATTAAGGAGATGTTTACAAAGTTGGAGATGTTATGACCATATTCTTTGCAATAGTGACAGGAGGTTTTTCTTTAGGATAAGCAGGACCATGTGTTTAGAACTTTGCTAAAGGTTAAGCAGCAGCAGCTTAGATGTACGAGATCTTAGATAGACAACCTAAAATTTTCAATCCCAGAAACCCTATAAAATTATAAGATTTTAATGGGGAAATAGTGTTAAAAGATATCAAATTTAATTATCCAAATAGACCAGATCAAGTAGTTTTGAATGGGTTGTCATTGAGAATACCTCCTGGTATGAAGGTTGCTTTGGTTGGGGAAAGTGGTTGTGGAAAGTCAACAGTAATGTAGCTTATTGAAAGATTCTATGATTGTGATTCAGGAGAAGTCCTTTTTGGTGGAGAATAGGGAATTAATGTTAAGGATCTGGATCTTGTAGATTTAAGAAGTAGAATAGGATTAGTAGGTTAAGAGCCTGTTCTATTTGCAACAAGTATCAGAGAGAATTTACTGTATGGAAAGATAGATGCAACCGATGAGGAAATGATAGATGCATTAAGGAAGTCAAATGCTTGGGATTTTGTATCAAAAATGGAAAAAGGATTGAATACTTATGTTGGTATTGGGGGTAGTTAATTGAGTGGTGGACAGAAACAGAGGATTGCCATTGCAAGAGCCATATTGAAAAGACCTTAAATTTTGTTATTAGATGAAGCAACTAGTGCTTTAGATAGAACCAATGAAAGATTAATACAAGAAACTTTGGATGAAGTATCAAAGGGAATAACTACTATTGTGATTGCTCATCGATTGAGTACTATTCAAAATGCGGACTTAATTTATGTTATAGATAAAGGTCAAGTTGTGGAGGCAGGAAAGCATTCAGAGTTGATGAATAAGCATGGGAAATATGAGGCTTTGGCAAAGAATTAAATCAATAATGTTGATGAGGATGATACGAAATAAATGAAGCTTCAAAATTCTAAATAGAAATTGGAACCTTTGAATTAAAAGGATGAAGCTAAAAACAATCCTTAAAAAATGATATCAATGAATGTCATGGAAAATAAAAGTATCACAGAAGAAGCTGTTGATCAATATAAATAATTACAAGAATTGGATGTTTTAATTAAAAGTTAAAAGGGAAACGAGAAATCTACTGATTCAAAATATGAGAAAGTGAATTCAAATGATAAACCCCCAGAACCTGATGCTTAGATGGGAAGACTTTTTACGTACAACAGATCAGAGAGATTGTAGTTTATTATTGGAATATTGGCAGCATTAGCAAATGGATGCACCTTCCCCTTGTTTTCTTTGTTTTTATCTGATATCATAACCGTGTTGGCCTAATCAAATCCAAAACAATATGAGGGAACTATTAGAGAAGAGAAGATGGCTTATGTTAAGAGTGAAGCCGATAAAAATGCCTTGTACTTTTTCATCATTGGATGTGCAGCATTTATATTGTGGGCGATTCAATCCTTCTGTCTATCTTATGTTGGTGAAAGATTGACCCTAAAATTGAGATCAGACACATTTAGAAAATTGTTGAGAATGCCAATTCCTTATTTTGATGAAGCAAAAAACAATGCTGGGACATTAACCAGTAGACTAGCAGTTGATTGTAAACTAATTAATGGGTTAACATCTTCTATTATTGGTATCAATCTCGCTAACTTTGCCTCTTTAGTTTGTGGATTAACAATAGCATTTTCATCAAGTTGGGCACTCACACTTGTTACTATTGGAGTGACTCCCTTTTCATTCATCTCAGGTGTTTTACAAGCAAAATATTTACAAGGTTTTTCTGCTCAAACTGATGAGGCTTACAAAGACTCAGGCAACTTGATAATGGAAGCTGTTACCAACATTAGAACTGTGTATTCCTTTGGAAATGAATGTATCATCCTGGGAATCTATTCTAAAAAGGTTTAGACGCCCTTGGAAATGGCTAAATCCAAAGGATATAAGGCAGGATTTGCCATGGGTCTTTCCTAAATGAATATCTTCATCATGAATGCTATAGTATTCTATGTTGGAGCTGTCTTCTGTAGAGATATTGATTTGAGTGTAAACGATATGTTTAGGACTATATTTGCTTTGACATTTGCTACCATGGGAGCAGGGAATAATGCTGCATTCGCCGGAGATATTGGAGCAGCCAAAAATGCAAGTAAAAACATATTTGAGATCTTGGACAGTGAGGATGAATTTTAGAGAGAGGAAAGATTAAAAAAGCAAAAGTTCACTCAACCCATTCAAGGAGACATTTGTTTCAATAATCTTACATTCAAGTATTAATCCAGGGATAAGAATGTGTTTGAGAATCTTAGTCTCATTGTTAAGCCTGGATAAAAGGTTGCCTTTGTTGGACCTTCTGGTTGTGGCAAATCAACGTTAATGCAAATGCTGATGAGATTCTATGAACCAGATTAAGGGGCTATTACAATCAATGGAATTGATATTACTGATTATGACATCCGTTATTTAAGAAGGCAATTTGGTATTGTCTCTCAGGAACCAGTCTTATTTAATGGGACAATCAAAGATAATATAAAATACAATTTATCCTAAGCTACTATGGAACAAATCGAGAATGCAGCCAAAAAGGCAAATGCCTATGATTTCATCATTAACAATTAATTTGAAGAAACACAAGCGGAATAGAAAGGGAATGAATAATAAAGAGGATAATGTTTTGATAGACAAGTTGGACCTAAAGGAACTTAGATATCTGGAGGACAAAAATAAAGAATAGCCATAGCCAGAGCTGTACTGAGGGATTGTAATCTTCTCCTTCTTGATGAGGCCACTAGTGCTCTGGATGCTGAAAGTGAACAGTTGGTTCAAAGCAGCTTAAATTAATTAATGCAAGGCAAAACGACAATTGCCATTGCTCACAGAATATCAACAATCAGGGTATATATTATTTTAATGTTATCTTAGGATTCGGATGTGATCTATGTATTTGAAGAGGGCAAGATAGTAGAATAGGGATCCTATTAGTAATTGGTCAATTAGAAGGGATCGTTTTATAAATTAGAGCAAGGAATTTCCTAGTGATTGGGCTTTTTATATATGTTATTAAGAACGTTTATTAAATATTGCTTATTTTATTTACATGGCTAAAGTATATTATTTAGTGTCTATAATATCTTAAAGATTATGGAAGTAAAAAGATAATAATATTTGTAAAGATATCGCTATTTACAAATATGTTAGGTAGAGTGTGGCTATTGGAAGGGAATTAATCTAAAATGGGAGCATTGCAAATGGGATAAGCAGGATTTGAAATTTAATCAGTGAGAAATTACAATTTTTATAAAATTAATTGGAATAAAAATACGCAGTGGGGTAAATCACTTTTGAAGATATAAGTCAAGTGTGTAGGTGTGTGTTGGAGTGTTTTGGCATATAACTTTGACTTCGAATTTTTTCCAGCTATAGTTTTAGCTGGTGGAGACTCCAGCTCTTCTCTGTAGGTTTTGGTGTAAGTGTATTTTTTTATACTGTCTATAAATATTTTTGGCGGCAGTGTAATTGATACCCAATAGCTCGGAGGCCTTTTGAAAAATGTATTATGGATGAGTACTTGTTTGATGGTCTTATTTAAAACTAGAACCATGTAGATGAGGATCCAACTTAGTGCGATGGTAGCTTTATTATATCTTTTGGAGATGCTTTTGCCATATTTGGCTTGCATTTGATGCTCAACTTCTTATTTGATTTAATCTAAGATTTTCATGAATGATATTTGTTTTATAATAATTAAAATTAAATACGTTGTGAGGTGATATTGCGTAATATTTTAATGAATAAAGAGTGATAAGTATATTAAGAAAGAAAATTTAGTTGTTGAATTTAATTAAATTCAAAAATGAATACAAGATAAAAGTTACTATAAAATATTAGTTATATAGCAGGAGATGCAAGAATCAAATAATAGAATCAGAGCAATTTGAGAATAAGGTCACAAAAGTCGAGAAAGGAGAATGCTAGTTTCATAGTCACAAAACAAACACAATAACCAAAAGCGAACATCAATCTCTATTAGACACAAATTCACTCGCCAATAAAAAATAGAAGCATGAATTAGAATAAGGAGAACAATATAAATTATGCATACGTGCCATTAAAGAATTCGGATGAACTCATCATTAATAGTGCAGAATCACATTCGCTTAATTTGTCATATTCGCCTTCTTCTAAGAAGAAGCCTTAGCCCTCGTGTTTCGTGTTGCCTTCGAGAAGCATCAAACCGAAAATGAGATTGACAAAGAAAGCACTGGAAATCAGAAGCATATATTTGGATAAGCCAAAACCAAAACAGAATAATTTTATTAACATAAAGGGTACACAGAAAGTAATCAGGTGAGAATGAATATCTAATAATGCATTTTTATTAAATAATACATTATTTGAGTTATTTTAACTCTGTATTACTTATACTATTAACAAATCATTTTAATTAAATCTTCCCTCAAATGAGCACTGCACAGTAAACAAAAAGAAGATAGTAACCATCCGAGCAGATGGGATTCTGTGTCTAATGTTTAAGTTTCATCCCCATCGCTTAAATCGATCTTCATTGTCGCAGCTGCATGGAAAATACCAAGAGACTCAATACCTAAATCGATTAAATCTCCTAATAATTACATCATATCAAGACAATCGCGATTAGAGCAGCCGAAAAGTAGGAGGATAGCAGCGAAAAATACAAATTTCTCATAAGGATATAGGAACTTAGTTCACAAATTGATGCCATTAGATGCTATAATTGTTAGAGTGTTAAGAAGCTAAGAGACATTGAAAGTGAAGTAAATGTACTGATAGCATATCCTTAAACTTCGATGACTATCATGATGTTGTTAAGCAGATTATTAGCCTTGGTGAAAGAGAAACTAATGTTACAACATCAGAAAAAGCTAGTTTCTTAGAATTCATTCCCTCGTGGTGTTGATACTAGAATCAAGACTGAGTCTTAACACTAGGAAGGCAGTGAAGCTGAATATACATACAGATAATTTAAATCGGAGAGTAACATCAGAGTATCTGAATATAAGAGAACATTTTATTCCAAATGTTTGGAGTTGAAACTTCAACTTGCCAAGAATGATCCTGCTTAATCCATTCTAGTTTAGGATTTATTCCAAATAGTGATTCGACAGAATTACAATCAAGAGGAAGCAGTAAGATTTGTAAGAAAGTGTTTTAAAGAAGGGAAAATTAATTAAGTATGAGTATTCTTTTTTTATTTCTAACTTAATTAATTATTAAATCGTTAAATCAATGGATTCCTCTCGACTATCAGATTATCAAATTATAGCCTCCAATCGCAATGCCATTACAGTATAGCAAATAAAGCAAATGCAGGTTCAGATTATGGAGTGTTCAGACTAGACTCTAGAAAACAATCCTGAGTACTTAGAGCAATTGATGAATTTGGCTACGATTATCAATTATAAGATGAAGACTCTATGAGTGTCATTATAATTACTAATATAAAAAGTTAATCAGAATTTAGATGGTTCTGCTATCATGATGGCTTCATTAGGATCATAATTGTATCCATCGAATTGAGCTATCGACTGTTATTAACAACAAATACCTTAGATAGAGTTCCTTCTAAGCATCATATTGTTTTCATTTATGTCCTGTTCTGTATCCTGAGTGGATCCTCCTTAATTGCTGGAACAACGAGGAATGTAAGGAGGACTCAACTCCTTATTGAGTAACTTATTCCACTCGAACCCTTTGAACCAAGGGTGGTACTTTACAGCCTCTGGATTGTCAGAACCCAATCTTTGAGCTGGTTTACGTTGGATCAACTTAATAAATTGAGATTAAGTTTACTTGATTGGCAAAATCAGCAGCATCCAAAGACCATGAAACAGGAATCTCATTTCTCTTTATCTGAACTTACTTCGCCAATACATTATCTCTTATTTCCTATCTCGATTTGCCCACATAGGGTCTTCTTCCCAACATGCATTCATAAACTATGACTCCCAATGCAAAATAATCAACAGCAATGCCATGATTCTATCTGCAAAGCACTTCTGGTGCCATGTACCCAGGAGTTCCACTTGTATCTGAGGAATTGTCAGGTCGCCAAATACGGGCAATCCCCAAATCTGTCAATCTGAGGTAGCCTTCGGAGTCGAAGACTAAGTTCTCGGGTTTCAAATCCCTGTGGATTATGCCTTGGGAGTGGAGATATTCCAGTGCTATGATGATGCAAGCACAAAAGAACTCTAATTACTATATTGCATCATATATACTAGTTTCTTCCTCTGAGAATTTCTTATTCTTTCCTATGTGATAACGGAGATCTCCTCCACTCAACAAATCCATAACTAGGTAGAGGTTCTCTCTGTCTTGAAATGCGGCTATCATGTTGATCAGAGATGGATGTCTGAGTTAACTCAAAAGGGTTCTCTCATTCATGACTGAAGATACACTCTTTTTTGAAATGACCCTTACGTTAGAACAACTATTCATTACTTTGCCTTCGACATCACTTTCAGGGCAAAATAACTTTTGTTTTTTCTCCTCTTCACTTTCCAAACCTTCCCAAATCCTCCTTTCCCCAGGACTTCAATAAATTCAAAGTTATGCACCGACAGAACTTCTTTATTAAATTCTAAGTACTTGATGAATCTGGAAAGTCCTTCCTATCAGTAATATTGCAATTCCCCATTATTTAATTAATATAACGATGTTATGCATCTATTAATAGATATATATATCAATATAACAAACATCTCTGAAGATTAAATAAAAAAGTATTCAATATTTTAGTTTTGAAAGGATCTCACTCTCCTCCGTTTTCTCATGCCCAACCATCGTTATCATCGGGCACTTGTGGTTCTCCAATTCCCTTCTCAATTTGTTCTCGCCCCTAACCCTCAAACTGCTCTCCAGATCAGCCTGCTTGATTAACAACGTTTTCGAATTCAAATTTACTCTTTACGACCTCAGATTCGAGTCATCCTCCTTCTCCACTACATAGCTCGATCCTCTCAGCTATTGGTACCAATTTTTTGGCGGAGATGGCAATTCGTTAAGAATTTCCTTCTTCAATCGATAAGCTGTTCACCTAATATTTTTGCATCTCACTACCTTAGCTCTTCTGCAACAACGTGAGTTTTTCTCGGCTTCTTGTTTGACATTTGCTTTGGATAGTCATGTTGACTGATTCCCAAGTTTATTCTCGTTCTTAAAAAGAAGTTATCACTCTTTATTATCGAGTATTTGCATTTCTTTCAAATAGAGTCAATTACTTCTCTAGTCTTAGTTCTTCCATTTCATTTTTTTGAATTCTGCTTTTGGTTTCTTATAAATATTATTCAATGTTCACATTTGCATGCTGATTGATTAAGGCTGTTAAGCTGGACTTATTGTGTGACACCTGTCGAGATAGGATATTAGAATGAATGGAATCTTGAAAAAGAGGAATTTTATTGGATGATTAGGATTTCTTCATGTTAGAAAGATTCGAATAGGATTGTTTCATTTTTTGAAAAACAACTGAGTTTTTCATTTTTGGAGAATTAGATAGTTTGGATTCTTCGATTTTCTTTTTAATCCTTTCTATGATATCCGGTTTCCCAACAACACTCCGAGCAATAATTTTATTATTGTTATCATATTTTGGTCCATATTAAGGATTATGTTTTTCAAAAATATTATTTGAAATTTAGGGCTGCAACTTGAAATTCTTAATTTGATGCATGAGGAACATGGTCTTTGATTATTGGAGATGATCTTACATTAAAAATATATTAATAATTATTTCATTATAATTAAAATATTCTATAGGAAGATCGACGACTGGCATCTCTCTGATTATAATTGGTATAATTTAAATCTTAATTCTGGTCCTGCTGTTATTGTTATTACATAATATCTTAAGGGAGTATCATTAGATCAGTGGCCTCTTTGGATTCCATTCTCAGTTTGCTATTTCCGTTGACCACAAGGTAATCAGAGTCGTAAAACTTATTGTTTAACCTCCGATTGATCATATTCTTGAATTTGTCACTGTACAATTTGGCCTGATTTCCACTCTTGATTATCTCAACATTTGGTTCAATTGATTATTGATAATTTCTCAATTTTGCATACCATTCCTTGTCATTTGGTTCTTTCTATATAAGATTTAATGAGTCCAATAATTGTTTCTTTTCTCGGAAGCCTTAACTTCTCCTGAGCAGAGTATTGTTATGAGAACGATCACAACGATACCCTAATTCCTACTCCAGATGGTTCCATTTCTGTTACTACCCTTCACAAGATTCCAAAATTCTCCTCTATTTGGTTAATAGATTTCTCTCAATTATGGGCAGAGTCTCTTCCTTGGTTCTGAGTGAAGTTTGAGAAAGCTTAATGTTGCTTTGGACTTTGTCAATGTGCAAGAGAATTTCCTCCTTTGAGATCTTGTTCATTTGAACAGGTTCTGCTCTTTTCTTTTTGTTTTGTTTCTTGTTGACTTAGGTAATAACAAAAGATTTAATCATTGAAAGATCCTCGTCTGTCGCTCTGCTATCCTATTGGACCTTGCCTTCTCGTTGAAATTGGTCAACAGTTCCAACAATGGATCTCTTGATGATGTCACCTCTGTCATCATAACGTGGACCCTAGATGATTCCGTTGAGTTGATAATCTTGAAAGATACTTGTACTCTGTGATCTAGATCTCTAGATTTCTTTACATGGTTATGCAACAAATAGTACTTTAATATTTTATATACTCATTATTTGCTCTATTGTCGTATCTCACTAATACTATTAAAGACTCTAACTAACGGGTTCTATCTTGATATTCTTTCTCTGACTGGGTTCCTCATATATGACTTAAGATTTGGTGAATTCTACTTGTTTTGGAGATGTAAATTGATGATAAGCGGGAGTTTGAATATTGATTGGGAATTGCCTCATTGGAGATCGCACTAACAACTACTTCTTCTGATTTTCCAGCGGCATTCCTATGCAATACTTCAAACCCTCATTCAGACGACCCACAAACTTCTCGATTGATAATTGAATGTTACGATAGTCTTGTTTCCACTTCGAATCCACGTAATCCAAAAACCCCTACACATCATCCACTTCCCGAGCATTCAGAGTCTCTATTTGCATATCGAACAAATGGCAAAACTCGGCTGTGAATTAATTATGGAAATAAGACTTTATCATTTTCAGAAAGTTCTCTTTCATTAATTCGAGCAGACGTATTTTCCTTAACAGTATTGCACTATCTCTATTGTTGGCCATCTCCATCTCCTTCCTTTGAGCAAAAGATTAGATTTGTTGGAATGCATCTTCAATATCGACTTCCAAGTTTTAGGATGTCTTCAATTTCTCATCCATTTCACTTAATTAAGCTATGAAATTCACCCTCTCATTTTCCTTGTCCTCTCTCAATCTCTCATGTTATTATATTAACTAGTTCTTTGATTCTTCTATCTTTTTCGAAACATTTCTCAAACACCTTTAAATCCCCTCCTGCAAATAATCATCATATTGTTCATTCACAAACACATTGTCCTACTCTCCATTTATTAATTGCAATAAGCCAGTTGACGAGTTCTTCTTATTACTGAAATAAGTAGCCAAGCATCCATTCTCATAGATGTTGCACAATTCCTCCAATTTGTGATTTCGATCATGCAATTTAACAGCACAAGTTGAACACATCACTCTCTATTAACAATTCCTTTCCAAGCATATCCAACTAAGAGATTATTTAGGGTGATTCTTGCACATTTATTCACTTTCCATTTTTAACGATTATCTAATTAATTATACGAAACTTAATTAAAAATAATAAACTATTCAATCTAATTCAATAACATTATATTATTTATCATGCCACTTTTAATCTGAAGTACTATATTGAAATGAAAATTAATGAAGTAGAATTACTTATCATATAATTAATATTGATATTAATCTATCATCAAGAGTGTTTATTATATGAATAACACATTAAATTATACATAATAATATATATTAAATTGATCCTTAACATATAAAGGTCTAAATCACACATAGATGAATCTAAGCACCAACACACTTAAGCCGATCGATAAAATGATTCCACAACCTAAGATATCAAATACAATTTCCAATTTTCCTATTCTTCTTGGTTTCAATTCCTAACTTGACTCAATCAAATTGAATTCTTGGACTTGCTTCTTACTAAAATATTTTATTTTAATGTGACAGGCAATCGGTATAAGGAAACCAATTATGGTTCCGATTATTGCACTTATTGTTATTATACCATAAATACCCTGTGTAACTTATCAAGTTTTCTAAGTTTAGGTTCATCATTTCGAAAAACAAACATATGAATGCGAACACAAATGAAAATATAATTAACATGTATGGTTTAGGATTCTTAGCATTGAAGAACGCAAAGAACCTTAGTCTGGCCACATATTAAATAATAGGGAGCAGCAAACTGATTTGAATGAATAACAGAATCTACGTGATTTTCATATAATTTTACTTGTAGAATTATTACAAATAGTTGTGATTGTGGGAAGTAATCCAAGATTGTGAATCCAGATAGTCCATCTTATGGTTTCCTTTCGAAAAGTGCATAACTACCAAAAAGGCCTACGACTTAATAAATTGAAAAAGTTAAAATATAGGCAATTATTATATCCCTAGATTTATGCTTGCTCTCCGATTTGGATAGGAGTGGAACCACCAAACTATGACCCAAAAAGGCCAATTGAAACACGCTTGGCAACACAGCGATCTGTATAATGAGGGAACATTTTTATTTACATCATTAGATTTCCATGTGGAGATTGTTGGGGTTTAGGAACCTTGGAAGATAATGAATACGACAGCTAAGAGTGTTGCCAAGGAGGCGTAAGTGGGCAGTTTTAGTAATGGAGTGATATCTTTGATAAAAAAAGTTGGCAGCAAAATAAGAATGTAAATCATTCCAAGAATTTGGTACGAGAACTAAGTGAAAGTGAAGACATTCTAAAATTATATCAATAGAATCTTACCTGGGGAGCTGAGTTAACGAACAAGGATATCACTGAGTAAATGAGCGAACAAGAAATTATTACTTAAATTTATGCACAAGCAATGTAAAAGATGATTGTTATGAAATTGAATGTTGTTTAGAATTTCGGCCCGAGAATTCGATTGATCAGAAATTGCAAGTCAACCTATCATAAAACTAGTTTTAAGACTTCTTTTTTCAAATGGTATTTCTTAACAATCAGACATGTCGTGCAGGACGCCAAGCATATGATGAATGAGAAGACTACTCCATTAAGGAACCCATATTGATTGTACAAAACAGGAAGCACTATTGGAGCTGATCCAATCTAATTAACACATTAGAATTTGTAATACCATTCCATTGGACAAAGTAAAGATGGGAATCAAGCTGCTTTTGTTCATGATTATTTATTATAGTGTTCAATATAGCCTATAAATACCTTTAAATTAAGTATAGACGTATTATTATATTTAACATGAGTAATTAATCAAAAGCAAAGAAAAAAATAAAATCACAAAAAGAATTACACTCCAATCAAGACAGACAAGATCGATTCTAAAGTGGACTATTAAAGAAGGAAACCGATAAATCTCTCCAAAATCAATCACAATAGAGTGACATCAATAAAATTAGCAAGGAGGAGTTAATAAAATAATTTCCAAATAAGATGCTGAATATGCTTTCCCAATAGTTGAAAAAGTTAGAGCAAAGTTCAAGTAATTTGAAATTAATGCAGATTAACAAGGATGTGTAACCTCCCGATTTGAATTTAAATCAAATTATCGTTTAATATCATGGAGATATTTTCTCATAATATTCCTAATACCAATAAAGTCAAGATCAGCTATTGGCTGATTTTATCAAGGGAAATCCTGAAAGAAACTAATAATTTTAGCAATTTAATCCACTTAAAATCCCTAATCCCTTTACTTCTAAACTACAAAGGTTGGAAGAGTTATTAACACAAATTTAATGATATTAATACAACAGCATATATAATGAGAATTTCTGTAATTATTTTTAAAATAATGGACAAATTTGTCTCGATCTCAATTATAAATAATTCAATGTAAAAACACACATTAATCTATAAATCACAATCTAAAAAGAATAAAGATTAGTAATACTCATCTTAATGAAGCAATTTTAATTGATTATCTTTCTAGCGTTCAAAATAAGTTATTGTTCTATTTGTACTTTCATCATAATGAGGTACAATAATATCAAGAAAAACAAAGGGTTCAGTGCTGCTATTCTTCGATTAGTAATTTTGTTACGTTAATAAAACTATGCAAATTGCATGCATTTGGAGTAGTATAACAAATACTTCCAGCTTTTAAACTTAATCTGGGTAATTCTTCTGCTTCAACCCTAACATCTTATTAAATGGTTGTTTTCTTAAATTAATTGACTTTTTCTAAATGACTCTATTTGATATTCCATCCCTCTCTAATTCCATCTCCATGTAAAACATAGGATAGTACAAACATATCGGGATGGTCATGCAGAGGCATTGTTACTGAGGGTGCAAGTGTGAAGATAGCAAATGCAAAACTATTATCTGGTTCAAATTATATTGGCAACATTGAAATTTCTTAGTACATGGTCAAATTCTTGTTTATGTAATCTTGAAGAGATTTTGTCTATAGAGCTTCAATTGTGAATTTGGTTATTGGTTGATAGTCGAACGTGTCCAAATATTTAGGTCCATGTAGCAAAAACTAAGAGTATATTCTTTTAGATTCTTTGATCAAATTTTACATTTTTATTAGTAATATTATATACTATATACTATTGATAAAAGAATAACATACAAAAAGGAACAATTCATATAAATCCCCATTCCAACTGAAATCTACATGTTAAAAGGCTATGGCCATATGAACAATAGTAACCTGTGATTTCAAACTAGCTCCTTTATTAATTTCTTGAGAAATCTGAATATAAATGTAATTTATTTTATCATTCACCATCTCGATCATTGATATTCATTCAGATATGAGTGATTTTGTTTTAGATTTATCAAGAATGAATGGGAAGGACATGGATTCATGATAATTAATTTATAAGAATATTTGTTGAACTAGTTAAAAAGTTGATTTATTCGTATCAAAATGTGAGGAGGTTAGTGATGATCAAATTTAAAAGGGATTTGAGTTTTCAAAGGATTCGAAGATTTAACTTTGAGTTGGAAAATGATGTAATATACTTTTAATTATTATTGAATAAAGGGGGGTATTCTTTATTATTAGAATCAATAAATTTCAGTAATTATTTATTTGAGATAAATGTGGTCTTCCGCTTCTTAGTAATAGGTACTCCTTTTTGTATAATTTCAGTAAGATAGACGTAATAGAATTCAGTCTAAAGTCAGATTCTCTGAGTTTTGATTAACATATTGAAAATATATTAAATTAGAATTCGAATGCAATCTTAACCAGAGATTAATTTGGAGAGAGAAAGAGAGCTTTTATTTGTGATTAATTAAAAAGAAACAAAAAATATCATTTTTGTTCATTTTTTTGATCAATATTGAAACGAAATGCAACAACACTAGTTCATTTCTGTTGTTGTATTTATCTTTTTCTTTAAGATTCTCTTTTTTTGGAAATCTTTTTATGAATAGTGAGACTTCTTTCAAGAGATTTGGTTTCCTCCTGCTCTGATTTTTCACATTCGATTTCTTAAGCTTGAATTATTTTATTGTGAAGCATTTAAGATACAGTGAGAATTTTCTCTTAAAAAGTCAGTCTTGTGTCATTCTGGTAATGCATGATTGCCAAAGCCAATTCGAAGTGGGAATATCGATAAATTTCGAAGTCTATTTATATATATTAAGTGATCATACCCATAAGAATGAACTGTATCAGACAATAGACTTATTCATCCATCTTAACATTCAGGGCAATCAAAAAGTCAGACAAAGTTATAAGATTTAACTAATAACCCATGGCTTTAAGGATCTGCACTTCCATTTCATTGTAGTCCTCATCCCTGTACAAAGGCTTGCTAACCTTGCCATTCTAGTAATCTTTGGGCTAAAATTAATCCAAAGGCATGAACTCTGTCTCGTTAAACTAAGGGCTAGAAGAATTATACGTACTTTATAGGCAATTGAATATGCCGATATACCCAACAATTGAAGGTAATCTTCAGAGATATTAAAATAATTTAAGTATGTATCGATAATAAGGACAGCCAGTTCTAAGGTTTTAATGGAATGATTGAGATTAGATGATAGCTAAAAATAATGTTTAATGTTTACTTTTGTAACCCATAAGACTAGAATATCTCTCTTGCAAGGACTGGAGGCATCGTATTTGTAGTATGGATTCAGCGTATTGAAGGTTTTGGGCTAAGGAAATCAATAAAAGTGATACTTTCTCTCTGGCTAATAAATCTCTTATTTCAGCAAAAGAAATCATAGCTGAAAAATTAAAAAAATAATTATACAATAAAATCCATTTAAATTTGAAATTTATAGATTACCAAATACTACACAAACTAATATCCCTAATTGAACGTGATTTAACATAAATATCAAGATACGAACATTTTCAAATTATTGTAGTATAATAAACGAAATAAAAGCATGTTATCACATGTAAAATCACATCACAATAAAATTGCTGACATTCACATCATAAGATCTGTATTCCATCTGAAAATAGTTACAAAACACGAAGACATCAATAGAAACACACTAAGAAGTGGGGAGAAGAAGAAGAAATAAATTGAATACAAACTAATATCAAATCCAATAAATATGTGCCTGCTCTAATTCAATTGATCTGCAATATTATTGTGTAAATCCCAAAGATATTGATTAAGAGGATAAATAAATACTTATATTATAGAGAAGATGGATATAGGATGTTATCAACTCAGCCAAAAATTTATATTTAGATTACTACATATATATTAAAGTTACAAAATATCAAGAACATTAATCTTTAATTATAAACTATGTCGTTACTTCACATTCTAAATTGATTATTTGGATAGTCCACTTCTTATCGTTTAATTATAAAGGTGTTTTAGAGAGAATAATCGATAATATGTAAATATACTTAACTAAATAAAGGAAAGTGTGTAATATATTATACAACGAATAGATTCATGATTGATATACTTTAACATAGGAATGTAGGTACATAGGTGATCTATTAGGGGAAGAACATACTTAGATATACAATAACTAATACAGTAAATTTGAGAATGAATCACTTTTCGAAATTCTAGTGATACTTAATGTAATCTATATTATGATTGCTAATTAATGATTATTGTGATTCTATTTTATGTGTTTATAATGAAAAAGAATAATATAAATTAATTAATAAAATATGCAAACAACAAATGGCATTTCTATTTTATAAATAAAAAATACTCAAGTATCAGTTTGCAATAATAAAAAAAAGGAAGAATTGATACAATTTGATTAATTTGACGAGGATTTGATTCCAAAAAGTAAGCTATTCTCTCCAATGAATGTTAATTTAAACCTGAAATGTGTTGAAAGTTATGGAAATAATAAAATTTACGACATCAATGATACTGGACCCAATGATCAACAGAATAAATCAGATTAATTGCTAGAATAACTGAATTCAAAGTAAAGAATGGACACCTCACTATAACAAGTTAACGTAATGACTGAGAGATTAAATAATCAAAACTTGATCTTCTATGCTCCTCAATATATTCCAGATGTTTAGCAGTTCCTGACATCCCCCGTACCCATAGGTATCTTTATAATTGTGATTTATCATTAGATAAGATTGTACAATGCACTTTAATTAAAAACAAGAAGGGCTTTTGCAATTTCTACCCAAAATTTGAACTGTATTTCTCAGAAAGCCTGAAATTTCTCTGTGCTGCCAAAAGACAATCGACCAAGAGGAAATCGAATTACGTAATCTCATCCAATACAGAGAACTTTAATTCTAACAACAAATCAGTATGTATAGGGAATTTGAAATATGGAACAGCTGAAAATTCATTTCATTTGTATGACAATGGCAATGACCCCAATAAAACTGATCAATTGGAAACCACGAGAAGAGAATATGCTGTTTATTTTTACAAGAAATCCAGTCTAGGACTCAAATCAATTAATGTCCTAATCCCCTCAGTAATTAATGGTTAGCCCTAAGATTTTAAACCCATTTCACAGAATCAAGGCATTTCAAAAGCATTCAGCCAATCCAAGAATGAAAACGTAATGCAGTTAGTCTCAAGGCCTCCTACTTACAGCGAAGAAAAGAATGCCTATCAATTGAAGTTCACATAGAGAGTGCGGTCAGCCTCCAATAAGAATTTTATTCTCATTTCTAATAATTAACAGAATGACGAAGAATTTTTAATTTAATTTGGCAAATGTGGCGAAGAATATTACAATTTGGATATATGCCATCCTCTTTCAATCTTATAAGCATTTGCCTTATGCATAACTTAGTTTGAAATTAAATTAGAATGAAGCATCATATTTATTTTAATCTCAAAATTATTAATTATTTTATTAATTCTATATAAATGAATTAAAAGCATTTTACATTGTAGAATTCAATTCAATATCTCAAAGAATATAACGGCTTCTAGGAATTTACTCAGATAAAGCTAACCGATCATAATAAAAAACGATATATATATCCTGTAATTTAAATCTCTCTATAAAGGTTTTAACATTGAAATGCATACATATAAAGTATGCTACAAACTTAGAAACAGTTCTTGATGAAATTAACCTTAAAGGACTATTCGTATGCGAATGCAAAAACACAGCTAATCATCCCAGTTAATTGCAAAAAGATATCAGATGGGGTGCTAATGAGGAAATCAATGAAATCTTCGATGAGGGTACAGTTATTCATAATAAACTATTCCATAATTTTCAAAGGGCGAGGAGATACAATGCAGCCCTTACTGATTAAATTGTTCTTTCTAGTTTAAAAAAATTGCTAGAATAATAAAATTCTAGAATTATAAGCAAAATACTTTAGAGATAGGGTTAAAATTTTTAAAATCAAAAGAACATCATTTTTAAAGCAATCTGCCTATTGGATTCTGTATCACTCAATATTCCTGTAAGATTCAATAATTGTGAACATCCAGAATGCTATGATTTAGCCAGTCTATTGGTTTATTTAAAAGAGAATTCTAAAATTTAAGGCCAAGCTGATAAATTAATATAGTTCTAGTGTAAACAAAGGACATGTCAAGTTAAAGTGGATATTTCAACTGTAAAAAATTTATTTGACAATATCTATATTGATAAAGAACTCTTAAAACTGATTTAAAAAGGGCTACCCAGTATTTATAAATACATCTATAATCCAAATTCTCAATAGATTTAATAAGATTTCTTAATATAGAGTAAAATAATAGTAGATCGATAAATCTATTAAAGATACTAACAAGAAGTAAACTAATAAGCACTAGCTTCAAACGAAGCATATTAGCAATTTTAGAAATTAGTTATGGAATTTGCTCACTCAATTTTACAAAGAACCTCTATCGTTCAGACAGAACAGAAGCTGAGACTTTTTAAATATAAGGAATTTGAAGTTCAGCCTATGATTGAGAAAATAGAACAGCCTGCTAGGTGTATCAATTGCCATATATCTTAAGTGATGGAATTAAAATACCTACTCTCTGATTTTTAAAAATAAAAAGACCTGTATAAATAACAAATAAGGCCATTGATATGCCCTTTATGCTAAAATAACCATAAGTATACTGTTTATATTCCAAATGTTATATATTTTGATAAAAACTTGTTTGATGCTTAAGAACAAGGGTTTTTAGAAAAGTCTGGAGAAATTCATATTTATAATGGGAAAAAATTGATGAAGGAAGAATTTCAACAAAAATAAAAAGTTGAATTAGAAGAGTTTAAGAAAATTCTCCAAAATGAAAATCAAAATTAAGTGTGCACTTTTACATAACTTTATTGTTGTTCAAATCCAGCGATACGAATTAGTTGGCCATTAGTTCTTAAGAACTGCCCAGAATAGAGAATCGTCGATTTTGAGAGTTTTTATAATCGCATTCAATAATTAGACGTAAAAAATTACCATGAAAAATGTCTTAAATTTTGTAATTGCTAATATTGCTCTGATAACCCATTTTCCTTTGAAGAAATAGTTTTTAATGTTTATTATCATGAGGCATTTTATATAGCTTTGACTCAATTTAATAAATCAAAGTTAAAATTCGAGCCCTATTAATTTACCTATGATTTTTAGTCAAATAGGATTATTGAAGAATCTATTCATACTATATCGTCGAAAAGCATTATTATTAATGAAAAATCATTTATCAAAGGGTTTAAGACCATTTAAGATGAATACCAAGCTATGTTTGACCAAAAGTAAATACAAGGGTATTAGTATTAAATTGTTTCAAATCAATTAACTACCTAATTCGCAATAATCGAAAACACTAGAGAAGGTTATATAGGAGAGTCAAAAACTTAGTTAAAAGAGATCAACGAAAAAATACAAAATAATAAAGTTGCTAAATAATATCGTTTTGAGATTGATAAAACAGAATTTCAAACTAATGGTTTTATAAAATTAGCAAGGGGAAATGTTAGTTGGCAGTAAAATTGATTAATCATCTCCATGTAGCTGATAATAATTATAATTTTTATGTAAATTAACAATAAGCATTCTTACACTGAATATATCGATAAGTTTGTTAAGGGAATGTTTATTCACTTCAATTTTAATGAACATTCCTTAAAATTACTCTTAATGCATATCTAACCAATTTGAAATAATTCGAAACATAGCATTTAATAAATATCATTTTAAGTTATTTTTAATATGATCAGATGATTTAAAATCAAGAGGATGGGGCTTCTTGATTGATAACAACAGTAGTACTCTGATCTGGGTTTTTATTTTATACTTGAGGTTGATCACTATTCAGTTTTTCCTATTTTATTATCATTTGTCTTTACATATTGATCAGATTTCTCATCTTTTTTCTTTTGTAATTGTTTGTACCCAAAACATGCTCCCAAAATCATTAACATTACACCAACTCCACTAAGATAATAGATAAATAAGGGCTATGTTGAATATTACTATTTGCATCCTGCTGGTGATTTCATTTGAAACCTAATATTAGATCAAATGATACGCAGTTCTACAATTCTCTTCAGACAACAATACAAAATTTGAGTCAGCTTCTGAACTGCATAGAATGTTGAAATTCACGCTTTTTTTTTAATTGTTTTCACATTATGAGCCTTATGAATAAGTAATTTGTAATCCGTTTTCAATCAAAGAAATTTATTAATTCTCTGGTTTGCCTAATATTTCACAAGAATCAGTTAATATTCCCATCACTTCTAATGCCTAATATGCTCCGCTCTAACCTTGACAATGTTTAGGGTGATTCCCGCAAAAATTAAACTCTAATTCAATTGATAAATATACAATAAGCCATTTTGAAAAAGCTAGAATCTGCAGATGCTTTCACTATGTATGGTTCAGTTCTTTATAATTGTGTTAAATTGTAATAATGGTCTTCCTATTTGAATTCGCAACCAAGAATTGTTGTTAGTTGTAACACTAATAATAGAGAAATCATAAAACTTAATTAAAAAAATTTATTATTATAAGAGATTAATCAAAAATAATAACTATTATTAATCTCAAATAGTGTGATTTCCTGTAATATTACGGTAAGAATGATTGAGATTAGTTTGATTAGTTTGAATCAATAAAATAAAGTTAATTAAGCTTAAAATTGAAGGAGCAAAGTTAAACATTTCTAAAATTAAGGTTACTTAGCTATTCAAAAATACTCATTTATTCCAAAGATTTGGCTTAATAATTTTAAAAATTTTAGAAACCATTAGAAGATGCTCAAAAAAGAGTAAAAAGAATTCTTGAATTCGGATATAAAGTTGGGTTTAATGAAAATGTTAAAAGTTAGATTAGCATACTTGCTTAATAAAAAGTGTATATTTGAATCATACTTAGGTAATAGTTGGATAGGATTTAAACAACATAGTTATTTTAAGAAATCCAATAAGGATTCACAATATAATTTTATTACAATTTATATATAACTCGAGTAGATATCATTAGAAAATGTTCATCATCATAGTGAACTATTAGATTTAACCGACTTTTTGTATGATAAACTAGGATGTTAAATAAATTTATACGATCGATTTATAGTTTTATCACTAATTTTTCTTGATTAATTTCTACTACCATCTGATAAATATGACTAAAACATAGTTGATTGCTATTAGGCGAATTAAGTAGATTGTTGTAGTAAGACTTAAGATTTCTTGGCAGAAGGTCGAAGACTCTCTTTAAAGTAGTTATGTTGCAAACACTCTTTTGCACTAATTCTTTTGTTCTTATCATAAAAAAGCATGTTAGATAATAGATCAAAACATGAGTCAGGAATATTGTATTCAATGAAATGCTCCATTGATAGTACGTTTTCTTTATAGCAGTATTACAAATTATCTAATTATGATTACTAAAATAGTTCTTTGGACGTAATTCTAATAGGAATATGAATGGAATTACAGTTTATAGAATACAACTCCAAGACTGAATATGTCACTTTTGGTGTTGTATTGAGACTTTTTGGAGGTGACAATTTCGGGTGCGATGTATCCTGGAGTTCCGCATTTTTGAAAGCATAACAGACTTCCTTGTTTTGTCGCCAAGCCAAAATCGATGATCTTGATATTGAGGTTTTTGTCAATCATAATGTTGTCTGGTTTGATGTCTCTGTGGAGTAAACCTTATTCATGGATATAAACAATTGCTAACAGAATTTCCTAAAATGAAATCTTGAGTAATTTTACTCTCATAATTGATTAAATTTCAGTTTAATGTAATTGTGTTCCATGTTCATTAATGAATCTTTCTAAAGTTTAACCATCTACAAATTCATGGATGATGACTATTTAATTGGTTTTATCATATATTTCTTTAATTTTCACAATATTTGGGTGATTTAATCGGTACAATATTTATATTTCATTTATGATATCCTATAATTCAGATTATGAACCAATATTACATTCATTCTTTCTGTGTTTGATTTCCCTTCTCTAGTCTTGTTCAGAAATTTCGCAGCCACCAATTGTTTGGTCTGCAAATTTTAAACCATTTGTACCTGATTATGATAGCATAATTATACTTGTGAAAAAGCACCGACTCCCAAGACCTATTGGGGCAGATAAAACTAATTCATATCAAGATAAACGATCTTGGCATCGATTAATTTCTTAAATTCTCGAATTTTATTAGCATTGGCTCTAAAGAGTTTTTATTGCCCTTGATAGGGGATGGAAAAACCATAAAAGTCGTCGTCAATGTGAAAGGTTATCGTGGATCTCAGGGATACTTCGAGTTGGTATTTTGGTTTCGCTTTGGTCTGGTGATATAGTTTGAATGCATACTTCCCCAATGAAAATACTCGAACCATCATAGGTTAATAAGTACTGTTTATCAAATATTAGATGTTTTCTAATACACTAGAACTGAAAAATCATTCCTTTTCAATTAAAAGTGCAATATAATCTTTCTATTATTATTAATAATTATCACTAACTAGCGTTTTTTCATCTGCAATTTAAAATCGGTTGGGATTTATAAAGTATTTTTTTTTACTTGTCGTGCCTTTTGTATTTGCAAAGTTGTTGAATTAAATTTGATTTATAAATATGTGGTTATCGATTATTTTCATATTACTTAAAATTTCAATTATTTATTAAACTTTATAAAGGATAAACAGAAAAACAATTATATTATCAATCCATGTTAAAAAATAATCAATTAATTTAAATATTTTAATGCACATAAACTCAGAATTGCTAACAGAGAGACCTTTAATTCCCTAAATCAAGAAATCTGATTCTCTCAGAAGTCAAAGCTAATTTAAGTCTTGTCCAGCATATTTCAAAACACTATAACTCCAAAAAATATAAAGCATCAAGTAGAATTAGGAAATAATACAATCGTCCAAGGTAAATCCATTAAATGTATTTGTAAAAATCGTCAGATTCATAACAATCATCACTCAATCAATCTTCCCATAGGACTTTAAATATCTAGATGCCAATATGTTTCGCATCATTAATGACAAGGCTTCCGATTTTAAGTTTTATGTGAAGAATGACTACTTTAAATACATAGTAATTCCTATTTAATCTTAGAAAGCAGCCCCGGATTCCAGACTTTAACATTTGATATAAAAAACAATATTCAAGCAATACAGTTTACAAAACTTAATCGATTATTTGTCTAATAGTAGATTTTTATTCAAACCAGAATAAAAGTTAATTTTAATCTGGAATATTTATTTACTGTTTATGACCAATTTCAATTTTTTATATTGCACAATAAAGTTTGCATTCGATTTTGAAAATTAGAGACCTGACAATTATAAGGAAAGTGAGGTTTTCTTTTTGATTATTCCTTTTCTTAGTTATCTTATAGACATATTGGTTAAATTAAATAGTGGCTATTATGAGGCTGGTTATTTGGTTACTGATAGGAATAAAATATTAAAGCATCTTTACTTTTCTAAAGACACCCTAATAGACATATTCCTAATAATAATATCCTTGGCATACTTCTTTAATTAAAAAAGCAATAGCACCTTATAATTGTTCATGGTAGTCAAAATAGTTGATGTTCCAAAGAGAGTTGGATTAATATTAGATAAATTGGAATTGACAACAAATCATTGGGCAATCTATGATTTAATTAGACTATTGTACTTAATTGTGTTAGAGGCTCATACATTTTGTTGTTTTTTGTATTTTGTTGGGTAGTAAAATAAGAACATCTCATGGATAATTAAAGAGAATCTTGAAAATGCTGATCTTATTACTAGTTATGTAAAATTGCTGATATTTCAAGATTTCATCATTTTACTGGAGTGTTATTACTATGACAACAATAGGCTATGGTGATTTTGCACCAACGAATTTGAATGAGAGAGTCCTAGTAATCTTCGTAGCAATCACATCATGTTGTACCTTTGGGTTCTTTGTATCATCTGTTGGATAAATCATAAATTCTATATAGAAAAAAGAATAGAAGATTAGGTTGGATTTGAACGATCTAAAAAAGTATTTAAGGATTAGAGGATTTAATTAGCAATTACAAATCAAAGTAAGAAGATATTTTGAGTATTTATGGAAAGATTGCATGGGTTAAGATTAAATTGACATGGTAAAATTATAGTAATAGTTGCCAAGCAATTTATTTAATGTAAGAATCATTTTTCATCATTTTTAAGGAGATGCTTTTAGATTTGAATATGAAAAGCATATCAAAGATTCCATTCTTTCATGAAAATTTTAGTGCTGATTTTCTATAATCATTAGCTGGAGACTTTGAAGAAGAGCGTTTAACACCTTGGTAAAGTATCTTTACAAAAGGTGAGTAAAGTCAATATTTATATATTTTATGCGAAGGAGAAGTTGAATATTATGTTTAATTGCCGGAGGGATCATCAAATTCAATTTCTATATAGAAAATTGATGGCTAAGATGAAATATTTGGATAATAAGATTTCTTACTGGATTAACATCACTCAATAAATTGTAGAACAACGAAGGTTACCAGGATTCTAAAGATCAGTAGAGAGAATTTCCATTAGATCGCCAAAAAGTATGGATATGTATCTTTTTTGTATATGCAAGGAAAAATATTGTTAATTGAGGGATTTGGTTAAATTTTCTGGCAGATTTGATGAATTTCACATCTAATGCATTGGATGTAGTAAATCAACGCATCTTTTATATAATTGTCCTATGCTTAGCGGTTTTCCAAGCAGGACAAAAACGTTGATTAAACATAAAAAAAGGTTTTGTTAAGAAAGAAGATTAATACAAAGAAATAATAATTATAAGCGTATATCAACATTGAGTTTTGAGAGTAAAATTGCTGATAGCGTATTATTCTTTCTCTTAAGAGACCCCAAAATGTATGAGCAATTAAGTACTTAAATTAATCGAACAACTCCTATAAATTAAAATGGGGTTCGACCCAAATCTAAAAAAAAGTTATCAATTCAACCAAAAAGAGGAGTGCCCATTTTTTTAAGTTAAGAATTCTCGAGATCACTTGAGGCAAATTATGAGAGAAGTTTAGGTATCTAATTTAGTAAAGAGCAATAAAGTCAGATTAAGAGAATTACCAATTTTGATTAAGAATTAACCAAAGAAGATAGCTTCAAAATATCTAAAGGATTAAATAAATAATTTATTACTAAGAGTACTTAAAGTATGACTAGGCTAAAAAGTTAAGATGCAATTGAGGAGAATGAGGATGAAGTAGAAACTCTTGAGGTTAATCCTATTTGGATTGAGCGATAAAGTATATGTACGTTTGATAATCTAAGATTAAAATGAAAATATGGGAAGATACAAGGACATTTTTGAAGGTTTCGATTTACAGAGGGATTATGATTCATACATGCCTCACATGAATTTTAGGGAAATACAGAATCATTTTCAAAGGAATAATGATTAAGATAGTTTTCACGATTTCATAGATGCCAATATAGTCAGAAGAAAATGGAAAAAATCAAAAATTGTTATTGTCTTAGAATCTTGAAATTATATTTATATATTTATAAATGTCTTATTAACAGAAGGGGTTGAATGCAGTAAGATTATCTCAAATCAATTAACCTATTCTAAAAGCTCGCAAAAGCTAAGATTATCCAACTGAGTATTCATTGGATCACCAATACAGAAATAGTTCACTCAAATAGAACAGAGCTATAACTCAACACAATTCGAGATTAATTATGGAAGAGGAATTTGTAAAAATGCGAAGACCGTAAACATCAGAAGGGAGCAGAAGGAAGAAATTGATAGAGGATCATGCTTTTTAGGGGACTTATAATTCCAATACAAAATGCGAAATCTTAGAATGCGAGAATGAGGATGACAAAGAGTAAATAATATTTATATAATTTGTAGTGAACAATTGATATCATATAACTACCTTATAAATTGTAATCCTAGTAACACCACACGCAATAATTAGAAGAAGGTTCCATTTTAAACTACTCTCGACTAAGATTTTCTAAGTTTGTTTGCTATTGATTGATTGATTGATTGATTGATTGATTAATTAACTTTTAATTTATATATATAAAAATGGGGAATGGAGCATGTCACTAATAAGTTCCTTCTATAGATGAAGTAAATTTAGTTGCTCGAAACTTTAAATAATAATGCGAGCCTTGCAATAGTTAATGTGTATTACCACTTTTGAATTCATAATCTTAAAGTCCATCCAAGCCTAGCATCGAATCAAAGAACCCAACCATTGCTAGATTCGACGAAGAAGAATTTGAAATATTGATGACCAATGAAGACAAGGAGGATCACGATTTATCACCTGTCAGACCAAGTAAATTGTCTAGAGCTTAGTCTCCCACTAAACCTATCAAATCTAAACATCATTATAAGTAGGAGGAGATTTACTTTTTGGAATTGCTTAAACAAGATAAAACAAATATCACCAGGAGAAAATCCGCAGATAGATAACTAAGTCCTGTCAAAGTCATACATTCAAATCATTAGAAGAAGCATAACACTGCTTTATTGATCCACACTCCTGATCAGAGATCCAATTAACTTATCAAAATGACGAGGTTGTCTTGCCAACTTGATGAAGCAGTTATTTTATCTCTAGAACCTAAATCAATTCTGAAATCCATAGGCTCTGAAAAATCCCTAACAAACTCCCAAAAGAGTAAGACCAATAGTTAAAAGAAAGTCAGATTTGGCATGGTTTATCGATAGTACAAGTGAGCATCCCGATTTCAAACTCAAACTACTGTTATTTTGAATCTAACATTCATTATATAATTAACTTATTTAATACTATTTTACATCAATTTTTATCAAGATACTTTCAAATCATTTATTAAAATGTAAAATAAACTAAATTTAAAAAGCAAAATAATTTATTTAATTTCCTTCAAATTTAATAACTCTCATATAATCAAATGCATCTGACTCTACCATCTAATCCAAAATACTTTACTAAAATTAGATTTCTTCCTACACATCAATTAACTTCATAATTGCAACAATTGTGGATGCCATTACCAGTCGCACATAATTAACTTTATAAGACTATCATTGTTTGATTTCGTAAAACGAATTGTAGTAATCACCCACTCGACAAGGTGAACTCAATAAATTAATTAGAGATTGAAAATATTTATTAATAATCGTTATATTTTTAAATATGAATCAATTCTAGGATGTATTCAATGAGTTCTCATAATTACACAATCAGAAATACAATATAGGGGAAATATTATCATTTTTGGATTCCAAATGTGCTAATGGCTATTTCGATAGAGATGTGTATTAATAATTGATTGAGCAAATCCCACAAGCATCATTGCAATAATAATGCACAATTAATTAGTTAATTAATGTATTTAAGAAGGCGCAGGATGTGTTGAATGATAAAATAAACAAATGCTAACAAATCATAGATTAGAAAAATATGTAATTACATATTTGAATTATCAATAGTGAAATTAGGGCCTATAATGATAAGCTTAGGCAACAGTAAACAAATAGTGTCAATTCATAGAGTAAATTGAATGTGGAAATTCTTGATGCTGAAATTTTGTATCAAGGAAATGGATAATTATAAATCAGTTTAGAATGCATGTCCTCTATTGTTTATACATGTAAATTAATAATTGAATTGTAGAGTTAGCGAAAAGACTAAACCCAGTTTGGAATGAAACCTTCGACTTGTATATGCTTGTAATTTATGATTTAGTAATGCCAATGAGTAAGCAGTGATCAAATTCATCTTGTTGGATACAGAACTGCAGTAGAAAAGGGGCATCGGAGGAGTTGCTTATATTGACATTAACACTTTTGGAGATTAGATGCTTCATGACTTCACAGTGAATTTGACTGACGAAAGTAATTCTATTGTAAGAGCCAAATTGCATCTTAAAATATAGTGGATCTATTCAAAAGTAAAGATTACATAGACTCTTAGAATAAATACTTATAAGACTTAATCGATGAGAATACGGTGTAGATCAACCAATTGGAGTAGGAAATCAATGATCACATAGTTGATTTGGATATTATCAATTCCCCATTTAAACAAGCAATCAAATTTTAAAACAATCTGACCATATCGACATACCAAACACAACCCAATCAGTAATAATAATAAGCAAGTCCCTTGTTGATAAGTGAAAGCTAAATAGATAGATTGGTTTAGATTTCGCTATTATTAATTATACTGTATTTAGCGTTTGGATTGCTGAATAGTTTATACCGAACACTAAACTTTGATGTAACAAAGTGTGATATATTATAGTTTTTAGTGATTTTCTATTGCTTTTTGTTTTATCAGAAAAACTATAAACTTCAATCGTTGCTTCACATTAAAATCATAATGGTCATGTTAGGTGTTGCCTTACTGATGGATATAATTTGGCTTGCAATTTATAGTACTGTAATACTCATATTAAATTAATAGCCATATCTGGGAGAATTTAATGCACATTTTGATCATTTAGAATACAGTTTGCAAAAATATCAAATAATACTGAGTTGGTTGTTGCTCTTTGTGAAAGTAAGTGTAATTGCAAAAATAGATCGTTGTTTTGATGTTCTATGTTCACATCTATGCCATCTACCCTGATAAATCCACATAGGTCTATGATTAATAATGGAATGCCATTTTTGGATGGAAAGATATTAAGCAAATCAATATCTAAAGAAATTATAATTGATTAATATAATAATTTTCTATTCTATTTTATTGCTAATCTTATCTTCTTATGAATAATCAAAAAATGAGATACTAAAAAGTGATCTACCTAAACTAAACTAAATTAAATAATAATAATAATAATAAACTATTAACTATTAATACTATTATTAACTGCATTTAAATTTTCATTAATAATTAAATTTTATTTCCGAATCAAATGAAAATCTCCATTCCAAACGATCCAAGATTTGCCTATTAAAAATCTCATTTGAGTCCTTGCATTGATAATTCAAAATCAACGTATGGGATCGCTAAATCTCAAATACAATAAGGAAGCCCTTGTAAAATTAAAATTAATATATATTTAAGCCCTTTTACCTCCATACCCTTAACAAAGTAGAAATCTGTCTATGTCATTATTTTAAACGCCTTCCCCTTAGAGACTTCCATAATCTTTGGTTCAATAATCTACTCCTTAATCGGTAGGAAAACCAAATGTTGCTCCTCCTTCTCCTTTATATGTAAAATAGGTCCAATCTCCGTAATTGGCGTAATCGGCATAACCTAAATATCAATAAATGATATAAACATAAGCACCTTAAGTTCATATTAGTAAATATACATACATAACAATATCTTTAGTCTGTGAAATAAAGGAACTGCCTGTAGTTCATGAAGTGCATCATGTAAATAGGCCTATAAATGTGATTTCTATGGCTGAGATAGAAGCACCTTGGAGAAGTAAACAGATTCTTTTGGAGAAACAATTAATTGATGTTAAAGTATGGTTCTCAAAAGAAGGTAGAAACAAGACACATAATTGTGGAAGACGAAAGTAAAATTAGGGAACTTGAATAAGAAATTCAAAAATTGCAGCACATTATGAGAGAAAATGAGGAGAACATTTAAAATTTGGAGAGTTTGGTCGATTAAGCGTAAAATAATTTAGAGAATGTGGAAGAATAAGTATAAAATTAATTGGAGGAACAACATGCTGAATTGGCTAGGTGGAGGAAGAAGTTCTAAGAGCTGAACAAGAAATATCACGACTTAGAAGAGGAGATAACAATGACAGAAGCCCAGATTGAGAGTATTCAGAAAAGAGCAATTGTTACTTAAACCTCATCGAGCAAATTAATATCTAAGTCAAGGGTAGGTCAAACTGGTGGCAGTGCCTAAAGAGTTGCCAGTGTTAATAGGAATTTTTGATTGTCATTATTTTATATTCATTTTGAATTAAGTAAATAACAATTACATTATATAAATTACTTAAATCTCCATGTTACACATATTTCTGCTGTTTAATATCATCTCAATATTGTGCGCTCAAACATGCTCCACTACTTAGATTTCTTGTGAATCCATTAAAACTAGCGATTTATGCCATTAAACTAGAGATTCAAATGATAATCACCCTTGTGAGTGGAATACAGATAAATGTGAAAAATCAATTCTTTACAATCTGCCATGTTCCAAATATGCTAATGAGTATAATTGCTTTTATAGATCTTATGGATGCAGATGGGATGGAACTAATATAAATAATTATGACTATTAAGCAATGTTAGCCAACACAGATGGAAAGTGTGTTGATCAAAAGTATGAAAATTCATATTCAATCAAGATGCGAAGATTCTACTAGTTAATCCGATTGCACTTCCTTTGGTTAAGTATCATGTGATTGGCAGGACGGCAGTTGTGTTTAAGTTACATTATGCAAAGATTTCTAAACTGTAAAGGGCTGTAGAAATACAAGATTTAAGGAAAAGTTTATAATTATGCTATTATTAGATGCGTACCTATTGTAAATGGGGATGTATTACCACTTGAATAAAAATCAACCACTATTTTTGATTCATTTGAGTGCGTCGTTTAGGAATGCAAACATAAATCTAATAAATATGATTGCACTTTTGTAAATGGAGTCCAATGCATTTGGGGAACTAAGTATTTAATTCATTTAACCCAAGAGGATGTTCTGTTTGTGCTGCATTTACCTAATATGAAACTTGCATTGAAAATAAAGGGTTGTGCTTATGGAATTAAAATCAGTGTTAAAATATTGAGTAATTCAAAATTTTGATTTATGTTAGATGTTAACAATACAAAAATCCTAGTTTGTGTTAAATGAAGACCGAATAGTGTGAGTGGAATACATTAAAAATGAGATGTCAACTCAACTCTACCTAAACAAATTAACATTGCTATTCTGAGTACTTGGATTAATAAAACTAAGAATAGATTATCGAAATAATTTTAATTATTTCCCTTATTGTTATTGGTTGAATTTTAACATAATTTTATTTATTTCATTATTAATATATAATTCTAAATTAAGAATAATTAATTAAATTATATATTAATCAATTCAGTGGCTGTTCATAGTTTTATCAAGGAATTTATTTCACCATTTATTCATTAGTGTATCTAGGATGATTCAAGTTTTTGATACTTTTTGGAACTGACATGTCAACTTTCTATAATTCCTATTAAATTTGGTGTGTATTTTTTCTGAGAACTTGCCGCTTTGTATATTGATTGTTAATTTGATGTTCTTGAGACTTAAAATACAAATATTTATAAATGGATATTATAATTCATTTAATCTCAAAATTCGAATAAAGTAACATTTCTTGAGCAGCCTGTTTAACCTTCTCTACGTTAGAATGAGACCAAGGTAATCTTTTCACGTCGAATTCAAACTATAAATTGTATACAATTTGATAAGTTACCTTTTTTTCATCATGTATATGGTTCATAATTTTATTGCAAAGAGATGCAATTTTTTTTTTTGAATCCTTTTGTATTTCTTGTTCCAGGCAGCCTAAGATATACGAAAATTGTACTTAGGAATTCTCTATAGTAGTTGACAAAAGTTTAAGATGAGAAAATTTATTTTAAAAAATCTGAATTCATTGTTTTGTTTTTGCTATTCTTTCTAAATGGGAGCATTATGGTAGTTTTAATTTCCTTCTCCACCATTGACATGAATATTTTCTGTGCTGTTTTCAAATTTGTCTCTAATTTTATAAACTAATGTATACTTGTCTTATCGTATTTCTCCTAAATCCTTTGGAATATAAATTTCAATGCTTTGCGTAGGCAAAACTTCACAAGTTCTTCCCGACTTTTCTGTTAGCATTTCTGTTTCTGAGCCAGCACTTCAAGCAATTTTATTAAGGCAATTTAATTGCTACTTTTTAGCTTTGTTATCATATTGTGGAAAGATTCGTCCTCGTTGATAATCATCATTATGTATCGTTCGAGAGTTTCATTTGTGATTTGGGGTGTCACATCTGAATATTCTACAATCGATCTTCTGGTGCCTTAAGTGGAAATTGGGTCTTCCTGATAATGTACTAGATATATTTAGGAGGAAAGTGTTACCTTATTCAAAATTTTATTGGAGCTTCTATTAATAACATGGGAAAGGTTGTGAGTAAGCCATTTATTGATAAGCATAATAATTGTTGTAATAGGAGTTTTGTAGATTTTAGTATGCATTCCAGTAACTGATTGGCGAATAGGAATCAAAGATGAGTTAGTTGGGTAAAAATTAGTGCATGGTTTGCAAATAATTACAAATTTTATAATTAGAGATGAAAAAAGATTTGCAATTTTAAAGTCATTATTATGTATTAATACGGATAATTAAATTTATCCAAGTTTAATGGGCTGCTTTGTATTCAATTACACGGCAGGGTTGTTCAAAATGATGACCATTTTAAAGCATCTTGCTGAAATCCAATAAAATTAAAGAATATTCTTAAATATATTTGATTTAAATTACTGATATTTTAAGAGTCGTTTGAACTTTATTAATTATAATTTCATATAATCTATACATTTTGAAATCAGAGAAATCCATAGATTTCTAATTAGAAATTACTCATTTTCAATTGATTGACAAACATATATTCAAAATACATATATTTATATATTCCCAAATAAAAATAGAAAATTCGATTTGATATTGTTCAACTGTTTCTCCTTGCTTTATAACGGAAATCACAAATTTGAGCACCCAAGAACCCAACAAAGCATTTCCCTTTTGATTGTGACCATCCATGTCCAATTTTTTTTTTTAGTATTTCCTTACTTTTTCCATTAACTAATTGATATTTGATTAAATAAAAATAGTTTCAGTTCCCTGTTATTGTTGAGTCTAGAATTTGAAAACTCAATTCTTTCACCATCATTCCCTCTCAACGGTAACAAATAAAAATCATGATTATTTTTTAAAAGGATAAATTCATTTTTATATGAGAATGTCCATCCTATACAGAATTTAGGGAAAAAAAGACAAAAATAATATATCTATTTAATTACATCACTGAAAACATTAATCGTAATATAAAAATGAAAACATTTTTGTTTGATTTTCATTTTGATAACAACATCGAAGCCCCCTTAGCTTTTATTGACTGTATCATTTCAATTCTTTCAAATTAATACACATTATTATTGTGACCTAATCCTAAATTGCCATGTTCATTCCATCCGCTTACATATATTACTTATTTGTCTTTATTAATTATTATGGTTGATTCTGATCCGCATCTAACTGATGTTGCCTTTAAATCAATCAATTAATAATTGTAATTGTGTTATTTTTTATTATCTCCTTGTTATCCTAGATCTCCCCTTCCACAAACATAGACCTATTCATTTTTTGTCAAAATGACATGGTGACTCCATCCACAATCAAAATCTTAAACATTTTTCATCAATTCTTGTTCCTCTAATATTTAGAGTTGAGGTTCTTATGATAATTATCCAAAACCATTATTTCCCCATCCGTATAAGGAATTATCATCTTGATATGAATGAATATTCTACTTGATAATGCCAAAGTAAATTTTTATCCACATTTAATTTTCTTTATGCTCCTTTGAATATTGATCTTAGTGAATTGTTCAACACTCTTCACATTTGAAATATTTAACTCATTCTACTTATTTTATCCTACTCCTAATACGCATTCATCCTGAATTATAAAACTTTATCTAAAGCCACATGTTAAGTTGTTTATTTTGGTATGATCAACTGCTATCTATTAGGGTTCCTCAAATATTTGTTTATGAACAAGTCCCAACTCATTAAATTTATTTGATCCTAAACCATAAAGTCCTTTATCAGTAAGGATCAAACAATGTTACCAACCGCAAGAAAATTTAGATACACTTTATATTAGGCTGATCTCCTTTGGAATTACATATAATGAGACCCATTACCCATATATGAACATTTTATCACCTTCTTTAATTAATCCTACCAATCCACTAAACTTCATTTTTATGGTATTCTAATCCTTGTTGATTAATTATGAACATATTTTAGGAGTATTTAAGTCGTCCAAGGTGTCTTACAGTAATAGTCCACAGCCCCCTGACCCGCAAGAGTAGTATTATATTTATTACATAAAAATAATAAGAATATTCAATTCATCACTTCCAATAGTATAATAATTATAATTTGTATGAAAAACAAGATGTTGCCTATTTACTTGAATTTTCTGTCCTCTATCTCTCCATGATGTACTTGTTTCTTTTTATTCTCAGGGGTGTAATAAATCTCCATCTCTTGATATCTAGTCTTTTTTGGAGTGAAGAATTATAATTGCTAGGTTTCCTTTTCGAAATCCTCTTGTGACTTGAAAGGGATTATATCTTTTTGGGTTTACCTGTAATCTGTTTCTGGTGAAGAAAATTATGAATTAAACTTTTGATCTTGTGTATCCTACCTTTTGAGCAAATAGTGATTCTCTGAAATTTGCATTTGTCTTTAAAATTAAATAATCAAGCGGCAATGCTCTAATTATTTACTTAAATACTAATTATTCTATATTAAAATATAATTTATTATAATTTTAAAAAATTTTATATTAAATGCTCTCTTTTTCAATCGTTTTTTTATTTAATTACCATATTTTAGCTGTCATTTTTTAACTCCAATTTTTGTATCTTATTTCACTGATCATTCAGAAGACTCTCTTTACAAGAATAATTCCTGAAATCATTGAGCATTATTAACAAAAAAACATTAAAATTCTTTATTTGATTTCAATTAAAAAAATAATAAATAATTTTCTAAAGTAATGCAAATGCAAAGTAGAATGGCCAAAAGACTGCAAAAGGACTTGGAGTAGATGCAAAAGTCATACACAGACCAATTCAATGTGAGAATGCCTAATAATGATATTAAACATTGGATTGTAGCATTTGAAGGTGCTAAGGGAACATTGTATCAAGGAGAGAAATTCGAGTAATATAATTTAAATAAATTAGATTGCAATTCAAGTTTTCAAATGAATATGTAGAAATACTTATACTTATTTAGCTCTTTTTTTCTTTGAAATTAGCCAATCGAATCTCCTGAAGTAATATAATTCTGATTAAATAGGTAATCTTTATTGGCAAACCACCAGAACATGAGCACATCTATTCCAATGGATTCATTTGCTTATCAATATTATTTGATGGTACTTCTGACGCATAATATATTTTTAGAATGGTCAGCAGCCCTTACTGTGAGTTCTGTCTGCTTGTCTATACAATCGATGTTATCTAGTGCTACAAAAAAAGTCTCTTATTATAATATATCTAAGATGAAACCCCCTAATGATGCAGAATTCGTTAAAAGAGCAGCTGGAAGAGGTCCCAAAAGCTTTCTATGGAGTTATCATGATGAAAAATGTTGAAGGCTCTTTAAAAATATATAAATTAAATATAGCACCATTTAAACATATAGCAATCATTATTTCAATCATCTAGTTGCGTTTCGAATTCTACTTAAACATATAAATACATAATATAATTTTTAATATATAAAAATAGTTTTGGTTATATTATTATTAACTTTAATTATTTAAATTACACTTAATTTAGTCACTTAATTATGATAAAACATAATCTAGGAACTTAAGGTTATTCATCTAAAGATATAGGATGTTGAAATTGTCAATCTTTCACAATCAGTTGAATCCAAAAAAGTGATTTATTTAATTTATCAAGTAGAATTAAATCAATTTTCATTAATTCAATTTAAGAATTACGTAAAAGCAATTTCTCAATTAACAATTATTTTCCAATTTGAAATAATATCATGTATTAGATTCAATTTTGTAATTCATGAATTATTGTACAAATAAACTTAAAGCATGAACTATCTAACTAATAGTCAGGAGCAAAGAGATGAAAATTATAGCCAAAATGAACTCATAAATCTTTTCGTCTAAAGGTTTTGGATCCATCTAAAATTTTTAGATCTGTTTTCAAGCTCTATTATTTTCTTAATGACTATCTAGTTTTATCTGTACGATATTAAGTGTTTTAGATTTTCTAAGTCATAGTTATACTTTAATTCCTAATTTAGTTTTACTAGATGCTGAGCTTGAGGAATTCTTTTTTCTCAAGAATTATTTGAATTGATGAACATCTATTGATTTTATTCGACTTTCTCTCCTTTTGAAGTTTAAATAATTTCTGATTTACTAAAAATAAACTATGATTTCTTTTTCTTAAATGATTTATTATCGATAAAAAACAAATTCATTTCTTGAGAATTGATCTTGAGTCTTACAAAAATCCCTTAATATAATTTTTGTACATAGAAGATACTTTGTTTATAAATTTAAACTTAATATATTATTGAATTTGGAGTTTATTCATTTTATAAATATTTTATTATCAATAAGGATAAATGCTGGTAAAGAGGTTTAAAGTCTAACTTAACCACGAGATAAAAAATGATAAAGCTCACTATAAAATCACAGTTACTAACTTAAATAATGAGAAGGAAACTAAAACAACTACGAATCGGTATTCAGAAATCAAAGATTTTCATGATCAGTTGCACAAGAATATTGCTCTATTAAAACTATAATTGCAATTGCCATAATTCCCAGGGAGATCTCTCTTTAGCAAAACTAATAAAAATGAAGAAAGGATTCAGCAAAGACAATCTGAATTAGAAGTTTATTTTAATGAACTTTTAAGCATTGATAAAATACTTAGTTTAACACCAGTCCAACAATATTTACCCATAGAAACAGATCAAAAATAATAGTAGAATATAAATAATATCTTTAGAATGAATATTACTATAAAGATTGAAAATTATGCAATGTATGATGACGTAGTTGTTTATTCTCTTCGTTTCAAGAATAATTATACAAATGATGAATGGGTATACAAACAAAGATATTCTGAAATAAAAAACATACATGAAGCCCTTATCGAACAAGGATTCAAAAACAAATTACCATAGTTTCCAACAAGGAAATTATTTGGGTAAACTAATGAAAAACCAGGTATAAATTAATATAATAAAATTAAGAGAATATCGAAAAGAGAAGGGAGGATTTAGAAACTTATTTAAATTCGTTGTTCTGTTCTTAAGAAATATAAGAAAGTTAAATCTTAAGATTTCTCATATCAGATTCAAAATAATATCACGAGAAGAATTTAAAGCTGGAGGAATTAAAAAATTCTTCTACGCTTAAAACCAAAGGCGATCTGAATTAAAGAGTCAAAGAGATTTCAAAGAAATCAAACCTTTAAATCTACTAAAATAAGTGATTATTAACTTTATATTAATATTCTCAATAAATAACTCTTATTTTATATGATCTTATTTTTAACTAATTGTATTAACAATAGTCAATATTAATTAAATTAAAATTTTACCCTTGTCCTATGATGAAAAGAGGATCTTTTGGATTTATTCATGCTGATAATTCATAAAACTAAGAGGTTAATGGAGGTCATACACAAGAAACCGTGAGAAACAGTAACAAGTTCAAGCGATTTTGGACGGATGACTTCTCTCATTTTCAAAAGAGATAGGTTAAAATAGAAACAGAGTCAAATCAAACTGAATATAAATCGCAGGCATTAAAAGAGATGGCTTAACAGAAAAAACTTAAGTTTCTTGAAACCCCACCTAATTCAATAGTCAACAGATTAGAATAATAATAAGTAAATAATTTCAAATCACTTTAGACTGTGCCCTTCTATATAAAGTAAAGAGAGGATCAAATAAAACAAGCCAAGTAATTTAAATCTCACGTTAAAGATCAGATATATAAGGATGATGATGTTAATAAAAAGGTTTGTATCTTCCTAATAGAAGCCTTTTCGGCTATATTCATCATCCTTATTACTGCTCATCTATTTTTACACAAGTATTTCTAGTGATAATATATAAATATTATAATATTTTTAACAGCATCACTGCATAATTATTTGTCATGATTGTAATAAACAATTTATTTGAAATTCATAATTGAAAAACGAAACTTTTTTTAATTAAAGTTAATTCGAGCTGTTGGATCAGTCTTATATCATAATAAACTGAAAGGTGAAATTAATTTTTCTACTGCTGTTATCGATATTACATACAAATAATTTATTTTTAAGTCATTTGGATAATATTTTCTCCTCCATTTTGATATTCCTCTCATCTAAAATTAAATGAAATCACAATTATTAAATAAAATTGAAGTTTAGAGTATGATTTCTAATTACCAAAAGATATTTCTAAAATAGAGTTTTTCAGAGTTAGAAAGTATAAAATTATTATTTTAGTCGGATCTTTGTAATTTTTGAGATCAATACTCTTCCTAGTTAAATAATTGTTTGTGCTTGTATTAAAATACTAAATGCTTTGCAGTTATATAACTTACTATTTATAAATAAATAAATTTATGAAAGCTGATAGCTTTCACTCAGTCCTTTCCGATAAGCACTCTAAATACAACTAATTCATAAATTCCTAGCTTTTCGTTGGTTATAAAGTTCGAGGCAAAGATCAATAAAAAAAGCAATATATCGTTTCCAGCCCATCGGATGAATAAAAAATGAGCAATAACCTTACAGTTTCTCAAAGTTATGTGAATGCGATGAAGGCTTTGTAAGAGAAAATCAAATAGCTTGAGTTTGAGAATTAAAGTTTATAGAGTCTAGTAGTATGACTTCATTATTAATTAGACATCTAATGATAGTAAGAGTAATCTAAAGTCTAATGAGAGAAAACTAAAGGAATCTAGTGTTCATCAAAAAACTAGTGAAAGCTTATAAACGAAAGAACTGGAGTAGAAACTTATGCAATAAGAATTCACAACCAAAATGAGGATAGAGGATTATGAATGCAAAATTACACAATTATAATAGAATTTATTGAACATTACATAATAGGCTGACCAAAAATATAGAGAATATATAGAGGAGAAGCAAAATTTGTATTTTTATTGTTATATCAAAGAACTGAGTAGCTGAGGATTCAAGAAGAAAATAACACTAATTATCGAAATAAGGTGAATTCATAAAACCAAACCTTACAATAAGAAAAATAGGTAAATTTTGATATAACATTTATAGAATTATTCAAATCTCTAATTTCTATTGGAATAAGAGAAGAATGAGAAACGATTTTTGTAGCAAAACAATGAAAAATTATAATTAGAATTATCAAAATTGAAATAGAAACTTTTTGAGGCTGATGCTTATATAGAATAGTATACTGATTATTATAATGATCATACATTTAGAAGTATTTTTTTTATTTATTTTAGAGTTGGAAGTAGAAAATAATTAATTAAAAATCTAATTAGAACATTTGACAAGAGAAAACCAATAGCTTAATGATACCATTGAAAATTTAAAGTCCAATTTAGACTTAAAAACATAAGAACTTGAAGAATCTGAATTTAGAAGAGTAAAGAAATCATCAGAATCAAATATAAGAATAGAATAGTTGAGACAATAATTAATTACTTTATCTTCAAAATCTAATTTAACTACAATAAGTCCAAGAGTCACCAAAAAAAAGAACATTAAATAAATATCATAAAAAGAAATGTCAGTCAAGGCATCAAAAATAAGGGACTTACGTTAAATTAAAAGCAAGAGTCTAAATAAACTGAAAGATCCTTAGTTTTTGACTCAATCATAATCAATGCAAAATAATAACTTTTAGAATTAAAAATAATAAGGATATGATTCGCAAAGTAGTGGTGTTAGTCGATTAATTGTAAAGACTTTAGAGGAAAATTATCCATCTTCGTAAAAGAATGATTTATATAATAATGCTGTTATTGTTGAAGACGAAATAACTTTGAATGATTAATAACTTGGTAGAAAGAACTAGAAATATGTTGAAGCTGTCTAAAGAATAAGATTCTTAGATGAACTATTGACAGCCCTCAATTTATAATACTAAGATATTGAAGAATAAATTCAATAACAAACAGATATGACAGTTAAAAAAGAAAAAAGATAGAAATTACTAGAGATAATCGATTAAATTTAAGATGTTAATAAGGAATTAAATGATCTTGTTACTATAAAGAAACTTGCTTAATAATAATGATTCTTCGCATTGTATTTTTTTGTCTTTATAACAAAATACTATTAATTATACCCTTAAAATTGAGGATTCTTCATTTAAAATTGTGATTTATTTACTGTTGTTTTCTTTAATTAAATTTTAATATTATTATAATTAATTACGCTTCATTTACAAAATAGAAGTTTATGATTCTTTTGGTGGCATCATACAAATTTTATATTGTGACATAGTATATTTAATTACAATAATGGAAGTTTTATTAGTGAATTGAGAATATCAATAGTACCATTTTAGAATATATATTAAAGACAAATTGATATTAAAACTCATAGGACTTTTTGCTCATTCAGAATAAAATGTGTATTCAATTTGATTAAAGTTAAATGGCTATATAGATTAATTTAAATAATTTTAACTCTTTGTCCTACTTTTTTTTATTTTTTATTACGTTAACTAACAGAAACTGGGATTAAATTTAATTGTTAGAAATCAAATTTGGGGTATCAATAATTAGTGCCAATATGTTACAATAACAATGCAGAATTTTTACAAGATTTCAAAAGAATCATTACTATAGCAAAATTAAAAAATTTATATTTTTTTATAATCTAAAGTAATTAGAAATATAAAATGTCAAAACAGCCAACTTATGATCTAATGTGCAAGTTTCTAATCCTTGGATCATCTTAAGTGGGAAAGACGAATCTTTTAACAAGATTTACTGATGATAACTATAGTGAAAGTCATATTACAACAATAGGAGTTGATTTTAAATTCAAAGAAGTGAAAACAAATGGCAAAGTAATGAAAATGCAAATTTGGGACACTGCTGGATAAGAAAAATTTAGAACCTTAACACAAAATTACTATAAATTTGCTCATGGAGTATTGCTTGTTTATGCTGTAGATGATTTGAAATCATTTCAAGAAATCACATTTTGGATGAATTCTTTAAAACAACATGGCAAAAATGATATTGCAATAATTTTGATTGCTAATAAGAAAGACATAGGGGATTAACGGGTTGTATCATAATAATAAGGGGAAGAACTAGCAAATTAATTGGGCGTGGATTACATTGAAACATCAGCCAAGCTAGGTCTAAATGTTCATGAGGCATTTTAACGATTAGCTGATCTAGCTAGTTAGCAATGTAATGGTAAGGTTTCATTGCCAAATCTTACAGAGGACAATAATTATAAAATAAACTTAACCAAAAGTACAAAATCAGCATAAAAAAAGAAGGAGTGTTGTTGATACAAATTATTTTATAAACTATTAAATTACAGTTTCAAAGTTATAATTGGTCATTTAGTTTAGGAGTTGTCACACATTCCTTACAAGAGTGAAGGAGTGAGCCTGATTATCATCATTTGTAATGAATAATTATTTTATGTTTTTTATTATTTCTACTTTTCTCTTAACTTTTGGAAGAGAATCTCCTGATCCTAATGATGCATTTCTTAATTAATCAATAGCAGTAATGTTAGGAGGATAATAAAAACACTACTATGATAACAATGTTGTTGTCCATTCTTCAACTACAAATCAAAAAAATCATTATTCTTCAATCTCGCCTGATTACTTTGATGATGATGAAACTACAGATTTTGTGGAATAGCTATAGCCTTACGATTATAATTAAGAGATTAACTTTAATGATTTAAGGGTCTCTAGGATACACTCAAATGTAAATAAAATGGAAATGATTCCCTTAATAATTCCTGATGGAAATATGAGTGATTATGCAGTGAAAAAATACTTAGGCGATGGTACCTTTGCATTTGTGTAAAGTGGTATAAGATTATCAGATGGTTTGCGTGTTGTTTTGAAATAAATAAAATCAAAATACCTCTGGTGGGCAAGAATGGAAGCTTAAATTATAGATATATTGAATGAAGAAAAGAAAGCATCAATTGTAAAATTAGTGGATATGTACATGAACAATACAAGTCCTGTTTTAGTATTTTAGGAATTAGAGGACAGCAAGACTCTTGATTATAGGATCTATTCATTTTATCATGATTTAATTTTAGAGGAGATAAAAAAGTTTTATTTCTAGTTATTTCAGGGTCTCAGCATTACTCATTCAAAAGGAATAATGCACTTAGACATAAAACCTTAAAATATTATAGTTTCAAATGATGAGATACAAATAATTGATTGGGGAGTGAGTGACTTTTATTATCCATTGAAAGAATACAGGACAAGAGTAGGAACTCGTCATTACAGGGCTCCAGAACAATTGGTCCATTATAAGCATTATGATTACGCAGTTGATGTATGGGCTTTAGGATCGATCCTGGCATCTACTATATTTAAAAAGTACCCTTTTTACAAAGGAAGAAATAATGATGATTAATTATTATAAGTAGTCAAGGTTTTGGGTTCAAAGGATTTATTTTTGTATTGTGAGAAGTATGACATTAAATTAACTGAGAAATTAAAAAGAACATTGGAGGGATATGAAAGGTAGCCTTTGGAGAACTTCATTGATGAGGAGAACAGAGAACTAGCAAGTCCAGCAGTAATTGATTTATTGAATAAGATATTTGTTTATGATCACAGGGTTAGGATAACGGCTGAAGAGGTTTTGTAACATGAATTTTTCAAAGAATGATAATTAAAGTGTAATAGTGATAGTGTTTATTGTGATTATTAAAATAATAGTTGAAATTTATTATAGGAAAAATGAATATTTTCTAGTCTAACCAATTATCACCTTTTATAAATCAAAAAGTAGTTAAGAAGGCCACAGTTCTTATGCAACCATCTCAAATGAAGAAGAGTCATGTGGATGCAAAACCGATAAGATTTTTACAATGGGACGATAATGCTAAGCAAATCAAGTTATGTTTGGACATTAAGAAATATGTATTTTATACTAATTTTGAATTAGAATTCACTTTTTAGAACGGGGCCTGCTTCTTTCGTTGTCTATATAGCTACACGGTCTGAAATAAATCAGCTGTCCAAATTGAATTTAGATAAAAACCTACCTCTCATAGACACAACGTTGTAAAAAGGTATTTACATTTGGAATCATGTGATATACAATGAACATAAGAACATCTAATTATATCAACTTTTATGCATATTGGGAGAATAGTTTAAGGAAAAACAGTTGAGAAGATAAAGTTTGAATTTGGTTGAGAACAGTAGTGTTTTTATACATGCAGATACAATTTTAATGACAGTGGCCTCTATTTTAGCAAGTGAAATGGTATTCCTTATTAACAATAATGATGATGAGATTTTGGAAACTTTTCATTAAATCACTAAACATGATGAAAATCCTAACTACAAGTTACAAATTATCAATTTGGTTGAAGGCTAAGGGTAGAGTATAGATCAATATAAATGGTATCAGATCTATGACAATATCAAAATTACAATAATGGAAGAATCTAGCTATCTGAGTGCTTCAGGCTCATCCTTTCTTGATAATCCAACTGACACTATTAATAACTGGGCATTGGAACTTGAAATGTCGTTACAGAAAAAGATCTATAGAAGTTATGAAATCGATTTTTTGACTTTCTTCTCTATTGCAGAGATAATTACTAAAAGTTCTATGTCCGAGTTAGATAAAATTAATGTTATAGAAAATATGTATGTCATATTAATATTTTCGGTAGTTTTTTGAAAGCCATTCAAAAATAAATTAAATATGAGAAAGACTACATAGAGAGCATTTATTATAAGGAAATCAGGGAGTTTTGCTCAATTTCAGAAGAAGTCACAGTTGATTCCTTAGCTTATAAATTGAATCAAATGAGAGATCAAGCCATGTCATTGTATTACGTTCAACTGAGTTAATTCTATGATAATCCCGAGTATGAAAAGTGTTTACAAGTCATCTAACAGAACATTGATTAATTAGAGATTGACTGTATCAGATACAATTTCGAATTGATGGATATGTATTCTTATTTAAATATTTAGAACATTTTAGTGAATTAAGCTAATAAATTGACAAAATTGAAAAAAAATATAAAGATGGTTTCCCTGATTCTTTCACTCAATTCTTGACTGAGATACTCAAAATTCGAGAATTTAGAGGATTAAAATACAATAATATCAAATCAAACTTTCAAAGCAGTTATAAATCCAAGATATACACATTTATCACAGACTTCAATAAATAATAAAAATTGCTCTATGAGAAACGAATGCAAACCTAAAATGAAAAACAATATTAATTCCTAAAAATGAGAGACAAAGAAGTTATGAGAGGAGTTGAGATCCTTTAAAATTACACAGATTTAATGAGGGATGAAATTGGAACACTCAAAAGTCTTATTGATGTACTTAATTTCTATATATTAATTAGTTCAATAATCAAATAAATATATTTGTAAAACATAGACAAGAAATCAGAAAGTTAGATGATGAAATACAATAATTATAATTATAACTGAATAAAATTTAGATTAAAAAAAAGTAATAGTGAATTTTGATTCTCAATTCTATATATATATATTTAATATATATTAGATATTTTATTATCAAATAATTATTTAAATATAGCAATTCTGAAGCACTTCTTATTACCCTAAAATTTTCAATATAATCAATAAGAAATTCATTCTTACTTAATTCAGTTTTATAATTATACATTAAGGCAGAAATTTATTTGAAAAATTAGCAATTCAAATTTCAGACCATATCACTCTAAATGATTTAACCGAAAATAAATAAATTTATTAGATTGGAAATAGTCTTATATATTTAAAAATAATATCCTTTTAGTTCATTAAAATGTTTTAATGAAATTTAAATTCTTTTTGAACTATTAATTTATAGACATAATTAATGAAACAATCAGTTAGATTTAATTATAAAAACATCATATTTTTATTATCTAATTCAAATATCAAGATAATGGTAATGAATTACAAATAATTCTGGCTATTCCTGCATAAGAATTTATCATTCAGAATTTTGCCATTCCGAACTATTTTCAGAAGCAATTTGGTATTCTTAGAAAAATCCTATAAAATTTTCTTCCATTATTAAAATAAATATCATGAATTCAAAGTTTTATCCAAAGCCAAATAGAAAAATATCGCTATAAGTTTAATATAATAGTCCAAAGCAAAGTAAACAAGCCAAGAGAAAAGAGATTGAGTCTTAAAAAGAAATCAGTAGTGAGTTTTTAATTCGTTAAAAAGTATATGAAGATCTTTACAAATTTCCCAATTTCCAAAGTGAAAGTATAGTAAATACATCAGAAAGAAAGGAGGCTTAATATAATAAATTTAGAACCATAATTCAAGAGGCTAAACAAAGATTTATTAATTCAGATTCATAACAAAACAAATACAATCTCGAAAAACAGCAAAGCTCAATGAAATTTATAGTTGAGTATTTAAGGGATTAAAAAAGAATTCAAAACAAAAGTAAGGAGTTTTTTAATTAAACTTAAAACACCAAGAAAATTGAATTAAATATACTTTTGTCCTTGGCAATCCCAATACTATGCTTCATTGTAGTCTTTTTAGAGTTATTTAAATAGAAATCGATAATAATATGATCATATTTTTACATATTATTAATTTTATCAATAATGATGTAATTATTAATTAAATTAAAATGTTTTACCTTGTTTTAATTAATTTTATGAACTTATGCAATTAATTAATTAAACTGTTCTGACTATTATCAAACAAAATTTCATCTGATATTTTATAATTGATGATAAAATTGAATCATTCTTGATAAGAGGCGTAGTCTATAGGTATTGATTTATTGTATAAAGATCAGTGTGTATATTAAATCAATAATGAATTAACTAGCATTCCAAGATATTAAATTGATAAAAGCTTGTTTATAAAATTTCTCACTAAAAAAAAATAGAACCTTAGATAATTTTTTTAATTTTTATTAATAATTTAAATTAATTTTTATTGGTAATTTTTCAAAATTCATAACTTATGTAATTACAAAATTTTTAGGTATTTAAATTGCCTATGTTTGCAAATAAGGTAATTAATGAAAGCCATTTTCAAATTATGTCAATTATAAATTGATAAGATTATAAAAAAATAATTATTTATTAGATAAATCTTCTCCAAATGTTATTATAATATAATAAAATATTATTGAGATGGTTCCAAATAAAACTGTTTGTCATGCTTATTAACGTTCCCCTTAATAAGCACCATTGAGAAGGAATTCTACATAGATATCATAACAACTAAAAAAAACTTGTAAAGAAATTACAAAGGACCTTTTGGAGAGATAAAGTGAGTATGAGAGACTGAATAAGACTTACATACCAAAAAAATTCTCTCCCCAAGATCATTTTTTGGAAAAAAAAAAAAAATATAATGTTTTAAACTTAGCTGTGAGACAAGCTAGATAAAAATTCTTAGAGAAATAAAGTTCCTCATGCTCAAATCACAACTAATAATTTTTCTAATAACAATAATGTATAACAATTATTGCATAAAATTTTCGAAATTAAAAATCAACTCTCTCCTTAAGATCAAAGAATCAAAAATAAGAAAGAAATAAATTGAGCTTGTATTTACTATTGATGATTGCACTTCCTGCGATTTGCCTACTTGTCCTAATATCTGAATATATTAATTTAAATTGAAAATAATCTTCACCCATAGTTTGGAAATATATATCATTTTTTTAATTATTTATTTCTTTATTTTCCACATAAGTATCAGAATAATTTATAAGGAAAAAGATGCAATAGTTCGATTTTTAAAAGAGAAAATGTTGAGAATTGCAATCTTACAAAAGCTGTCAAAAAAATATAATCAATACTAATATCCATTTCCTACTTTGATGATATCTATGAGTATTTTTAAAGAAAGATCAGTAAAATTTATTTTTCTTAGTTGCGCTTAAACATAATTAATAATTATCATTAATTCTTAATACTCATTTCATAAATATCTTGCTGGTGAATTTCTCATATAAACTTCAAAAACATTTTAAGCTAATTTAAATTTTATCAAGAAAATTAGGTTTATACTAGAGATATGAAAAATTAAAAATTATAAAAAAATTGAAATTGTTTAAAATACCTTAAGATGACTTGCTTGTTGATATCTTAATCATACTATTTATTCGAGAAAAAATCAATTTTGTTTTTGTAGCAATACAGTTTATAAAATTATATAAGGTTGATATAGTTTGGATATCAAAGTCTTAGAGTATTATTTAATGTTATCATAAATAAAGAATGATATTTAAATTATATATTTTAATATTAAATGCAATAACGACCAATAATTAATAAAGACTTACAAGAAAAAAAAGATGTAAAATGATATCTTACAATTAGAATGCAGCAAGGTCTTTGCACAATTATAAAAAGAGTGTGGAACTCAATTATTAGGAGTATGTCTCTTAAACATCTGAATAATAAATGAATGACTTTGAAAGTCTGTCGAAACCTTCAGTGAAGAGTATGCCTGTTAAGACAAGAGATTTGTTGAATAAATACAAGGCTCAACTTGAAATTCAGCCCAAATTTTAAATATTGTCAAAGCCAAGTCCACAATTAGAAGTCAAGAAAAATGCAGAACAAGAAGAACATTAATAAAGTGTTTCATCTCCTCGCTCAGAGCCCCCAAAGAATCCCTTTGAAGATACTCGTAAGACTAAGCAAGAAGAGCAGAATATGTCTTTTAGCAGATAACAGGAAGTTAAATTACCAGAAAGTCAAATTTAAGAAGAACTTGTACAAACTGATTAAGAAGGGCAGAAGAATCCATTTGAAAGCTCAAGTGTAATGCAGTATACTTAAACATAAATGCTTGATCCTTATGCGAAAACTGTTTCTGATAGAAATCAGATAAGTCATTACACCAGTTAAGAAAGTAGCAACATTTAGAATTTAAGTCAAACATAAGAAAAATCAATAGATTCCGAATAATTCTATGATACAATAGAAGAGCAAGGATAATTCCAGTAATCAGGCAAAGTTACTATGGGTACTCAGTGTTAGAAATTTGATCATAACTATTAGCAATCATCGAGAACTTACAATAGTATTAAGGAAGAGATTCAAGATGAAGCTAGCAGTGTTACTCATTCATCTCATCAAGAAGAGAAGGCTCATTATCAATCAAATTAAAGTCCAATTTATGAAAGCATTGATTAGGAGTCATAATTAGTAGAAACAACTCAAAGATGGAGTCAATATCAGACGATTCCATAAAATACTGCATAGTTCAACCCTAATGTGCAGCCAACAATTATGGAGGTAAAATAAGAATACAACAATTCATTATAAACAAAACAAGATTCCTCCAATAATGATATCAGCTATGGTTAGTCATTTGATTAGGCCCAATAATCGAATTAATACAACCATTAGGGGAATTCTAAGCTTACAGATAAGGATACATCAAAAGATGGAATCACAGTCAATAATCATATTATCACTAAGAAACTATCATAGGAATTAGTGATTGATATGGAAAAGTTTGAAAAAAATAGCCATTTATTGAATAGTATCAACAAAACTCAACTATTGTTTATTACTGAAAGATATTTCGATTATATGATTGGGTAACTAAATCGAGATTTGTTGAAAGAGTTTCGATTATTGAAGAAGTTACAATAATACATTTAAAAGAAAGATATTTGTATTTTGAAGAGGTGCATGAAGCAATTTAAGATAAATAAAGATAAATAATTGGAGAAGTATGAGAAGGATAGGATTTCAAGGTAGTTTAGATTTTAGAAATAGAAAAAGTTGAAAGAAGATGTATTTCAAACACTAAAACAAAATAAAATAGCATAGCAATAGTTTGTTTAGAGTTTGATTAAATTAATGAATAATCATAAGTAGAAAGTGTTTCTGAATAGATGGAAGAATTAAGTATATAAATAGAAGATGAAGAAACAAATGGATCTTTAATATAAGCAATTTTTATTTAATGGATGGTTAAATGTAGCTAAAAGGGAGAAGAAATAAAAGGATATTAAGGCTTTGACAAAATACTATTTCTCAACAGTTAAGAGACATTATTATACTTGGAAATATTTCACTTATGAGTAATAGAGACTCAAATGTAAATTTTTGAACGCGTATACAAATGTGAATTTGATGAGGAAGAAGTTTATAATGTTATAATGGATTAATTTTGTTTAGGAAGCCAAAAGAGAAAAGGAGTTTGAAGCTTATGCAAAATAGGCCAATGAGTACATTCCTGTTAAGGTAAGTCTAAGACCTCAAAATATAAAAATCTATAATATCAAATGAATTAATATTATTTATCACTAAATTAAATCATATTAGTAACACTTATTTAAATTTGGCTTTTTATTAATAATAATATGCTATATAATTTTGATTTTCCAAAACAACAAAGTCCTGTATTGTTAATTAATTAATCACAGTAAAATAATGGGACTCTGAAGAATGTGTCAACCTAAAAATCTCTGAGCCAAATTTCCAATTTTGATCAGACTAATGATTTTAAAAACAAGTTATTACCTCTTTTAAATAATAAATTGAAATAGAGGAATTCAACCAAAATTGCTCTTTAAAGTCCAAGGCTCCTACTATTGTAAAGTGACAACTCATGTGATGATCAAAACAAAAGAGTGATGCGCAGATAATTGCCTTCGATATACTTGAAACAAAATAACAATACCTAATCAAATTGTTCATAAGATAAGTTCAGTTTGAGTCCTTAAAAGCAGGAATTAAATCAATTGAGCAAACGAGTTTTCACTGATGGAACAGATAACTTTGAGTCCAATAGGTTGAGCCTCAGAAAATTAAATGAATTATTAAATAGTCATTATGTTAAAATCCCATAACCTACTGCCATATAACGTTTCCCAGAAATTTAGGAACTTTAAGATCTACCCAAATAAATGGAACTGATTTTCAAGAAAAATAATATCAATCCAATAAAAATAAAAGCTAATTTTAAGTATTATAGCCCCAGAGAGAAGAAGAACACAACTTAATCAATTGATTCCTTAATTAAATTGCTAAAAAAATGAAAAGTTATATATAATATTTCTCAATTCTATCAGTAATACTCAATAATTAAATTATCATTGCATGAATTATTTTAAGACTATTGAATAGAATGAGAGTGGCGTTTGGGAATCTATCCCATTTGAGATCATTTAAGTTAGATTCTAAATGAATATTAGTTAAGCAGAAGAAAAAATAGACAATAAGCTGTATAAGTCCAGAATCAAACGAACAAATCTCGATTGTTTAAAAGGTCCATTAGTGAGAGTAAAGAAGTAGTTAAAGTAAATGCAAATACAAGCCTTAGGCATAAAACATGAAGTTTAAAGATCAAAATTTATTAAAAAAATCTAAAGATGATTAACCCATAACACATGAGGAACAATTTGAATACAAGTTGATCTAAGTGGAAATATCTGACTTTGTTATTATCGAGCCCTGTAAGAAAGGAAAAGAGTATTAATTATTAAAACAAGAGGATTGGAGAAAGATAATTTCCTAAAAGTCATTTAATGGTTACAATTTTCTGGACATACATGTCTCTTTGTTGGCGTAGACTCTAAACTTTTTTGAAAGAAGAGACATTTGGCAACTCTTCTGTCGAGTGGATTCAACAAAGAATTAAATTAAATCGGCTGGAAAATCCTTTCTATAATATTCTCAACAGAACAATAAATTTAGATCTTAAATAGAGAAGGACATTCCTCGTACATTAACTGAATGTGAGTTTCTAACGAATGTAAATTATCTAATTATTAAAGCCAGATAATATTGCAAGTTTAAAAAAAATATTAATTGCATATGCTAATTACAATCCTGAATTGGGATATACTTAAGGGATGAATATTATTGCAGCTAATTTGTTGGTTTGTTATGATCTCTAATCTAATGATCATTAATTTTTAGATGGTAAATATCCTTATTCACTTGTAGATGTAGAAATATTTGATCCAAAAAGAGATGAAATGGTCTTTTACATTTTTATTTATATTATGAAAGAGTTAAAGTGGGAATAGGTGTTTCAGCCTGGGTTTCCTGGACTCTTGTAAATGATGTAGATTTTGAATTCGAAATTTAAGTCTGAATTACCTCAACTCTATTAACATTTTCAAGAAGTCGGTGTAGATTTTAACATTTGCTTCCAATATCAATATTTTACTTTACTAATGTATGGAAATTCATGGAAAATAAGCAGAATGATATTTGATGTTTTCCTCTTTGAAGGAGAAGAAATCATTCATACATTTATTATTGGAATGTTGAAATGCTGTGAGTCTTCTTTATTGAAACTACATACTTTCGAAGAAATTCTCAAATTTTGTAAGAATGATATGATTTCATAATTCTACGGAATCTTCTCCTTTCATTTAGATGGTAAGAAGGATCTTACTAATACATTATTAAATTTAGGATTCATCAAATTAACAGAAAAAATCGAAAAATCTGATTAATAAAATACAGTGTAAACTTAAAATCTATAAAAAAAATAGAATCAATTAGGATAAATAACCTAAATAGGGGGATACTTAAAACAATTTTTTAGAAAAACTTGATTAGTTTTTATTTTATTCAATTATTTAATTTTAACTGCTTTACCAAATCTTATATTAATGATTCTTTCTAGAGTTCATCAACAATTCTCAAAATATTATCTTTCTCAATTTGATTTAATTATAAATTGTATTTCACTTAACAGTTATGAAGTAAGAACATGGTATCTATCTAGAAATAAAAGCTATACTTACAGGACAAATAGGAAAGGCAAAATTAATTAGGTTCTTTAATGTCTCTAATTCAATCTCTGTCTAAAGAACTAAATTAGCAATTATTACTAATAGTTATCTTTATATTAGAATATGTGACACTGGAAACAGATTGAGAAGTTAATTAATATTACAATTTATAGGTATTATTTATTTCCCTGTCAAATTAGAGTAGATAAACAATTTTATTAATTGCAATTCTAAACAATCTGCTTCCTTTACTTATAACTAAGCAAAATCATAAGGAATTATTTAGGACAATTCTGCATATAACCAGTATATTTAAATCAATTAATTTGTATCAAGCCTATATTCATTCTTCTTTACATATTGTACTAAGTAATGAGGCATTTCTGATTCACCTATCCTTCTTAAAACCTAGTTTAACAATGCAGTTTCATTATGTATTGCATACAAAATATTATTTAAAGCCCATATAGCCTAAAATAGCAATCGCTTTTAACCAAAAATTATCTGGTATTATAAGATATCTATTAAATTGGAAGTAAATGCACTAATAAATCCATTATTACAAGAAATATTACCTAATTATTATTATATATAATTTAATACCAATAAAAGCTAATATTTTATCTAAAATTTAGTAAGAAAGTGCTTGATTAATATGGTTGTTATACTTTTCCATCAATAGGCATAGCATTGAGAGAGTAGTGAATAATTCTTAAGATGAGTTATTTAACAAACTTAGTTTAACTAAAATATTCAAGCATTCATTATGCAAGGCTGAATTGTCATCTTCAACTTTTAGTTTAAGGATAATTTCAATCATATATACCAATCTTATTTCTTATTCCTAATTAAAGTTATTAAAGTTATTGATTTGTTTAAAGCCATTTTTGATATCCTTTTTGTTATAAACTTTAATGGCTTCATATAAGAGATGAAGTGTTTTATCGACTTCGATGTCATTATTATTTTGTTCGATCATTTTCTTCCTATTGTTAGATAAAAGAGTTTCCCTGTCTATGCGTTTAACATTCAAAGCAAAATCCTCTCTTTTTTTTTACAAACTAAAAGTTGTGTTGTTAATAAACATTTATTAATTAATCATAGAATACTTTGTTTTTTTAAATTTAAGAATTATATTAAATTTAGAGTAAGAAAATCTCCTTAGTTCAGAATATTGATCTTTAATATAATGTTTTGGATTTTATCAAAGGTTTTCATTGCAAAAATTTTTGAATTTTCCCATATGCAATTGATTATCTCAAATATGAATCAAATAGAATTATAAACATAATATTTAATGTTACAATATATATAATTCATTTGCTCTAAAAATATCTTTCACTAATTTTATTAAACTCTTATAGCCATTTAGTTTTGAATTTATCTCCATAATCAAAGTACAACTCTTATCCTACTTCAATTTCTCTAGTTGCGAGCCTAAAATAGTAGAATTCGCTTACATTCCAATCTTCCATCTTCCTTCAGAGAATAGGATGATGGCTTAACAGTTGGCTGTTTCTGATGAATTTGTTGCATGATTGATGAATCTAAGATAATTGCTATAATAAGTTCCATCTACTTGCCATTTATCATCAACTTCAAACAAGTAATGTTTCCCTGTAAGCATATTACACTCTAAAATAATAACTAAGTGTTACACTCTATAATGAAGCTTTCTTCATCCAACAACAGATAGTTTCCTCTATATTCCCCTATAAAGTCATATGGTTTAAAATGTTATGCAGCGAATAAGCCTATGCCATTACATATAAGGGATTTTCCTAAGATTAGCTATTTAGATATTCCCAGTGTTAAATTAACGTTATTGCAATTTGTACATTTGCAAATAGATGGATCACATTCAAATCCTAAGTTGAAACAAGCACATGAAAATTTACGTTTCTTTTCATCATACCCACAGTATTTGCAGTCGCATCTCTTAATTTTCTTTTCACATTTACCTTTGCAACAACAATATCTGGGACACATCACACAACTACAATCAGCATCTTTGCAACTGCCTTCATGAAAACAAGGCGTATACTATTGTTAGTAATTAGTAATTTTATGTAATTTTTAAGAGTATAAATCAAATCCTTCGCAATTCTCTGGAGACATAATATTTTATTAGGGTTTATTGTTAAGATTTTCTTGGTTGTTAGTGTAATTCTTGATTATGTAAATAATTTAATCACAGTAAATCTTATAGACAGGGTGCTGTAATATTTAATTGATAAAACAGCAATTCTCAAAACCGAATTCAAGTAGTTATTGAATAGATTTTATTTAAAATTTCTTTAATCTTTTTTTGTTATCACAATTATATTTACCACATCTTCCGATTTTTGCACATCTTAAATCTATTTCTTACTTATTTTTCATATGATATCTCCAAATACTATCTTTCAAATTTATTTGATTCGGTTTGAAGTCAGTCTCATAAAAATTATCAATCGATTGAATATTGATTGGCATCTCCTCATTTGGTTCACTCTCAATAAACACTCGTTGATTTTTTGAACTAAATAAGACTCAATCTTAACCTATAATGCCAACTACACATATACAGATTGCATATGGGACAAAAATACCTGTTGAATCTGACGAATTGATACTTCACAACCGACCTCATAGAGTATCGACCTTATAATTTCGATAAAAAATGCAATTAAATTTAATCTACTGAAACATTCAAAGCTTCTGCAATTTCATTAAATTTGAATACATCTTTAATAGATCTGAATAAATCTTTGTATTTTTCAAAAAAATAATCTAAGAACACTTTTAATTCATTTCTTAAAAGTTATTTCCCTTTTTCAATACTATCCTATTAGGCTTATTCAATGGTCTTGAATAATTCCTCTGTTTCTTCGCATTATGACAACTCAACTGACATAGGTGCTAAGTAGTTAATATTCGTACTTAATCTCTCGAGTAAAACAGGAGTTGGATTTTATAATCTGATATTGTAAGGTATGCTTTTGTAGTGGTTAGTCATCAAAGGAAGATTGTCTCTGTTTTTATTTACCTTAAGGTCAATTTAGTAGTATCTATTTCTATTTAGCTTGACATTTATTGATAATCTATTGTGAGATTCCTCTTAAAGTAATTTGAATTGTAAGTGTTGCACATATCGTTTAAACACTTTGTATTCTAGAATGATGTCTTTTTTTTTCATGGTTAAAATTGTATTTAATTATAAATCAAATTTGATTAAAAATGCTTTAAGCTAAACTATTTAATTTGTTAGAAATTGCTTCAATATAAAATTTAAGTGAACAAAAAGTAATAACTTCAAGCAAAAGAAGTTCATTAAAGTGCAAAGAATGGTAGTTTAGTCAAGAATGTTTATTAATAATATTTGCTAAATTTAACTTTATTTTTTGACTTGGAGTACAATAGTATTTCATAATGAGAGAATGATTAAGCGCTACTGGTTCTGCTCTAGAGTATAAATTAATAACCAAAATTATAAGGATTTAAAAAAATAATAAATATTTAACACTATTTCCAAATACTGTATTTGATCAAAGACATATGTAGGAATTTAAAAAGGAGTAGAATTTTAGGTATAAAAAAGCAAAAATCTTAAATGAGTAGTTTGGTACTGAGTAATGTGGATGTGAAATGGGTGATTGAATGTTGGAAGAAAATAACGATTTAGGCGATGATGGATAACAATTTTTGGAAGAACCAAAGATTTCGTAACATAGGTTGAAATTTGAAGTGAGTGGAATTTCGATTAATTTTAATAATGTTTGGTCGGTAACAATTGAGATCGTATGTTTATTTCTTCTATTGAGATATCCAACTGAGTCATCAGAGATGATGGAGTACAAGGCAAATAACCGAATGTATGCTTAGGTGTTGGCGACAACGAGAGAGTCGAAAGAATCAGCGTTGTTGTCAAAATTAGTCTCATTGAGAGAATAGTAAATGAAAGCAATATACATGGCTAGGATTTCTACAATAGGCAGTCCTCGTGCAACAGTGAAGACAGCGAGAGGGATGTCTGAGCATGTCGGTATCATATCTCCTCGTTCTTTCTGGAGGAGATTGGATGAGAAATTGCCAATGAAGGAATTGGGAGAGATTGCGAATTACTTTAATACATTGGGAGGCGAATAGGCGAGAGGACTATCAAAAAATTATGTGAATGAAATGGTGCGTTTGTAGTAATGCATTGAGAAGAAGTTGAAAAGATGATGTTGTTTATAAATTAAATTACCAATGAATCAAAAGCCACTGAAGAGTATTCATTTTCGAGTCGAGACGCATATCGATTTATCTTCCAAGGGCAAGATATCATCTGTTGAGAGTAATTCTTAGCGTTACGGTTCACCTAACAAATTGCCTTCTCTTCAAAACATTTGCAGAACTATTTAAGGTGAGGATGGAACGGTAATGAATGAAGATGAGGAGATCATAGGTCTTTGCCATGAGATCCTTGATGAGTAGGGCCAATAATGTGAGTAGCAATCGGACTAGTAGGACAAAGTGGGTACTTGAATTAAATGAACGCAAAGATCTTAAACAACTAGAACAATGGACAGATGTACATAAGCATTATTATGTAGCTAATGGTTCAATAATTATAATTACAATAGTACAGCAACATTAGGGATTTCTATGAAAAAATGGAGTTGGTCTACACTGGTTCCATTACTTAGTTAGGTTAGTAACTGGCTGTTAAGTGCATTGATTATTAGACTATCCTGAATAAAATATGGTCATCATTTACACACGCAGTAAAGGAGATAATTGAAAAGCAATCTGAAACCTTCAGAAAATTGGAGAAAGATTGTCTCTCAGAAACTGTGAAATTGCATTAGATGTACCAAAAAACCTTGAATGACAAAGGCACCAAATTGCAGGACGCTGAAAGATATTTGAAATAGAATTCTGATTAAAACGACAAAATGATTAAAGAAGGTAGATACTTGAGAAAAAAATGCTAAAAATTAGAGTAAGAACTACTAAACCTAAGAAGAGAGTGTGATTTCTTTAAATTGCAGAATTCTGATCTGATCAGGGAAATAGATGCAATGAAAGTCTTCATTAATCATCAAGTCGATCCTTCCATCTACATTCATCAAAATCTTGTGAATGCATAACAAATCGAAGAAAAGTTCGCGGATGAATTATAACATGCCAAAAAGGAGATGTTTGAAGACTTTAAACATCAATTCGAATAAAGAACTATGATATATGAAGAAATGTATTAAAAAAAATTAGATGATTTAGAAAGGAGAGAGATTTTAAATTAAAATTAGGAAGATGAATAAATACTTCAGGATTATTAATAAACCATATTCAAGGATGAATGTGTTGGCAATTCAATCACTTACAAAACTCAAGAAACTGACACCTCCGACTTACTTCACTTCTCAGATGCATCAGTCCAGACTATTTAATTCAAGAAAAAAGTATATGATTGGAGTACTCAAACACCTCCTATTGTTACATTCAATCAATCTGTTGAAGCCAACTTTTCAATGATCAAGAGGGAATGCATCCCCAGAAACAAAGAAGAATAGACCTATTTGGAAATGTCCAGATATCCTATTCAAGTCTTTATCGATGACTATCATGAAATCACAATTACTTATAATAAAAATACGTTTAACTAGGACTTAAATGATTTAGTGGATCAACTGGGTTAGAGATCAAGGTAGTTGTTTAACATTTTGACAATGAAGGAGGAATTCCATTTAGATGATTTCTAATGCGTGAGTTAGTATGTCATCAATAGTTATAATGTGTTCATTAATCTGATTCAACATTTGGAGGCTCTAATTATTGAAAACAAGTCCAGTCTAGTAGAGAACAAGATATGTCTCTATGAAACATAGATTGATTCGAAGTAGGCATATCGTAAATAGAATTATGCTGAAAAAAAGTTGGATCTGTTGATAGGCAAACATCAATTGACATTAAAATAGGTTTCATTCCTCCAAAAACAAATTGTAAGAATCCACAAATATTTGCCTCATTTTCAAATAGAAACCATCAAAAGACAAGCAATTAAAAAGAAAATATTCTTGGAGTTTCCTAAAGTTCAATCGCCTGGTCCCAATCTACTGCCTCCTGAAAAATCGAATACAATCTTCTTTTCTTCTTAACCTTAATTGTTGATCCCTCCACAAATCAATCAATCTACCAGTTCGTAGATTCAGAAGTCTGCCTTAGATATAGCATAAAGTGAATCAACAGAACCACAATAACTGAGAAGAGACTAGTCAGTTGACCTATCGAGAGAACCCAGAGAGACTCCACCCATAAGTCCAATGAAGAAGCACCATCCAGTCTAAATATGTAAGAGAGTAAATTAATTTTAGTCTTCTAAGATTCATTGGTTCCACCTGATGATTCCTCTTCGGATGATGAGTAGGAGGTGGACATCGAGGCTCAATTGTCGCCCATCAAAAATCTGTTGTCCATAGAGAAGAAACTATTCGTGAGCAAATGTCCATCCAAAAACACACAAACAGCAACTCAACTGCTATTGCAAGAGATACAATAATTTCGAAGAGACAGAATTGACAATATTGTCACACGACAAACTCTATAAAAATATTTGTCCAGTTTTGTGTGTTGGTGTGTCAAATATGGAAAGTACAATTATCCCCTACATATACAACTCTATGAATTTTATTAAATAGAGAATTTCCAATAGCCTCCTCAAGTTTGGTTGCAAAAGTATTAGAGAATAATTAAGAGCATCATCTACTACAAGAAAAAGACAAGTTACGCTAAACTATTCCATTGGATGTTGATTGGAGATCAGAGTTTTAACATCTATTTGAGTATTCTGAACAGCATTCAAAACAAAGAATTCACTGAAAATGGTATTTTTGTCCAATAATCACAACTTTCTGAAGCAATCGGACAATATGTAAAGAATACTATTCCAAAATACGTTCAACTGGTTGATTATGATCAAGAGATACAACCCTATATGCAAGGGATGCAGGATTTCAGAACTAAGGAGATCACTCAAAAATATTAGTTAATTTTGACTTTGTTTGATTAGGAACGATTCACATAGCTCTAATTCAGACTTTTGTTATTGGAACTGGACTCATAGAGGACTGAATAACAGATAATTAATTTGTTCATGAATGAATGTGATTTGGAATAGAATAGTGTTTAGTACATGTCGCATAAGAGATTCTCACAGATTTGTGAGGAACATAATTTATTAGCTAATATGAGTGAATATTTGCAGAAGAATAATGCTTAATATTTCAACGATATCAAGTTGTGGAAGATACGTGAGATCGAGTTGAAATTGATGTTGATCAGATCCTAGAAATATGATTCGACTGAGAGAGAAGGGTTTTACCGGATGAATGAGTTGACTTCAAATGAGCAGAGGATATTGTTGGGGAGATTCCTGGAGAGAAGAGCCAAAGAACTGTTATTGGAGTAATATGCATTTGAATGTCTGCCTTAGTACATGTAGATCATACTAAATTCTTAATGATTTATTAAACCTTTATATATATTTGATTAGTTCTAGTAGTGATTCAAAAATTAAATTAATATGGCTTCTAAATTAAATAGCATTGAGGCAACTAACCTTGATCACCAAATCTAGCATTTGTATTAATGCAAACCACTCCCAGAACAAGAAGTTAAATAGATATGCGAAAAGGTATGAAGGGCTGTTTTAGACATTTTAATAGGCAAAGGAAATTTTGATTGAGGAATCTAATGTATAACCAGTGCGTGCACCAGTAATTATTTGTGGTGATATTCATGGGCAATTCCATGATTTGATGGAACTGTTCAAAATAGGTGGCAAAGCACCAGTAATCAAGTGATTTTAATTTGAGGATACTAATTATCTATTCATGGGAGATTATGTGGATCGGGGTCATCATTCCGTTGAGTGTGTAACTCTTCTTGTTTTGTTGAAAGTATGCAAATGTACTAATCACTTTAGATTCGTCATAGAGACAGAATAACCATCCTCAGAGGCAACCATGAATCTAGACAAATTACATAAGTATATGGTTTCTATGACGAATGTTCACGTAAATACGGTAACAGTAATGTTTGGAAATGCTTCACTGAGTTGTTTGATTACTTGCCATTGACAGCAGTCGTAGAATCCTAAGTAAATTCAATCAATCTATCAAGTTCTTCTGTCTCCATGGAGGTATCTCCCCCTCCATTGATACATTGGATCACATTCGTCAATTGGATAGAGTTCAAGAAGTACCACATGAAGGCCCAATGTGCGATTTGCTTTGGAGTGATCCAGATGATAGATCTGGATGGGGTATTTCTCCAAGAGGTGCTGGGTACACATTCGGATAGGATATTTCAGAATAATTCAATCATAATAACAAATTAAAGATGATTGCGAGAGCACATCAATTGGTGATGGATGTAAATAATTTGAATTTATGTATTTTTTCAGGGATATTCCTTGGCTCATGAGAGAAACGTAGTAACTATATTCTCAGCTCCAAACTATTGCTATAGATGTGGTAATCAAGCTGGAATAATGGAAGTCGATGAGAATTTGCGTTAAACCTTGTAAAAATCAACGCATTTAATGTTCATAGCATACAATTTGACCCAGCTCCCAGATCTGAAAATGAATCTGTCCCTAAAAGAGTTCCAGATTATTTCTTATGATTCATATAATATAAAACAGAAAACGATTCATTATTTTGTTTTGTATTCCCTCCATTTAAGTATTCTTTCATTTTAACAAAATAAAAATAAATTTTAATATCAATTTCAGAAAGAGAATGAACCTCGATGACATTTACAATTGGTATGAGCTTTATCCATTACACATTAGGATACTTTCACATCCTTAAAACTATCCAGGAAAACAACAGGAATCTCAGCCAAGAACTGTGCAGTCCTACAAACCTCTTGAACCAAAGGCTTAATTTCACATCATAATCAAAGCCACGGCTGAGTACATCAAGGAGAAGATGCTCAATGGAAATGTAATATTCAATAATAACTTAAGGGAGTCAACATGAAGGAGTTGGGAGCATTCACTATGGAAGTCATATCTGATTATGTGAAACCCCTCCAACATTCAGGATTCAACATGACTCAAGACCTGGCCATTCAGAGAGCAGACAGGAAACACGTTCATTAAATCAGGTACATCATTTTCCAATATCATCTATAGACCTTGTTTTGTTCCTGACAATGCATTCAAATACTTCTTGGCTCGTTACCCAGGCAAGGAGGAAATCACTAAGCCTCTGAGTCAGCATTCCATCTATCAGAAGGGATTTGGAATGAACTTCTGTAATGCTGGTCCAATCGCAGCATCAAGGTTAGTACATATTAATTGTGATTAAGTTATCTAGGCAAAGATGTTGTCCAATCAGTTCACACTTCGTTGATTAAGGCTATTCATGATTTAACCAGACTCGGACATGATCTCCACATAGACTTTGGGTTCATTAAGATATCTGTGTAAAATAGAGACTTAAAATATAAATATGATCAATCATTCATTCAAAGACTCAACTAAACAGATTATGAATTAAAAGTAAATTCTATCACTATTCAAGATGCGTAAATCTGACTTGGGAACATCATAACATTGGACAACCACCTATTAAGAGAAGTGGTCAAAGAGCACGTAACATTTACCCATAATTAATTAGACTAAACAATTTGTTGACTAGACCCAATCCAAATTAAGTTTAAGAAAATTATGAGAAATCAATGGCCCTGAAGATAATGTCACTGGACTTGAATACGGCCGAACAAACTAATTACAGCAAAAAGCAAAAAGTCTAATTACCAACACTCAATAAATGAAATGTCTTTATTATTATAAATTGATTAAATAATTTTAATAATAATAATAATAAATTATTTATATATATATATATTTCAGAACAATGCGAATTGCAGATCTTTAAGATACTTCAATGCCTTATTCTTATTGAATTTGCCCAACACTGAAAATGTTAGCACATCATTAACTTAAATGCATTTCTAGATCATACTTAATTTAATATACCTTTCCATCCTTTACACTAATCTTATTCTATTTGTTGACTTTCAATTGAGTTCCTTCCTCTTCAATCTGCTTACAGAGTTCTTCAACGTTGAAGTTTCCATCACCAAAAGCCCCATAAAGGAACGTATCAGCCACAAAAATGAGTCCTTTTTTGGAATCCTTTAATTGTTGAATGTACTTTCCTATCTCACTGAAATAAGCAGTCGGATTTGTCTCATTGGATTAAATGATAGTCTTAAGATTGGGTCCATCAATGACATATTTCATTTAAGATTTGATAAGTTCAGCCTTGATACTCTAAAATATGAATGCCAATAATTACATTGTAAGCTGTTTCATAATGTTTCTTCTCCTAAAATATTTTGCTTCCTTCCTCGACCAATTGGTTTTTGGAGATTGACCACAACTTAACCAATTAATTGATCATTTCTCCTTCAGAATTGAGAACCTCGATAGTTTTAACTCCAGCGACATAATAAAGTCTGACTACTCCATCCTGAAGTTTCTGAGTCTTGAGAATTCTCACCCATCCTACTTCTGAAGTGCTGTCACAATGAGTACCACAACAGGCTTCCACATCTATGCCTTCGATATTAACAACTCTCAATTCATTTCCAGGTACAATACCGCCTTGATACAATCTGAATCCATATTCTTTTTCAGCATCTGACTTATTCATGAATCCCTTATTAATCTATCTGGCTGATAGAATTATTTTGTTGACTTCATTTTCAATATTCTGCTCCTGTTCCTTAGTTAAGGGAGCAAAATGAGTGATGTCAAGATGAGCATTATTAACACTCTTATGAGCACCATTCTACCAAACATGAGGACCAAGGACTCTTCTACAAGCGGCAAATACAATGTGAGTAGCTGTATGATGATTACGCAAGATGGTTCTCCTATCCAAATCAATTTCAGCCTTGATCTCTTGATTTACATAAGTATCAATAGGATCAGACAATGGCTTATCCAAAATGTGCAATACAACCTTGCCTACCTTTTGAACGTTGTTTACGAAATGTCTCTCGCCTTGAATAGTTAACCATCCTTAATCATAATCCTAACCACCTCCAAATGGATAGAATGCTGATTGATTCAAGATAACTATATTTGGTAGATTCTATTATTGAACATTTGAGAAAATGGTAACAATTTTGGCATTGAATTTTCCATCTTTTGGTGTTTGATAATAGAGATTGACAGTTTCAGGTAAGTGTACTGTATTGTACAGGATGGCCTCTGGTGCTTTTGTGATTCTGGCAGCCCTGTCAGCCAACTCAGCATATAGGTTACCAGGAATAGGTAATTTACTGATTTGACTGATAGTGTCTGCAGGAATACCATGTGTACTCATAGCAAATATCCAATCATCGATACTTAATTGATTATTCTTTTGTTTCAATAATTTTTCTAATTTAACTTTCTTGTCATCATCTGTTTTGGCCCAACGCTCATATTCCTATTTGATTATTAAATCGAAACTCTTATACTCTCCAAATGGACCATACAGTTTGGCCAAATCATTTTTGTGTTCCTAAAACAATTACAACAGTCCATCCATTCCCAACTTCTCCCACCAACTATTCTTCTTTAACACAGCAAATACTCTCCTAATAATGTTCCTGATATTGGAACCACCACCTACATTAGATGGCAGAGATCCATCAGTTACAACCATCATTACTGTACGAGTGTGATCCAATATGATATACATATCTTTTAATTATTCTATTTCCTTTTTGATAGTTGGAACATCATATCCAATCTATGTTGAGATGTACTCCCATGTCTTATCCACATTTTCAATCTCATCAACATTCAATAAACAACTATAAGGTCCAAAGGCTTTCCATACTTCATTTGAATATTGAACCTGCAACTTCTCTGATAAATAGGCAAAGGCTCCTGCAAAGACATCATGGTAACTGGTTGGCGATCCATTAATCAACCAAGGAATACGTTCTAATCCAATACCTGTATCTATGATCTTGATTGGCAATTCTTCATAAGAACCATCATGAAAATATTTATATTACATGAACACCATGTTTCCTACCTCTAGTCCATTCACAAAATATTCGACTGATGGTCCCAAGTTTCCTCCTCCTGCCCAAACATCTTCTATAAATGTGATATCGTCTGGGTTTATTTCTAATTCCTCTGTCAACCATCTGTAATTGAACTCGACGCATTCCTCCTTAAAGAACACATACTTCTCAGGATAATTGAATGTCTATATCCCAAGCATTATGAATCCTGAATAATGTCTACCTGTCAAACCGATATTATCCAAATCATTGAATCTAACACAAAACTGGGGACAAATTAGAGGATTTGCAGGTGGATCCATCTCTCCAGTAACACAAAATGGTTGGAAACAATAGATACCGGCAGCTACATAATCTACGTCATTTCTCCATCTAGCTACAACTGGATATCTATCTATTGCTGTGCATGGNGATTGATTCAAGATAACTATATTTGGTAGATTCTATTATTGAACATTTGAGAAAATGGTAACAATTTTGGCATTGAATTTTCCATCTTTTGGTGTTTGATAATAGAGATTGACAGTTTCAGGTAAGTGTACTGTATTGTACAGGATGGCCTCTGGTGCTTTTGTGATTCTGGCAGCCCTGTCAGCCAACTCAGCATATAGGTTACCAGGAATAGGTAATTTACTGATTTGACTGATAGTGTCTGCAGGAATACCATGTGTACTCATAGCAAATATCCAATCATCGATACTTAATTGATTATTCTTTTGTTTCAATAATTTTTCTAATTTAACTTTCTTGTCATCATCTGTTTTGGCCCAACGCTCATATTCCTATTTGATTATTAAATCGAAACTCTTATACTCTCCAAATGGACCATACAGTTTGGCCAAATCATTTTTGTGTTCCTAAAACAATTACAACAGTCCATCCATTCCCAACTTCTCCCACCAACTATTCTTCTTTAACACAGCAAATACTCTCCTAATAATGTTCCTGATATTGGAACCACCACCTACATTAGATGGCAGAGATCCATCAGTTACAACCATCATTACTGTACGAGTGTGATCCAATATGATATACATATCTTTTAATTATTCTATTTCCTTTTTGATAGTTGGAACATCATATCCAATCTATGTTGAGATGTACTCCCATGTCTTATCCACATTTTCAATCTCATCAACATTCAATAAACAACTATAAGGTCCAAAGGCTTTCCATACTTCATTTGAATATTGAACCTGCAACTTCTCTGATAAATAGGCAAAGGCTCCTGCAAAGACATCATGGTAACTGGTTGGCGATCCATTAATCAACCAAGGAATACGTTCTAATCCAATACCTGTATCTATGATCTTGATTGGCAATTCTTCATAAGAACCATCATGAAAATATTTATATTACATGAACACCATGTTTCCTACCTCTAGTCCATTCACAAAATATTCGACTGATGGTCCCAAGTTTCCTCCTCCTGCCCAAACATCTTCTATAAATGTGATATCGTCTGGGTTTATTTCTAATTCCTCTGTCAACCATCTGTAATTGAACTCGACGCATTCCTCCTTAAAGAACACATACTTCTCAGGATAATTGAATGTCTATATCCCAAGCATTATGAATCCTGAATAATGTCTACCTGTCAAACCGATATTATCCAAATCATTGAATCTAACACAAAACTGGGGACAAATTAGAGGATTTGCAGGTGGATCCATCTCTCCAGTAACACAAAATGGTTGGAAACAATAGATACCGGCAGCTACATAATCTACGTCATTTCTCCATCTAGCTACAACTGGATATCTATCTATTGCTGTGCATGGTACTCGAGCACTCGTTAACGACTTCTTGAACCCATTCCAAGCATCAGCATATGTAATCTTGTTGCCTTTGGCTCCCTTTCCAGTCCCAACTCCGATGAATGAATATTTTCCTTCGCAGCTATTACAAATTTAAACATGAACTACTTCGAATCCCCACAAGTAATCTTTTTATCGGTGTGTCTCCAAAAGTAGGCTCCACATTTAGGACATTTGCATCTGGTGAACCCAAATTTGTCAAACACTTTTGTTGGATAAAATAGTTCTGGATTTGCCTCGAATTGGGGTTTCACGATCTTCTTTATTTCCTTGTCAAAATGAACCAATTAATACTTTTGGTGTGATTGCCTTTATGGTTTTCACTTCCTCTTGAGTCTCATCAACTTCTTTCTATTACATTTTAGATTTTATATATATGATTTGTGTAAAAGAATTATGTGTTAAATAGCTTTTTATAAACTTCACTTATTCTCCATATTTTGTATCAACCTCGCCATCTAACTCAATTTCTCTATGTCGATTGTGGTTCTCTCCTACTCCTTCTCCTCAATCTTCACAAAGGCCTTATCTTGGGGTTTACCTCTTTTAAATATACTCAAATCATACCCATACTAACTTAAACGAGCAGCACTAATAGAAGTGAAATTGTTCTCAACCAAATTTTTCAAGTGATCAGCAACTCTACTTTTCAATTCATTCGACCATTTCTTATACACAGGTATGGTATTGAATAACTCACATAATTTATCACATCCCTTGATCAATTCGGAATACTTATTCTCGAAAGCGAGTTTCAAAAATTTTGTCATCTCCCTCCCTATCAACTCTTATTCCACAAACTTTTGATATTTATAGTAGAAAAATCTCGCATTCACAATGTCCCATGAAAGAATATATGAAAAATATTATAAACATGCCATCTGACTATCAAAATTCTATCAATATACTCTCATTTTACCTCCGACATGATTTCAATCTTCTCCAACTCCTCAACCATCTTACTAGGACTCAAAGCAAAGAATGCTATCTAGGTTGACTGTTCAAAGTCTGGATTACTCATTATAATATTTATTTTATGAATATATATAAATATATCAATTATCATTATGAGTTAGATTCATATTCCTTTTATTTTTAGAATTCATATATCCTGAATAAAATATAAGTCTATTTTTAAATTTGACATCTTGAATTATGTTTTAACCTTACATCAAGATGGATATGCATAATCATTTGATTTATTAGTCGAGATCAGGGAATTCTTTTATTGATATCCATATTTAGGTATAAATTTATTTAAATTCTATATCATGAAATGTTTAAAGTTTTTTATTGTTTGATATTCATTTACTTCAATCCATCTTTATTAAATAAATAATATCTGAAAAAGGGTAGTAATCTTATGAAAGAATTATATAGAGTATTGCCTTCCTCCTTTTTTATTATGAATTAAATAAATTATTAGAATTTTTACGATAAATATCTATTATTAATTATTAGGTATTATTCTCATTCTTTAGTTGATCCATTATTGATTCTTTTATTCACTAAAGTTCATTTGTTGAGAATGAGACTTAAGCTAAAATGGATAAATTTATAAAGTGCAATTATTTTTGATTAAATTCATTTTACAAATTATGATCTAAAAGGAAACAGAGACTTATTATTATTAAACTATTTCAGTTAAATAAAATCTATGATAACAATTTGAGTGATTTTCGAATCAAAAATAAAAGGAAGGAATAAATTTAAGTTAAATTCAATCTATTTATTTTAGGATCTCAGAAAGCAACAGGAGGATAAAGGAGAATCCTGGAGGTGATATAGAATTATAAGATATATTTAGTTATGAAAATAATAATTGTTTTTATTAGATTTATTATGGTGTAGATCAATGCCATTTATTGATAAACACATCTCTTCTTGGTGCTCTTAATTCTTCTGGGTATTAGGTGCCAGTTGGATCTGACAAGTCCTTCTTATTTAATCTAGGATCCATTAGATGTATTATTACCTATTTGCATGCACTTACCATAATTATTCAATATGATCATGGTAATGAACAAATGTATACTCGTTTGCAATTGCAAAGGGAAGCACAAGAGTGTAGAGATATTATCTAAACAATCTATGGGTCTTGAAAACTGATCCATATTCTCTCAGAATGCTCAAGACTTACCCTCTTTTGGCATATTAATAAAGGAAAGTCCATGATGCACCAGTCACAATTGCTGCAAGTTCTAAAATAATATTTAATTCGATATTACTAATGTTTGAAGTCCAATCTTCACATAATTCTTCCTTTGTTTCTTTCACTATCTTCTAATATGGATAGAACTTGTAAAGTGAGTTCAACTTTCCATATTAAGTAAATCTATTAAGAGCATAAGAAGCAAATAATCCTTTTACAGCTCTATATTGAACACCATCATAGAATTGTCTGCTGATATCTCCAGAAGGAAGTGTATTGAAATACTCTTCTGCAAGTCTCAGGTTGAGGGGAGTATAAGTTGGATGCACTGCGTAGAGACTGTGATTCATTTAATTAAATAATGATCAAATCCAAATTATCATAAAAACAAATGATAAAATTACACTTCCATCTCTTAATCTACTTCTACCATTCGATTATTCCACTTGATACTAAAAATTCTGATAAATAATATGTTCAACCCTTAATACATTCAAGCAAACAAAAAGAATCAATTTAATTTAATATTTACATTTGAAAATTGTTCGGTTGTTTTTAGGGATGTTATATAATCAATAAAATAGTTGTCTTCAACTGACAAGTTGGATAAACTAAGTTGAATATTTGATACTTAAAAGTGGCTGTTCTTATTTTAATATTTATAACTGTTCACCAAATTTGAAAAGCAATGGAATAAAATAAAATAAACTATTTGTTATGAAAATCAAATCTAAATCTCTTTATTTTAATCATTATTACATCTTTCCAACTTCAATTATAATAGTCTTAACCTCTATCAGAAGCCTTTCTTTTGTTTTTTGAATCATTAGATTATAATTTTAATCTTTAAGCTATCAATCTGATTTTTCAGATTTTTGTAGAAACTGTGTTCTAAATACTAAATTTAAAATTAATCCCCATATAAGAATCTAAATAATAGAGTTTCATTTAACCTATATTAAATAATTACTACTTGCTATCTAATAATTCTATTAACACTAGAAATTTAATATAAACTCTGTATATCTTTATATACTCTAAACACATTATAAACAAGGAAATAGTTAAGAAAAGATTTTAATTAATAATCAAAATAAGTGCTATATATTTAAGATAATTATTTAATTAATTGATTTAGTGGTTGAAATAAATAGTCCTAAATTTTAAAGGGTTTTAAGGCAAATAAAAATAACTGACATAATTAAGTAAAATTGAAATACTGTTATGGTTCCAGTTATCCAAGGGTACTTAATTATGCAATTCCTTAATATTTAAATATGTTGTTACGCAGAGTTCTGAATATATTTGATAAAAAGTAGCTTATAGAATTTTATAATAAAAATAAATAATTTCACATGCAATAATTGTAAAGCTAATGAATTTATTTAGCGTTGAAATGAAGGCTGTTACTTGGCAAAAGGATTCCCATGGACTTTTTGATTACGAAACCTAACTGCTCACAATAGAAAAGCATGTCATATAACAATAGCAGAAGGTTTATCGATTGGGTATGTTGAATGCAATATCATCAAATAGGTTAAGAAGTGAGCACATCTTCTCCAGACTCCGAATAAGATGAGAGCCAATAATATTTGACCACAGTTCAAGAACTGGACAATAAGTTTTACATTAATCCTGAGGGGTGTGAGGAAAATGAAAACTTTTTAATAGTTAGAAGTTTAAAAAATAGTTAAGGAGGACAGAAAGTATACTTGGTTTTAATAACGAAAGGGATATAAAATGGAGCCAGGAGACATAATAAAATTGGGAAGAATGGAATACCTGATTATGGAAACCAAGGATAAGGATAACTTAGTAAATTAAGCCTAGAGTGAAATGCTGAAAGTATATCTTGAATAAAAATCAGGATTAGTTTGAATAGACTGCTTCGTATGTTACCAACAGTTCAGCAACTTGTCGGTTTTGTCTCATGGACACTCAGACCATTGAGGATCCCTTCATTTCTCCATGTAATTGCAAAGGAACTTGCTAATTCGTTCATTTTAATTGCATGAAATAATGGATAGAGAGTAGATGCCAAATAAAGCAGCTGAATAATGCGCAATCTTATAGATTGAAATAGTACATATCATTTACATTCGAGGTAACAATGTGAACTTTGTGAATCCGTGTTACCTCTGAAAATTCAGATGGATGACAGAGAGCTATCTCTGGATGTGATATAGCGTCCATCCACGCCTTATCTTATAATGCAATCAAGACACAGGAAGGAGAAGAAGCAAGGGAAAGCCGTATATGTTATCTAGTTTCAAAATGGTGAACCCATAAAGATAGTAAATATAATTTCCAATCATATAGGGAAGAGGTCATCAATGCGATATCCAAATCTCAGATATTTCAGTGTCTAGATTACACGCTTATATAAAATATTAGGATGGTAACTTCGTCATTCTTGACAACAACAGTAAGTTTGGAACACTCGTAAAATTATACCAGGCTTATAGGATCGAAGAAGAGAAAGTGGCTGTATAAGTAATTCTATTATTTATCTCGAGGTGGGACGCACAGTTCTGACTTTTGTACTCAAATAACAGTGTATTAGTGAGAACCATTGAATTATCTTATTATTTTTATTGATATTTATGTATGTTTAAATCAAGGGGAGAAGAATTCTCTTAGTTAGTTCCAGGAGATGCTTGAGAATAGAATGCATATGTGGTGTATAGATGAAGAGAATAGGAATTAATTAAATATATAAAAAAATTTAAATCTTTTTTTAATATTATGGCTCACAGAATTCAAGAAAACGCAGGAATGATCAATGATGAGAAATAAGTTGTCGATATTTATGTACCAAGAAAATGCCAATATACAAATATGATCCTCAATAGCAGCGATTATTCCAGTGTCTAAATCAACGTCGGATAAGTATTGATTCAATTTCTAATTCAAGGTTGATGAGAACGGAGTTTACAACAAAAAGAACAACACTGTCATCTTGGCAGGATATTTGAGATAAAAGGGATAAAGTGCTGCAGCTTTGGAGGCTATTCTTAGACAAAGAGGTGTTTTACCATTTGCATAATGAGACAAATATAATATATACATATTAGTACATTAATAGATAAAATCACAAATTGCAAATGCTGCTTCTATAATACTAACAAATCTATTCAGCAAGAAGTATTAAATTGGCACCCAATTTCTCTTCTTGCATAACTTATTTGATTAATTATACAAACAAATTAAAAGTTTATTCTCCTATTTTTAAGGGGTAATGAATAACTCTCAAATCATTTGCCTTGTAAATTGAAGAATTCCTAAAAATAAACCCAACAATCTTCTTCACATGAGATTTTAGCTGATAATCCGCATTCCTAAAATGATCACTATAAATCTCGTTGTCCTGCAGGTTGATCTATACTTTGAATTGCACTTGATCCAACCCTTACGGTCCAACTATGCTTTCTATACTACGCTGATTCATAACGATGAACCTTAATTAAAACCACAAATCAGCATAATCCTGCAAGATAAGTCTGTCTAAATTATAGTTTTTAATTAATAAAAAAAAGTTATCTCTGAACCCATCCATCCATTCACTTTGAATCCCACAACCCTTGTGCAGAGTTCTCAGATCAGTATTTGTTAGAAGTGGTTGATGTTGATGAGTGATGTATTTTAAAAGAAAATGAGCATGTCTTAAAAGAGTGGGCACATTCGGAAAATTTCGAAACCTGGGATCTCTCTATATCAACACTTCGTATTTCTTCACTTAAACCTTAAAGAGAGTTGGGGATTAGAAATAAAAGTCCAATAAGCAATCCTGATTTACTATGCAACTTCTATAACCATCCATCCTTTTGGTTATCAATTCTATTTAGCTTTCTTTCAGTCCAAGTTCTTTCATGGCCTCCACTAGATATTATTTGAACAAGGTGAAATGGACATTTGTTAGATTCATCTTCTAATGGGATTTTCTTAAATAATTCAACACGTAATCAACACCACTATTCCAACCCATCATTTAATGCAAAATACTCCCTAGCTTCTTAGCTTATTCATCCATTTAAATGCCTACAAAATATTCACAAAGGGTTTGGTCATCTAATATTTTTTGATAAGTAAGATCTGCTAAATGAACAATACTTTTAGGGGTTTCATCTTTGTTATTCTCAGTTCTTTGATTATAAATTTAAGCAAAGGTCTGCTCTGATGTTATAATACAGTATTTATATTATTCTATGAGTGCACTGAATTCGAATATCAATTCAGGAGGACCTTTATTACTCTGAATAAAACTACTCTTCCTTATTATAATTGATTATTTACAATTAAGTAGCTCTTAAATTGATTGTATAATGCATGATCTATTTTTAGGGGAATGTGCTTTTATTTGAGAGCTTCAATGTTAAAAAATACTGGTTTTCCCATGATATACTCAAGAAATGTTCCGAATTTCGATTCATACATTGAGGGATCATCGATTTCTCATTTATATACAAATAGATTACTCTGAATTACGGGATGAATTTGAGAGTGTTGATGAAATAATATTGCTATTTCCTTAATGACCTCCTCGCCACCTATTTTAGTTAGAAAGATTCCATCGTCTTCCTCAAAGTTCGATTTAACGCAAAAGGAACTTTTGGGGGTAATTGGAGATAGTTTTACTTACTTTTAAGGTGGCAAAGATCTTCGAGTAATCGAATTAGGAATTCCAATTTTGGATCTAGGGGTATTTGGATTGGAATTTAATATATAGCTTTACGAATGTTATGAAATAGTAGTGCTCTTGTTTAGACTTAAAACGAAATGTGATTTCATTGTCTAGAGATCTGGAATGACAGCCTCAATCTTAGGAAGAATAGGACATCTTATCGTTTCAGTATTATGTCTATGATTCTTTTTTTTTCCTCTCTCCTTCAAGCCATTCACATAATCTGCAAATGAAGGTGATTGTTAAATTAGCTTAACTTTCCCTTTATCCAAAGTATTATCAGACTTTGTTATGAAATCGCACTGTCCCGCGTATGGCTATCTAAAAGGACAGTTCTGCTAGAATTGTCGATTCATTATATTTATTAATAACTTAATTAAATAGTCATTCCTTAACTAATCAGCAAATCTAATTTTTAGAAGTAACATGAATCCTTATAAATCTAAGTAAAATATCAATACTTATGATACTTCTTGGTTCAGAATATAGCCTGCACATTTTAATACTAATTTTATGTCAATATCCTTATTTGAGATAGTTTCAGTATGATAATATCCAATAACTCATTTTTCAAATTCTGCCACCTCAAAAGATAAACATTCTAAATTTGAGACATATTTCAATTTATGGATAATTTTATATAATATAGTTATCGCTTTCCTCAATATCAGCGATTTAATTTGGTCACCTGCTTGAATTCTGTTTAAACTTTAATTATTCTACTTCCAATCTTTATCTATATAAATTACACTTTAATCATCTCCATCTATGAATCGATTTCATTTCTATGACTAAATGTTCATTTTCCCTTAATAACAAGACTAATTTTAGACATTTCTCTTATATATTCATATCTAATTAGTTATTCTTTTAAGGGATTCTGAATAAACTATTAAGCCTGATGATTGGCTTATTGTTACTTCTCTATTTTATATTTCTACATAGGTCTGAAAGCGAATTGATTAAAAATAATTTATACTTTTATTTTACTCTCTTATCCTTACTTTGAAAATTTCAATATTCTTTTCAGAGTTCCCAATTATTATATTCTTGGAAATAGTTTCCTTAACATATTAATTACTAGATCAGTAGTCAATATTATAACCATTAAATCCATTCATAATCTCTTAACTCATATTCAATAAACTTTCATTAAACTAGTCCATGAAATATCATCATCTTTAAGAGATCACAATAAGTCAAACCAAAATAGCATTAATGAAAAGTAGTCGTCTTTATTAATAATTAATAAATTCTGATTTTCAATATATAATTTTTGGTAATTTGGTGGGCTAAATAATTACTATTTTGAGTTAATCTAAAATTTATTTATTCTGAAGTCTTAGGGATTGAATTAAATAAATTTTCAGTTAGCAGATAAGATTTTTAAAAAAAAGTAACAATATTATTATATTATTCTATTAATATGTTCTTCTAATGAATTGATAAGAAAATATCTTAAATCAGAGTTTTATTTTAAGTTGAAATTTATAATACTTTTTTTTATTTCTTTTGCGTCTTTTTTTATTGGTAAATCAATAAAGGTTTCTATCCTATTAATAGATAACATCAATGATATGCTACTTTAAGACATTTTATATTCCTCAACAATTATTTTCTAAATATTTGAATATTTATCCAAAATATTGAAAAATTTGATATCCTTTATATAACCACTTGCATTAGGATAATTATAATTAGTTCATTGCTTTATTTATTATGAAACATTTAATTTATTGATTATTTTTATGTTACTCTTTTTTTTCCAATTTATTTAATCCTCCATGATTTGTATTAGAATCTAGTGAGTAATTTTGTGTTCTTCAGTTTGGTTTGGTTTGTGTTGTGGTTATTAATATTAATTATAAGAGAGGAGAACTTAAATATAACAAGAACTTATTATAAAAAATGAATGTATAATATCTTTGTTATTAATAATTATTGCTAAATATTTATTAATATTCTAAAAAGGGAACCAACTTGTTATTAATATCAATATTCTGAAATACAATTATTTTTGCACTAATCTTAACAATTATTCGTGATCATATCTTAAAATAAATGATCTTTTTAACTCATTAATCCTAAGTTAATCTTTTTCAATTATATTTAGGATTTCCTTGAATTCTTTGATCAATTTCAGATAATATTAATTTAGGTTGAGTATATAATTATTAAATTTTTAATTAGTATAAATTAAAATCAAACTTATTTAACAAATTTTGTATTCGATAGCAAAAAAATAGAGATCCTGATGTTATATAACTATGAATCAAAAAACAGAAATGAAACACATTTTCAAATATGTAAGTGTAAATATAATATTTATCTAACTCTGTAAAACCTCATGAATTAGATAACTTTTGCGATTTCATGTCTGCCTTTATTATTTTACCTAAAAAGATGAACAAAGCTTCATGGAAATAAATCAAATTAATTATACTAAATATTATTCAATAACAATCATATTTAAGTAATATTTTACATTATTCTTTAATTGGGATCTTATGACTATAAAAAAAAATAACAAATTTAAATTAAACTATTCTTCTCAATTAGAAAAGCAAAATAGTTGTTATAACTGCTCTAACTTATTTATGTAATCAAGAAGGTTTATGGGTCTCTTTTTTGAAGTTTAAATTTATTTGTAATACAAAATCATAGTGTATAAATTTAATTTTTTATTTCAAATTTTAAAATAATAGCTAAATATAATAAATATTATAAAACTTTTTAAATTAAATAATTTCTGAATAGATGAGGATCAACAGAAGAAGAACAAGTATTGAGGATGATTATACTCATCGATATAAACAATCGACAATAATTTTAGACTTTTTCATTGGAACAATTAGATTTTTAAATAATAGAAGATAAATGAAAAATATCCATTTGTTTTGTGTTGTATTGAAAGAAAAAGTCTTTTTTATATAAACCTAAATAATGTATAATATTCTGATCTATATAAATAATAAATCATAATGTCTTATAAATATTGGGTTGTGTATTTAGAATAATAGAAACAACTGATCTTCACAAAAGTACAATAGAAAGATACATTAAACAAAAAGTCGAGCATTTGATTAGGCGCAGTAGAATTTGTAAATCAGATACAGAGAGTTGGTGTGTAATTTCTCTTGATTTTAATTAAAAACTATTAGTAGCCGAAACTCCATTATAAAATTTGAACGACATACAGCATACATCATAAGCTAATTGAAGATGATGCTTTTGTCGCTTCTTCCTGGCTTATCGTTTTTATACAATTCCTTAGTTTGGATCTTTATTTTATCATTCATTAAAACAATTAAAAGAGTATTTTTCAAAAAAAGTAAATATTATCTTCATGTTTAATTATTCTGGGATGTTGCCAAAAAGCTAAAGTTTATATTTTCATCCACCATTGCAAGTACTCAGTACAAGAAATGTCTAAACTGAACCTGAAATCTCAAAATAATAACATAGTACTTATTATTTTTAGCCGTAGAACCTCATAAGAAATACAGTGTTATAACTGATGACAAGAGGAATCTCCTAATCAAGCAGGTTTTAGAGGATGGGGTTTCAGTCAAATTAGCTGCTTAGACCAATGGAATTAAGTTATCGACGGCCAAAGCAATTTTGAAGACTTACAAAACTTAAGGGAGAATTGGCAAGAAGAAGGAGCGCTAAAAACGACCAAAGTTGAACAGAAAAACTGTTGAAAAACAATTAGATTAAGCAACATTAATTAAGAAGTAATTGCCCAAACTTGGTCAAAAGTAATGATTTAAAACTAAATTAGTTTCGTTTACTTACCATATAGCTATTAACCTCCCCCTCTTTTTTATAAAATTGAGCATTCTAATGATGTTAAAACAGAAATTTGATGTACAATTATACTTTAAATATATTGCTTTTATTCTTTATATATTAGAATTTTTTCTTATTCAAATTCCTAGTGTCATCAGACTCCTATTATATTGCATAAAAGAGTTCAGTCTTCCAATTTTGGTAAGAACGTGAGACTATTTTTGTTTTTAAAGTCAAATGATTAATTAATCCTCAGAAAATTTCAATTTATTGTCTGATAATGATACTTATGATTACATCTTTTTAATCAGTTTTGATCTCCTTACTCTATATTTGGAACAAAGGTCTACCCCTTGTTAAATTTCAGATCTCTTAGACTCAGATTGGTATCGACAAAAATCAATGAAGAAAACCAGATTCTAACACATCGTGCAAGATTTCCATAGAGAAAATATGAGGAAACTAGGAACGAGATCTCCATATTTTTGTTTTTCTACATCCCAGAAGCAGATACATAGTAGTCAATATTTTTAAGAACTTTCTTATTCGTCATTTCTTAAAACACATTCTTGTAGTTAAAAAACAACAACTTTCTTAATATATTCAATCTTATTTATGTTAGATAAGCACAAAGGAAAGTTGTTTTTGCAATTAATAAACCAAAATGAGTAAGAAGGAGGTTTTTAAAAAATATAAAATTTTTATTAATCTAATAACGAAATAATAGAGTAAACCTAATTGCTTACAAATAGAACAACGTTTGATGGGAGAAGCTTATTGATATATTTATTGATCATAAATCAAGCAAATTTTGGGTTTTTAAATATAATATCAGTAGTTATTAAGAGAAATAGATTTCTAAATTATTTCTTTTTTTATATAATTGTATTTCATTTATATAAATTGAAATATACATAAATATAAATAATTCATGTTGAGAATTGTTCATAAGTTGAGAAGTGGGTTTGCTAAAATGACCGTCAGAGAAGCCATTAACAGCGCAATGGCTTAAGAAATTGAAAGAGATTCAAATGTCTTTTTGATTGGTTTTTATGTGTAAATTCATTCTTTTAGGAGAGGAAGTGGGTTAATATCAAGGTGCTTATAAAGTGTCTAAGGGTCTCTATGATCGTTTTGGAAAGAGTAGAATCTGGGATACTCCAATTACCGAGGCTGGATTTACAGGTTTGAGTGTTGGAGCTGCAATGTAATATTTACCTCATACATTTTATAGGTATGGACTAAAACCCATTGTTGAATTTATGACATTCAATTTTGCGATGTAAGCCATAGATCATGTAATCAATTCAGCAGCCAAACTGCATTACATGAGTGCAGGTGGTCTGAGAACATCTATTGTGTTTAGAGGAATTAATGGGTATGAATTGTGAATCTATTGTTATTTTAGAGCAGCAGCATCAGTGGCAGCTTAACATTCGCAATGCTTTGCTGCTTGGTATAGTTAGGTGCCAGGCTTAATTGTGTTGTCTCCCTATGATTGTGATGATGCAAGAGGCCTCTTGAAAGCAGCAGTCAGAGATCCAAATCCAGTAGTTTTTCTTGAGAATGAAATCATGTATAACGAGGCTTTTGAGGTCCCAGACAATGTGATGGATAAGGATTACCTGATCCCAATTGGAAAAGCCAAAATCATGAGAGAAGGAAAAGATGTGACAATTGTGACATTTTCTAAAATGGTCAAGTATGAGAATCAATTAACTTGAGATTTTCAATGTTAGCAGCTGCAGAATTGGAAAGAGAGGGAATTTCATGTGAAGTTATCAATCTCAGAACCTTGAAACCCTTGGATAGAAACACAATTATCGAAAGTATCAAGAAGACTCACAGAGTGGTGACTGTTGAAGAAGGTTGGGGACAATGTGGAATTGGAGCAGAAATATGTAGTGTCATTAATGAAAGTACATGAAATCTCATAACCTAAGCTAATGCATTCTTCCACTTGGATGCTCCTATTGTCAGAGTCACAGGTGCTGATATCCCAACCCCATATGCATTTAATTTAGAAGAGCTCAGTTTCCCTAAAGCACACAATATTGTAGAGGCGGTCAAGTTGGTATTAAAGTGATCAAGTCATTCGTTTATATATCATAAAAGATAGCCTCTATTAATTGTTATTCAATTTCTTTTGATTCTTATAAAAAGGATTAATAAATGATTAGTTTAAACAAAATAACAATTTCTCAGTCCATGTCTCAAGCAAGATAGACCATTTGTTTATCTCATGTATATTATAAAATATAGATTATTTAAAATATGAATTGAATATTAATATTCCGATATTATATCTTACATGGCTGAAGCTATGTTATTTTACAGACAGAAAATTAATCAAACTTAAGGATAGCCTTAAATGCTTAAATTTTTGTAATAATTTAATTAATTTTTTTACATTAGTTTTAATTTTTTTTTAATTTGGGTTTATATAAATACAAAAATTATAACTAATTTCAGAAAAATTATCCCTTTGGAAATTTTGTACTAATTAAATAAATTCAAAATATATAGTAAATGTTTAAATAATATATTATAGTATTAATATCACTTCATAACCTTCTATGTGTTAAGTAGAATTTAATAGTAATTTTACTTATATTAGACTATTTATAAGCAAAGAAACAAAGTAGTTTAAATAACATTTGTCATTTGTACAGAAAGACTGAATCTTTATATATGGTTAATTATAAACCCTAATTTAAGTATTTTCTATTTACTTTGAGCTGAATTATCTCTTCCTAATTACTTGTATGAAGATAGTCAAAATAAAATGTAAAAATGTTGTTTAATGAAATAAAATTTAAATTTAAATTATTTTTGTAAAGAAGAACCCTTTAAGAAATATTCTTATTTAAGCCATATTACCCAGATTCCTATAAAAGAAAAAAAGAAAATACCAAGTAAGATTAAAAATATCAGTAAATTATTATCAAAATAGATAGATCTACCAATTAAACGTAAACAAAATGAAAGTACAAACTAATTTATAAATCATTAATAAAATAAATTCCTTGAAACATATAATTTATATAATAATGGGGACAATTTAGATCGAAAATATCCTTACATGGAAAGGTTTCGAACCTAATCAATCATATTCTCAACAACAAAAAGTACTTTAATCATGTTACTTACATCCCCAAGTGATGAATGAAATAATATATATTTAGAAACTTTATTGATGATTAAAAAAGACTTAATACAAGGAGGATTATTAAATAAAATTTGAAAATTATATCTTCTAAGTAATACAATAATTAATCTTACAAATAGTAAAGAGTTTATACTTACTTTTTGTTTATCTAAATAATATTTCAAATTTAAATCATTTTCTAGGCATTATTGTTTATTTCTCTTCTTAATTAAGAGTTAAGATTATGGAATTATAAAGTATAACTTCCGCAATAGTGTTAAGATATAAAAATATTTAAAAGAGATACTTGATAAAAATATATTAACAATGTGATGAATTTATTTATCTATATGTTTTATATTGTTGTCAATTTACAAATTTCTTGTAGTTCTCTGCATTTCTTAATAATATGTTTTCAATAGGTCCTAGGAGTCTTATGAATGCTTGGTAGTCTAAGTACACAACAACACAATCAGTCTATAATTCTAAGATGTAAGATTACTTCAGCTTAGATGGTGGCTTGCCTTGGTACTTTATTAATGAGAGCTAATTCACCAAAATAGTCTCCACTTTAATATTTAAGAACTTCTTCATTTTATTTAAGTGCAATTAGACTTCCTTTGACAACTATGTAGAACTTGTGTCCCTCTTCTCCTTCTTTAATAATGTATTCTTGAGCCTTAAAGTGCTATTCTTTGAGACCATCACATATTTGAGTCTTTTCATAGGAGTCGATGGATTTGAGTATTTCAACTTTGGATAGGACTTCTTCGTAATGTTCTCTTCTTTTGACAGTAGCTTCTTTAACAATGGCATTGAATGTAGATCTGTCGAGTGCAAAGAGTACTGATTCAGTATTGGATTAGATGGAGGCTGCTCTTGGTGCATTGTATAGAAGAGCCAACTCACCGAACATGTCTCCACTTTAATATTGCTTGATTAATTTTGGTTCTTAATCTTTAGAGAATCTTCTATAACAGTCTAGTTGACCTGAGGCCACCACATACAATTCATTGCCATCATCGCCTTGATTAATGATCCAATCTCCAGGATTGAAGTGTTTTTCTTCCATGGCATCAATGATGATGTTTCTTTCATTTTGATCAAGTGCTTGGAACATGAATACTCCACTCAATTTGTTTTCTATTCTTTCCCTCTGATCCTAAGATTTGGGAATGACTCTAGGTTTAAAGTCCTCTTTTTTGTTGTAGATTCCATAGACTTCGGCACTTACAGAAGTACGAAATTGCTGTTCTTTTTTTACTGCCTTTTCCAACTCATCCACATCTTCGGCATTCTCTTCTTCAGAAGAAATATGATACTCGATCTGTAGACTTTGTGTTGTTCTAACATTATGCTTTGCTCTTCGCACTTCCAAATATTCAATCATCCAATCAATCTAGGGTTAAATATTTAAGTTACATAATTTTCTGGTTGTTTTTTGAATAATTCATAGACCATATTTTAGATAACATCATTGACTCTGGCTTTATATTTGGCGATTTTCTCTTTGCTATTCATAAATATGTATTAAAAGATCAAACAAATAAATAAAATTATATCTAAGTATTAATTGCGAATACGAGTAAATAGGTGGTGGAATATAAATAATTATCAAACTTATTTAAATTATATTTAATCATAATGTTTCAACTTCCGAGTCATCTTTGGGATGTATTTTTTATGACTCATCATTCGGGACGCTCTCCTCCTATTAATGACTATTGTTATTGGCTTGTTCACTCTTTTTGAACTCATGTTGAGACTATCTCTTGGGTGTCGACCTGATTTTCATGACTTAGATAGGTCGTTTAAATAATGATCTCACATCTCCAGACTTAGTGGCTTGATTTGTATTGGTCTTGGCAGTTAATCTTTCAGAAGTGGGATCTAAAATTGATGAGCCATTCTCAGTCATCATATTTGATTATGGGGGTTTAAGAGACACTTCAGACAAATTCCTATAGACACTTTTCTTTGTTTTTGTAGATTCCAGTAATTCTTAGAACAAAGATTCTAGTCTTAATTTAGAATCCAGTAGTGACTGATTTTCAAAATCCATTTTCTTAATTCTCCCCTTGAAATATGAGACTGAATCCATGGTTGACTTGAGTGAGGTTTGAGCAACCTTGTGTGATTCTTTGAGCAACCCAAGTTCCATTTGCAATTCACTGACTTATTTCCTCAATCCTTCAATTTCAGTGAGTTTGCCCTTTCGATTTGATTAGGCAATCAAGAAATCCAACTTTTCTTTAATTTCCGCCTTCTCTCTCTGCAACAACCGATTCTATTCTTTGACCTTACTCAACTCACTTTCTAAAAATATGATTTGTTCTCTGTTCCCTGAATTTTACTTTGTCAAGGCTTTCAACTATAGTAGAGAGCAGCACTCTATACCTCTTGATCTAATTTTTTCATTCTTTCCAAGGCATCGATCAACTTTTTATCCTTTTCAATTTCTTTATGAATTGCCTCCTTACATTAGGTTTCTAATAGTTTGATTTGTCTTAACAATTCCTTATTCTGATCATTAGTCTATTGCAACTAATTTAAAATAATGGCATTGTCCCTATTTATTAATACTATTTACTTTTCAATCTAAGCTATTTTGATTTCATAGTTCTTCTTAATGTCTTAGAATTGAGTGTCCTTTTCCTTAATAGATCTCTCAAATTGAATAGTTTATTCCTTCAATTTATCTTCTAATTTAATGGCATTCTGTTATTATTAGACCATTAAATTGTGTTCATTGTTGATTTTGGTTTGCAATTCTTAAATCAATCTATCTTTATCGGTGATCTATTGATTCTGAGATTTAATCTATTAAGTAAGAATCTGTATCTCCTGCAGTTATTTTTCATTTAATTTCTTGAGATTGTCATTTTCCAATAGGAGTTCCTCTCTTTGTTTGGTTATGGAATTCAAATCTTCGTCTTTTTTGCTATCCTTGGCTTCCAACTGAGATTGCAATTTTAAGAGATTGGCCATCTGTTAGTCATAGAGAGTATCTTTATGTTCAAGATCATTGACTAGTTTTTTATTGAGTAATCTCAATTGTTCTAACTCAAGATTGTGTTTGTTATTTAAATCTTAAATTTGAAGTTACAATTATTTTTTCTGATCTTCTGAATTGAGAAGTTCTCCTTTCAATGATTCATTCTGGATAGACAATTAATTGGCATTCTAAAGTAATTTATCATTAATGGATCTTAAATCATTGTGATCATGTTGGAGATCACGGATAGTTTATTGCAATCCAGCCACTTTGCTTTCCTCATTTTGGGGTTAAGCATTCTTCAATTGATCATTGGCCTCATCCAATTGAGCCTTGACGGAGGATAACTCTTCTTACATCAATTTAAGTTATTGCTATTAACAAGTGGTGATGATTTTACTTTAAATTCGCGTTCCCTCGTCTTCCACTCCACCACATCACTCTGATTTTTCTCAATCAGTTTCACATTCTGAGTTTCCAACATCTTGATCTTCTCTGATAATTCCACAACCTACATCAATGAACAAAACTACATCCGCATTCTGATCAATTCTTTGTTGCAATTTGGCAATTTTATCCTCCAAACCAAGGATTTGTTGATGTCTATTGTCTAATTCAATCTCAAGCGATTTGATTTTTGTGTCTTTGTCAGTCATTAAATTTATAAAATAATGGGATACTATTAAATGAAGTAAATATTTAGGGAATTAGATGAATCTCAACTACTAATTGCCATTTACATACCCTCGAATAAATAAATTATATATATAATTAATAATCTATGGATAACAATAATGAGAATGATGAAAATCCAGAGCTTCTTAACGAGGAAGAAGATGATGACTTTCCTGAATATGCCAACGAAGCCAATAAAGAACTTAATGAGAAGGTATCCATCTCGCTATAATTAGATCAAATTAAAACGACGCATCATTCGAGATATCAACTCCAAAATTGAGGAAAAGAGTGATAAATTGAAAGTGCTTTCAGAACACTTGAAGAACATCCAACAAGAATTACTTCACACTTAGGCCTTGGTATCAATTCAATAATACTTAAGATCGACACAAAAAACAAGGAAATTGAAACTGAAGACCATTTGAAATAAATAACAGAAAGACAAATTGGTCGACTTCAAAATGAAATGACCAAATAATAAAAGATGTATAGTATCCACGACCTATTTTAGAATGATCGAGTAACAAGAAAGATTGAATGATGTTCAAAATTCCATCTATCGAGGAAATGAGAGATTGGATAAATACAAAATCGAAATGAATTGGAATCAAGAAGAATTGGAATAGTGGGTTCTGGCTGCCAGATAAAAAGAAGAAGACTCCCTAACCATGGAGAAATACAAAAGAGGAGATGAAGCTAAAATCAAAGAGCTCAATCTGCAAATTGAAAAATTGACTGTCGAAGTCAGCAGAAGACAAAATGAATTGGATAGAGAAATCACAGAAACACAAACAGCCTAAATTGAATTGGATAAGACAGCAGAAGAATTTAGAAGGTAACATGATGAACGTCATAAACTATTTCAATAATGGCAAGAAGTGACAGACAATATAGCAAGGAGAGATCAAGCTATTAGAGATGAATCAGAGAGATATGCTGATATCAAAGCTTAAATCAAAGCAAATCAATAAGATTTAGAAAATAGAAAGTCTCAACTTATGAACGAAAAGCAAGAAAATAAATCAGTCGAAGTTCAAAATCAGCAACTAGAGAGGACTATCATACAATAGAGGTAATCTAATAAGGATATCGAATTGGCCATAGATAATCTCAAGGCTGATGTTGAAATTTAAAAGAATCAACTCTCTGCTTTTGCTACTGATTTATCTAATAAGAGAAATAGATTGGCTTAGATGTCATAAGAACTCCTTATTAAGAAATAGAGATTGAACAATGCTCAAAAGAAATATGCAAGTGAGAAACAGAAATTGAAGTTGGAAGACATCCAACATTAGGAGTTTGAAAAATAAAGGAGTATGGCATCAGATAGATATAAGAACTTGGAAAAGTAGAGGATTGATTTGGATAAGGAAATTAAATTGCAAAAGGAAGTCTTATTCAAAGCTACTCAAGATTTATTTAAATTAAGAGAAAATGAAGCCAATTTATATGGAGAAATCTAAGCAAATGTGAGTGCTTGTCGTAACTATTAAGCTCATATCAATAAATTGATTTAAGAATTTTAAAGATAATAAGAATTATTGTATAATGCAGAATATCAAATATAATTGATGGAAAGAAGAGTTGCAAGGGCCAAGGGAGAACGTACTTTGGAAGAGAAAAAAGATTTGGAAAATGAGATAAAAGAAATTGAAGAGAAAGTTAATTTATAAAAGAAGGAATATAAAACACTGTTGTAGAGTTTGAAAAGACTTGATGATGACTTGAGAGGGACAGATAGATAATTGACAGGTACCAAAGCATCATAAACTAAATTAAAATAAGCCATAGATGAATTAACATTAGAAAATGATATGACTTATTAGGACTTAAGTAAGATCGTAAAGTCAAAGGAAGAAGTGTTGGTTTAACATGATTTTATGAAATTAGAAATTTAAAAGATTCAAAAGGTTGTGACAACTGCTGTTGATAAAGTGTTTAACTTAGAGAATCGTAAATATCAGTTGGAAATGGCTATGCAAGAGAGAGAGTAGGAAATCTAAGTGCACAAGGACGTGTTGGTGGCTGAACATAAGGCAGCTGAAGAGGAAAGACATAAAATTGCTGTTGAATTGGCTGAGAGATAAAATAGAGTGAAGAATCTCAGGATCAAATACGAGTCCTTGGTTTAAAAGAACAAATCCTCGAATGGAGAGTAGGATACTCAAAACATTGAGGAACATTCATAAGCCTATTACATCATCAAAGCTTCTTAAGAAAGAGAGGAATTGCAGAGGAAAGGTGATGAATTGAATGCTGAAATCATTAAGAGGGATTAAGAATTGAAAGCATTAGATAATACGTTATCTCATCTTAAGAATAGAAACAGTAAGTACAGAGACAGTTTCTTAAATAAGGGTATTTCTTAGAAGGAAGTATCCCATAGAGATGGATTGGAGGAACAATGTAGAGCAGCATCAGAGAATCTATTTAAAAAGAAAAAGGAACTGCAAAGACTATAATAAGAAATAGATGAAGATATGAGAAGGTTGACTGAAATATAAAATAGAGTATTACTAATATTTATTGTAGATTGAAATTCTGGATAATCAAGAGAGGGAAGTGGATATGCAATTCTAAAAGTTGGAGAAGGAATTGCAAGATTAGCAAGAGAAAATTGGTAGAGCAGAGAACATAATGAATTCTAAATTGGCAAAAGTGTAATAGAAGAGAATTGTACTTGATGAATCAAATGCACATATCTCTGCCTTAGAATTAGACATTTAAAATAATTTAAATAAGACTCTGAAGACCTGCATATTGTAATAAGTTGATAATATGTTTTAGTAATTTAGTGTAAGAATTCCCTGAAATGCAAGCCATAATAGATGCAGTCTTTTAAGAGAAGAATGTCACTGTTCCTAGTAAACAACCCTCTTCTGTTGGAGTACCCTCTGTTAGATCATCTGTGCGTTCAGCTTCTTCTCAGGGCAGAAGATGATTATGATGATATTAATAAGTAATTAAACATAAAATGTACCTTAAAAGTATAACTCGTTAAGAAATGCTATCTCAAATTGATGCACTCAAATGCAAACTGGAATTTGAGAAGTAGAATCATGAGAAGGAGTTAAAATAAATTAAATTGGAGGTCCAAAAGGAAGTAAAAATGCTCACATTCTATAGATTGCAGTGTTGTAGGATGAACTCAAACAATTGAAAGAGATGTTTGCAAATGTTTAATTCTAATAGTATTTCAAAATGAAGAGTGAGAATAAGAAATTACAACAGGAAAATACTATTTTGCATGATATGGTCAGAGCTAATTAAATTACAGGATCTACAAAAGAAATGGAACTTGGAAGATTGAAACAGAAATTACATAGATATAATAACAATTCATTGCAAATACAAAAGGAGAGCAATGGAGAATAGAATTAGCAATTCTAGCTTCAAATCAGGGATGTTAGAAATTTATCTCATCACCGAAATCAAACTTAACCTTCACTAACAGATTCAACGGCAGAAACTTCATCTAAATTATTGCCAATAAAATTCAAGATTAATTAATGATAACTTAATATTCATCTCTAAGAATGTATCCTTACTTTCGATATTCTTTAAATTTCTTTTTATTTCAATTATTTGAATAACTAACATAATATTATGAATTACATCCTATTTGAATTGTAAATTAGTACAATCTATTTCTGGAGATAATGACTTAGAATTTTAAATAATAAGTCTTTGTTTAATAAAGTTTTCTACTTTCTATTCTAAACAACCCGTTGCTTTTTCTAATTATGAAGCTCGTTGAATCAGTGGTTTTTTATAACTTGAATCAAAGTTTTATTGCGAATTGCTAATGCTGGTATTGGAAGGAATTGTTTATTTGTTAGTAAGATTGAAGAAGAAAGACTACGGTGAATTTCTTCTGGAAGTATTTGGAGGATTCACTTATAATCCATAATGTATTCTTTTATGTTTCCCAGAACTTATAACATATTAGTCATCTGATCTTAATTGCTTTAACAATTTTTTGTATATTTTTTAAGAGTCCTCCTACGTATATGCTGACAACCTCTTTTTTTAAAACTGCATATATCTTTGATCTTGTAAATTAGTCATTGCTCTTTATCTGGATCTTGAGGTACTTGATTCTTGAAGATGACTGGTTGGTTCAATCTTATCAAGTGATTTTACTTGATGCAATTTCACTAGATCTTCGATTGTTGAGAAGGCTTGAAATTCTTAAAGAAGTGAGGGTTTATGGTTGTCTTGATCCAGAAGATGAAATATCTTTTATCCAGCCACTTCAACATATAATTTGGGCTGATTATTTTTTTGTTAAGTGTTCTCCTTTAATTTACATAATTCTTACGTCAATCTCTCTGAGTTGAACTTAGAGAATTCAAATCTTTACATAGTAATCTTATCTCTTTCTGAAGTTTACACTCTTAAATCGATAGGATAATTATTTTTCTAATGAAAACTATGATCATGTTGTTTGCCAACATCAATAGTATAACCAGAACCTAGATCAAACTTAGCCTCTGCAGCTCCATTATGCCATCCATTTATAGTTCCAGAGAGCAATTTATTAGTCTTCATGATTCTGTGATCAGCAGGACCATCAAATTGTCGAGTGCTATCAATTTTACAGAGTCTTCGCATTCCAAATTGTAAAGCTGTCTTTCTGTCTACATTCTAAGTTGTGGAAGAATGAAGTAAATTACATTCTCCTTCAAAAAGAGGAAATGTATTGCCCTATCAACTGGAGCTGGGTCAGTTGGTCTTTCCTTGAACTTCGAACATTAACCAAAGAAAGCCACCTTTAGTTTATTCCAATAACAATTACTTCTTCTTTTGCTGCTATTTTCAATGCCTCTTCATAGTTCATTCTTTTTCTGATAGGAGCCTTTTTCTTCATTAAAAATAAAATGAGTTCGGACACAGAATCTCCAATAATTCGAAGAAGAGAATCCAGACGAGATTCCACTCTTTCTCAAATAACTGGAGCAATTGGAGCCAACCAAAACCTATAGGTTCTTAATGATCGCAAGGTCCTCCTGCTCTATGCTTCAGGAGCAACAGCAGCTGAAGGAGAACTTAATGAATCTCACATGACTGTTGTCAAAGGAAGACTAGAATAAAGAATGAGACACATATCCTTTCTTTGTGATCTGGAATACACACAAGTACTTGTTTAAATCATAAATAGTATCACAACTAAGATGGTTGCTTGACAACACCCGTTTCTGAATATGGAAGAAGGACTGTTTATAAGGTGATGGAGCTTGATTAAATTACAAACTCAAGATAAACTGTAAGTTTAAGTCATCTAACTTTAGTCCTATGCAGATATCAGACACATTGCTGAAATAATAAAGGAAAACTATGAGAAATATAGTGCATTTGTAATTCTAAGCGGAATTGCAACAATAACTTATCTGGGTACCAATCTGTCTTTTATGCTTGAAAACCTATAAAAAACAGTTGTTATCACAGGTTCTTTGATTCCCTTGTCCTTTATGCGTAATGATGCCTTCCAAAATATCCTTGACTCATTGATCTTGGCTGGACACTTTCTCATCCCAGAGGTGCTTATCGTTATGGATCACAAAGCTTACAGAGCCAACAGGTGTCGATAATTGAAATGTGATTCCCTTGATTGTGTTGAAAGTCCTAATTTTCCCAATCTGGTTGAATTTGGAATCAATATAGACATCAAATGGCATCTAGTCTTACGAAGAGGAGAACAAATGTTTAGTAGTGAAGAAAGCACACTTGAGTTATCCCCTCAATTCATAACAGATGTCATTATTTTAAAGATAACTCCATTCACAAGTGTTGAACACATCAAACACATATTCAGTACACCGAACTTAAGATGCTGTATTTTGGAATGCTATCATTTTGGTGAAATGCCTCATAACTAAGATTTCTATAATGCCTTATTGCATGCTCAATCACAAAAGGGAATCATCTTAATTTAAATATCCCAATGTATCAAAGGATAACCAATCAAGAGTTTTAAAAAGATAATGAATGGCATCATCGTCTAATATGATATCACTCCTGAAAGTGCCTTAGCAAAGATTGGATATCTACTTGGAAAAGGATATACGACTTAGGAAATTATTGAGAAGTTCCCTTAAAATTTATAGGGTGAAACCGAATCAGTGAGACAATTTGAAAAATTTGAGGGTCAGAAATAACATTTCATTTAAACAATCTTAGAAACCCTGTAAAAGACTTCAGGGGATGAATAGATCAGCCAAAACATGGATATTATGAATAAATATATAATACCAAATTTAGGTTGTTTTTTGGCTACTACAGGATAATTGGATTTAATCAAAGATCTTAGAAAAAACGAAGGAAATCTTAACATTCCAGATTTTGATGGCAGAACTATTCTTCATCTAGCTGCTGCCTCAAAATAAATAGAAATTATTAAGTATTTAATTGAAGAAGTTCATGTTAATATCAATCCTATCGATTACCTTGGGTACTCCCCTATGTATGACATCCTCATATCAAGGGATAAAGAAATGATTCTCTTCTTTTAACAAAATGGAGGAGTAATCGAAGCACCTCATCAGGTAATGGTAGATCTTATACTAACTGCTGGACTCAAAGGAGATTTATAAATACTAGAACTCATATTTCACGGAGGAATTAAGAATCTTAATGAATTCGTGAATGTGGATAGCAGAAACATAGGCCACATGGCTGTTATGGCAATTAACTCAAAAATTATCCGATTTTTGAGATTTACTGCCAAATTTAATTTTAGCGAAAGAGATCGATGGGGTAACACACCTTATGAGAATGCTATTGAAATTAAGAGTAAAAAAGTGAAAGTTCAAAATCTCAATGATGTAGCAATTGAAGAAATCATCGAAATGCTACAAACTATTGGGAATGATTGAATCAATGAACAACATTAAAATTATACAAAATCCAATCCATTTATTATTTTTAATGTTTATAACATATTAAAAAAATTAAAGAAAATTCTTTTTCTTTCTAAAATAACAATCAATCATTAATCATCTTTACTTTCCTTCCTTGAACTTAATCAATCATTTCCTATTCATTTTTGTCCAAATCTCTATATTAGTAATAATGGGCAAAAATTAGGTTGTATGAATGAGATATTTCAAGTAGAATCGTAGTTTTTTAATCTTAATAATTAATAAAATTACATCACCTTGAATGAGAACTCTATAAACACGCAATCCGAATTCTTCAATTCATAATCTAAATAGCTTCAAAAAAAATATTACATTTTCTTATTACTATTCTGAAACTTTTGAGGAATTCCAAAAAAGACAAAGAGATTATGATAAATTATAGAAATATCCCTATCATACTAGATAGAAACCCAAAAACCTCAATAAATACAACTATTCTAAGGCCGCTAAAGAGATTAAATAGTAATTTTTTTAAACAAGGGCAAATTTAAAAGAATATATCTACTTCAAAGACCATCATTTGCAACAATAAAAAAGATCAATTCAAACAATTGTTGACATTCTAAGATAATAGAAGAAGGTTTTATAGGATAAAAAAGTAATATCAGAGCAAAAATAGAGATAATTCAATCTGATGTTAATCCTTATGATTATTATTCCAATTTTGTGCGTAATGACTGTTTTGACTGAATTATTATGAAATACAAATATATCTAAAAAGTATGATTTCTATAATTATAATGTTTCATAAATGCTTAATAATAATTAATATATTAAATAAATCAAAATAAGAATTAGATGTATGCAATAAGTAATAATGATATTCAAATTAAAACAATTCCAGTTCTTCATATAAATATTAATTCTTCCTTAACCACGAATTTAATTTTCAGCCTCAAGTTATCACTAATAAAATATATCCATATTTTCAATGAAAATTAAAAAATTCAAGCAAGTAAGTGAAATTTAAATATTTTTTTGTCCTTTTCCAAACAAATACTAAATTTTTAATATAAAATCTATTATTAATTAATTATTTATTTTTAGATTTTAATTCAAAATTATTATATAGTAGATTCGAATTAGAAACTTATGGAAGCAATAAATTGTTACCAAGATGATATTTCTCAAGACCATACAATAATAATTTAACATTATTTAAGAAAATATACACAAATCATTTCCAACCTTATGGAGAGATTCCTTAATTCTTTTTAATTCTTATTTCAGGTTAAAAGGTGGCTATGTATCTATTGTAAGTGACTTCATCTATGATGACATCGTATTCTATAATAGTAGGATCTCCCTTCTTAACAGGAGGCTTTTACACTTCATTCTTTACTCCTGAAATATTACCAATATCATATAACCATCTAAGTCTTTCAAAATGTTAATCTATATTATATCTTAATCTATATAGTTTCTTATTCATATTATAATTAGACTTTTCCTCCATAACTTAAAGAAGCTTTTTAATATTAATATTCAAAAGTGCACTAATAGGCACAATGGGATAATCCTAAGATTCAATCTAATCATAATCTAAAGAGTATTTCATCAAATCGATTTTATTCCATACTTCAATCTAGATTAATATGTAAAGTTACCATTTTCTAATTGAAGAAATCTTAGTTAAATCCTAAATCCTTTAAGACATTATAGACAACTTGCTTTTACTTGTCACTATGTGGATGCGAGATATCCCTAATGTGTAACACAATATCAGCATCTTATACTTCTCCTAGAGTAGACTTAAATGCTTCTATTAAATCCTGAGGTAGATCTGTAATGAATCCGATTGTATTTATTATAATTGCTTTCTATCCTGAAGCTAATCTTACAGATTTTTGATTTGTACTAAGTAATTAAGAAATTTACTCTTTGCTCTCAACTTCATCCTTTTATAATATGCAGTTTAATAGTTAAGCCTTACCAGCATTTGTAAATCCAATCAATGCAATTTTGGGAATAGTATGAGCATGAATCTTACGTTTAATTTTTAATCTTGTTTAACTTTCTTCTTCAATGAGTTATTTAACTTTTTCTATTTTATCATCTATAATTCTTCTTTATTATTAAAGTTCATTGTTTTCATTAGCTCTTCCTTATCTGTTCTTTTGCTAGATAGAGAGAATTTCAACATCAATTTCCTTAGCCACCATTAGTTGTTCTTTGAAGAGTGAAGCGAGTGATGAAAGACTACTATCTCCTGTTTCTAATTTTGCCTTTGCAAATTTGAGAAATGATAATTCAATTTGCAATTTTGAAACACCTTATGTAGATCTTTTGGCAAATAATTATAAAATCATAGTGAACCGATCATATACCTAAACAGAAGTAGCTTCAGAATCAGATTTTGCTTACTCTTCTGCATTTTTATTATTCTCATTATTATCAATGAAATCTTCTGTAATGCCAGATGCTATTTCTCCTTTTGAATATTAAGTCCATACTTTTTTCAAATTTCTAGTTTGTAATGATGTTAATTCAGTATTTATGAACACAGCATTAATCCCTTTTGATTAAATATGTAGTCCTAACATCCCAAGTTTAGCTTTTGTGAAGAATGTGGTAGAATGAATACCGGGCAATTTGACAAGGGATGATTTGACTATGGAATTTCCAACAATGTAATTTCTCCATTCCTATCCTAGATCATCCTCTTGGAATTCTTACTATTCTCTTTATTATTGTGATTGATTATCTTATGAATCTTATTGAACCTTTTCTTGGCTAGTGCTCGTGTCTGTAGTTTAATCGTTCCATCCGAAAGGTCCTTAAACAAGAGTCCAATTCAATTATTTAGATAGTCCAATGGCTTCTTCGGCCATATAGAATTCCAATTCAGGACCTTTGTTTTGAGATCCAATTGGATGTAAGACCATATAATTGAGAGGATGTTAGGTGAGTTGTTGCTTGGTAGGAGTGGGTTTGGCAAAATCAAGAATTTCTTTGGAGAATCTATACTTGGCAATGGCGTTACTTAATCTCTTGATTAGCATATATAAATTAATGAACAAATTAGAATTGCCCACTGATATTGAGAAGAATGAGTTCTTTGATGAGGATGCCATATCAAAATCCACGATATAGGCTGTCAATAATTCATTTGATAAAGAACAACTAGACGAACAGATTGAGAGACCATTTACACCTGTAGATACTTAGATTGAGATGATTCCGAAAGAACAATGTCCACATTGCAAACGATAATTCTTTCAAGGTCGTCTAACATTACACTTACGTAGTTGCACGGCTGAACATCCCTTTGTAAAGAAATCCAAGAAATAAAAAACTTAAACCTTGCACACCCAACCCACTTAATTGCCATGTCCACATTGTCATAAGAAATATAGGAATTTAAAGACACACACATGTTAGACTAGAACGAAAGCACTGGATAAATATAAAGTGGTGGCTTAAATAAATGAAGAAGAAGAAGCAGATGAAACTTTGATATAGGAACTGTCCTCAAGTCAGCCATCCTTCCTGCCCAAAATAAAACAAAGAGTTGAAAATATATTATCACGTTCAGTGCCCATAGTTAAGTGTCCATAATGTTAGAAGACATTTGAACAAAAAGCATATGAAAAGCATATCAATCTTTGTATACGCATGAATAGTGGAAATAAATTTCAACGTAGTATTTTCTGCACAAATTGTGGCAATAAATTCGCCAACAGTCACAAATACTGTGGTTCATGTGGTAAAAAAAGACTATGATAATTATATAATGACAATTTGTTTTTATTCTCACAACTTAGCCTTCTATTTTAATCTCTTATCCACAAAATCAGGAAAGATAGGTCTCACATACACACTCATGTAAGCTTTAAATGGGAAGAAGATCTAATCAATATAAATATATACTTTTCTGGCCCTTCTGTCTGCTGCATCTAAAATCATAGACACACATTCTGATATACTAATTCGATCCTCACTCTCATCCTTAGGTGAATGCTTCTTTAATAAATCATGATCCCTCATTGGAGTTCGTACACTTGGAGGACACACAATTGTTATCGCTACATTGAAATCTTCCAATTCTGTTCTAAGTGCTTCAAAAAACCCGGTTACAGCAAACTTTGAACTGCAATATGACACTCTATAAGGTAGTCCAATCTCCCCTGAAATCGAAGACATTACTACAAACTAGCCTGAACTCTTTCTTATATGCGGTAATGCATATCTAATTGCATATGAATAAATGCTTACTTAGTACAATATACATATCCATAAAAATTGACATCCATTATTTTCTTGAAAACTGATAAGTCTTTGAATTCTTCAAAAAAGGAATGAGCATTGACTCCTGCATTTAACACTACAATATCGATTCTATTGTATATTCTCACTGTCTCCTCTATCAACTATCTCTCATTCCTAAATTATTCAATACTTGCAGTCTTCCTCTTTAGATACATCTGTGATCTTATAATGAGCTCTAGATCCCAGTTATTCACATAATGCACAAACTTGCTGTAATTCTTCTTCTGATCTTGCAGCCAACATTAATCTAAATCAATTTAGTATTTTCTATACTTGACTCCTCTGGTGGCATATTATAATGCTAACTCTCGTCCTATTCCACTCGAAGCCCCTGTGATTACAATGACAGAGTTTGCTATTTAATTAGTAGATCTGTTACGTTTAAACTATTTGGTCTTTGTCAATTTCAATATTTGTTATTGATTGCCCATTCAATTTATAATTAAGAAATTATGATTAATATATAACTTTAAATCTCATATAAATTCTCTGATTGATATTCTTTCTTGGTGATTATCATTTTAATGGATAATTAAAAGACCATTTTTGAATTATCTGTTTTATGTAAAAATAAACTTTTTGATAACAATTAATTTGATTTTTTGTAAGGTGGATTTATTATAAAAAAGTTGAATGGAAAACAGTCCTCTATTCTATAATAGAATATGTACTACAGCACTTTAACTCCTTCTTGCAGAAATTCAAATTCACTTGAATTCATAGTTAGGTTTTTTTGAGATATGAAATTAGGAAAGCTATAGAAGGTTTAGGGTGTCATCAGAAAGTACAAAAATTAAATAAAAGAGAATTAAGGAAGTCATGTAATAATAAATAAAGGATGAAGAAATTGATATAATTAACTGATAATTAATATCTTAAGGTCAATTAAATTATTATGATAAGGTATGAGTAATTGATTATTAATAATAATAATCTCAGTGAAATTAAGTTTGATATGAAACAGAAAGTGATTCTGAATCTTGTGATTGGCATACAGATGGCAGAGAATACTTTGTTCATAATTGACTGCATTTACTCGATAATTTATTAGCATTACGAAGTAGTTCAATTATAATATGAAAGTATGTTGCCATGGGCACCTTATGTGTATTAATGATATTATTTTTGCTTTTCTTGTTGGGGAATACAAAAAGTAATAATGTGACACTTAAATGTAGTAACCATATTTAACAATGAGAATGCAATTGCTCATCAAACATGTTTAAATTGTGGAAGCCTTGTTAATGATTTCAAATGCAAGGAATGTAAAATATGTGTGAATTGTAATGGTAAATTTCACTCAAATTACTTGAATAAATGTTTAGATAAAAATTAATTATAGTATAGAATACTCAATAATAGAAAGATACATTTTCAAGAACATATCGTTATTGGTGCTTAAATGTTTATTGTGTACATTTGTAAGAACATATGCCATCATCTAATATATGGAGGATGACACAAATCTATTTGTTGTAAGGAATTGTCAATATTAGGTGTTCTATATCAGTTTATCTGGAGGTGTGTTGTTAGATTTGACTATTTCTATATTTGTAATAGTAATTCAACTACAATTATCAAAAGAACAAAGCAAAATCTCAAACCTCGATAAAAGAGGCGAGGATGAAACTGATATCAAAGTTTAATCCATTGTGTAGGGTGGAAGCAATGGCAGTCCTAAATTGAATAAAAAAATGAAAATATTGGAATTCTTGGAAAAGAAATTGAGTCATAGAAATAATTTTGTAAGTGGAAAACAGATGTATGAAACTGAACCAATGCCTATAATGTTTGAAGAGAATGAAGAAAGTGCAGTCTAATCTCAAATGAAATAGTTACATGGCATTGTTCCAATGACATTGACTAATATAATTAAATAATAATGAGTTCGTACCGTAAAAATTGTTCAAAATCAGAAATCTCTGTCAATGACACTTCCAATAATATTAATGTGCCTGTGCTCCAACAAATCAACTCCCTGAATTCTTAACCAATCATGTAAGTTCGAAGACCTACTGATTTAAATAGTTCTCTCAATCCAATCGACTCTCCACTTAGTATTAGAACTTCCATTAAATTAGAATAGGCACTCATAATCTGTAGAAATCACCACTTTGTACACCAGGAGTATTGGATGGCAGAGCAACTCAATTGAATCTCATTAATGAAGAATCAAGTGTGAATGAATAATCAGATCATAAAGCTTTTGAGAGTTTAATAAAAGAGAAACCCCCAAATATCAATGACATCATCATCAGAGAACCAATTCATTGGAGTTAGATATTTACACATCCAGGTACATCTAGAGATGATGATTAATGTAACAAATTCGGTATGTATTTGGGAGACAAAGCCTATACTGAAGAAGACAATAAATAAGATATCCAAGTAAATATCAAACCCGCTTTTATTATTGTTCAAATTATCCTATACATCTATTATTTGTATTAATTTCCACTCCTCCTTTGTGGAATTGCTGGCTCTGATTATCAATAAACATATCAGTTGCAAACACAACTTCCATTATTGTTTATAAACTTCATATTGTTTATTTTGAACACCTAAGGGACTGCATAATTTATTGATTACCTGCCATTGACTACTTTTATTCCCTTTATTTGCACATTAATCGATATCAAGTATTCTTATCTATCATATTAGCCAATAAGTTATTTTCATGCAAATCATACACGTAGTTACAATCTGCAAGTTCTATTGCATATTCAAACAACTGCTCTCAATTTCTATATGTTTAAGAATATACTCGCTATATTTCTTTACTGTAAGGATATCACAAATTCATTTCTTTTAAACCATATGTGGATTCCTGCTAGTTACTACTCAAGGCAATTAACAATAATTGAATTTGGATGAATTTTATCAAAATTATTGCAGTTTGATCAACATTCTAATTATAACCAATAACCAATCTATTCTAATATATCCAATCAAAATTATAGCCATCATATTCATTATCTATTAGTTCACTCTTATTGGAGAATATGTTAATTATTTGTTTAGAAATTAAAATACATTGACCCAAGGATTAATTGAACTCTCTAAAATTATCCATTAATTGCCATTTCATCTCAGATATGAAAGTTTATCACTATCAGATAAATAAATTTTATCAAGATTGGAAACCAGGAATCTTATAGATTATGACAGACTTCCCCATCAATTATCAAATAAATTATTGAATGCCTAATATTCCAAAGTCTTAAACAAAATACCATTACTAGAATAATTTTTAACTTAAAAAACCATCTCAAACATATTAATGAATGCCACCAAAGAAAGAATTTTAGACCCCAATGAAATTCTTATTTAACCAAATTAAGAAAATAAATTTCTATATTTCATTCTATCTGGAAAAGTCAAATGTTATTAACAAAGAGAAAATACGTAATTCCCAGTAGATATTAATGAAAATGGAATTTATAATCAGCAAGGCTTCTTTTTAGAATAATAGACTGAAGTTGGTGTGTAATGTGTCACTTGTTGTAAGATATTAGAAATCAATTCAGAGTATTTTTGGAAAGAGGTCAAAAGAAGTATTACTGAACTTGAAAAAATAAAGATGGGTTTAGATAGAGTGTAATTTAATTAGGAATTTGAATTAATTGCTGTTACATGTTAAGTATGCAAAGGACATCATTTAATCAACAATTGCAAGAAGGCTCATTATATACCTCCAAGATAAATATTAATGGACTTTATTTATTTTGATGAAATCAACAAACGAAAAAAGTATTAAAGAGTAAATATATTTGCATTAAATTTAGAAAAATCACACAAGAAAGTTTAGATGTATGAAAAATAACATTATGATAGAATAAGTTGTCTGTAATGTTAGACATCTATTGCTCTAGCAATCTGACACTTTCAAACCTCCCAAGACCATTACAAGCATAGGAATGTAATCAGAGTAATAACATTCTGAATATTCTGATGAAGAACACAATAGAATGTCTTAGTATGTATAAAATTTGAGTCCTGTCTAATATGTAAACCAAGTTGGTAGCAGTGCTAGTTCTTATGTCTTAAAAGAATTAAAGCAGCCATAACAAATAAAATCTCCTAAAGATAGTGTTATGGTTCATTAAAAAAGATAACAAGAGAAGAGATAATCTCATGTAACCAAAATTGAAAAAGGTTAGAAATTAAACTATTTTAGACTTAAGTCCATCTATAATTAAATATGCTACAATTTAAGATAAAAAGAGTTAAAAATCAAAATCAATTATAAGTGAAGATTATGGTAATGGATTATTGCCAGGCTCAGATCATAGATAATTTTCACGATATGGCATACAATCATCTAAATTTACAAATGAAACAGCAAAGCAATTTTTGAGTAACCCTTTAGATATGCCATCATATGATATGAATTAATCTATGGATAAAAATTGTAGCTACAATGAGTATTATCCTAGAAATAATATAGATTTGGTATTATCTTATACTATTACAAGGCTCTTCTCTCCTATAAACAATATCAAGACAGTATTATATCAAATAGGAGTAATTAAAATGCTTGATAATAAATTATTAGTTCATAAATTTTTATTTAAAGAATATTTAATTAAATTATCATCAATAAAATTAATTATCAGTATATTAATTTATTTATTCATTCATACTAATGATGCTAATTATCTCAATATTTAAATAGATGCCATTACAATCAAAAGAGAGAATCATAAATTTATTATGTGTTTTATTATTTTGTAATATACATCTTCTATGACTCAAATTCTAAATTAATCCATATTTTATTGGTTTTATTCATAAAATAAAGTATAACAATTCATCAAATACATTTCTATAATATCCCAATATTTATCGATTCTCCTATGAATAAAATGGGAATTTGACTAAATATTAATTTTAATGTTATAAATAAATCATTAATTATAATCAAATATTAATTATCAGGATGAGATACTTTGAAATTTAGCAATAAAAAGTAAATTGAGTTTCCTAAATAACAAGTAATACTTAAAAAAAAAATTTGCTATTGATGATATAAGGATTAAGCAGTTTTCTTATACATGTTTTATGATTAATTATTAATTAATTATTACTAGCATTCTCCACAAAATATACAATAACCCAATCTTACTAAAGTTTGAAATTATTTCAACTTATTCAAATGAATAATATTTTGATATCTGTAATTCAATCAATCAAATTTACTTACATATTTTGAAACAGTTAGAAGAGAGTATCTGAAATTCTATTTTACGTAATCTTAATTATTTCATAGAGGAATAAAATTTTATGTTTTAAGATTAAGTGTAAATGAATAGATGTCAAGATTGCATATTATTCAAAACAGGTGCAAATATGTCAGTGTAAAATATAAAATACATAAACAAAAGAATATATATAATATATGATTATTCATAAATATGTTAGATGATAACTAGAATATGAAATTAATTTTATGTTTGAATTTAAATCGTTTCAAAATTGATAAAAATTTGATTATTCCGGAGTAACTGGGATTGTTGGCAAAATAGAAGTATGTAAAAATTGGAACATTCTAAGTTACAAAAATGAACCTTAAGAAATAGATTTAATTGGATTCTTTAAGAATGGGAACAATTTCTTTTGCTTCTGTTATATATTAAATATTGAAAACTTTTTAAAAAAAACATATCTATTTATAATATGTTCGCATTTTATTCGGATTTAATTGATAAAAGTTATTGTCCATTTCCTAAACTAGGCCCATCGTAGAGCTATGTAAATGACGTCAATACGCATAAATAAAACATAAAGCAATACAAAAGTACTCATGATTAAGAGATAATTAGTTCCATCTAAGAAATACAATGTCATAACAGATGAATAAAGAAACTCATTAATCAAGATGATAACTGAGGATGGAATATCTATCAAAAATGCTTCTGAAAAGTGTTCTATAAAACTGTCAACGGCCAAAGCAATACTGAAAGTATTTAAAACTTCAGGGAGAGTAGGGAAAAAGTAATGCAGATAAAGAAAGGCAGGAACAAAAAGGAAAATTGGGAATGGGAGGGTTGATTTAATGATGGAAATAAGAAAGAGGTTGCCTAAGATTGGATTTAAGTATATTTATATATATATAGATAAATTAGCTAATATTTGTGTTTTGCTACATAATAGTAGTTTGGTAAGCCTGTTAAAGAAGAATAAGAGTGATTATGAGTATTCAATTTTATAATGGGTATGTTGGTTTTTTATTCCAATAATACTCTCTCCAATTTATTATAATCTTATTTAATGAGTAATTTTTAGTTTGAAAGTATCGAATATCCTGAAGATGACGAGTCATTTGTTGAGTCTGATGATTCAGAATTGAACCCATTTTTGTTTGAGTTGGATCAACAGAAATCAAAAGATGAAAGGGTAGAGATGATGTATCAGGCATTGCTAAAGAATAGAGATAAAATTCTTGAGGTGATTTCTGATGCAAATCATAACTTAAAGAAGTTAAGGAAATACGCTTCAGTCTTGTAGAAGGAGCATTAGATCTTTAATATTTTAAAAAAAGCATACGAAGATTTAAAGCATAAAACAATCAATCATGACTAATTTGTGACGAGTTTAGAGAAAGCCTATGAAAAATAAATTTAAGAAGTATAATAAACATTATATTTGATTAGCTCACTAATGATACTCAAGAATTGCATCAATAACTCGCTCAATAACAATAAGAATTCGAAAAGTAGGCTTGTGTGTATAAAGAATAATTAGCATAAAAGTAAGAGTTGTTAACACTAAAGGAATAAGAGATAATATGTATAAAAAATAATGAACTTCAATTATCTGATAAGTTGAAGAATTCTCAAGCAGACTTAGTTAAATTGTAAAAGGAGACAAATGCCATTAAAAAAATAAAAACATCAAACTTTTTGAATCTCAATGAGAAATCCGATTTCCCCTTTTCAACCTTCGAATTAATCATAGCAACTAAGATTAAAACCCAATTAATTTCATTTTTGAGTTCAAAAGACATTGTAAATCTCTGTCTGTCAAAAAAATCTATATATTTTGCATTATGTTAATTCAAATTGGTAATTCCACAAGTTATAAGATGTTCAACTATTTAATATCAATCATAAATGAAGTTGTTAACAAAACAAGTTGATTTATTCAAGAAATTGTCAAATGATTGTCCTGAGCTAGTAGTTAAGACTCAAATCATTAAATATTTTGATGCCTTTTTGAATCCAAATGAATGGTTGGATCCAATAATCGTTGAGGCTAACAATTTTGTTAAAGGAACATAGTTCTTGGGAAGATTAGAACATATAGAAAATCCAGATTCCACAGATGGTCTAAAGACCTTTGTGTAGTCAATGGCTTCTCGTTCCTAACAGACTGCTAATCTATTAAAATCAGATCCATTTAATTTGAGTCAATTTACTGCTAATTTGATTGTAAATGCAAATGACAGAGAAGCATTTTAAAAAGAAAGATAAAATCAGTTAAAGAAATTAAAAACCAGTTAATCAGATGTTTAAGAGAAGATCTTTAATTTAGGAACTGTTGTTGCTGCAGATGTAGGTCTTTTTGGATTATATTTGGCAACAATGCAAAGGATATTTGCTTCGCTGTATGTATTTGGAAGTTACATTAACATTGAATGCAGATCTCAATCTTCGTTAATATATTACCTAGTAGAATAACATTGGCAATTAATTCAGAAGTAGACAATTCTTGAATAAATGATTTAAGATAGATAGTAGAGAATTCAGAATAACAACAATGAGATCAAGGCTTTGAAGTAAGCATTCCTATATTTTTAGTGAGTAAACTAAAGGTTTGTAAGACTTGATTAAGACATTGCAAGCTAGTATCAAGGCTCATAAAATTGAGACTGAAAATGAGCAATCTGAAAAGGCTAAGATAAAGTAAGAGCTATAAGAGACAAAGTAACTGTTATTCAGTTATGGAAAAAACATTAAGTTACTAGCACTTGAAATAAGAGAACTAAGAAAGGTGAACAAAGAAATTGTGATGTAAAATAACAAAGCTGCTTCCCAAATTTCAGATCTGAAATCCCAAGTAGCATCCATTTAAGTTTGAAATTCATATTGAATTATTAAGTATCATAATCATCATATTTTTCATTCTATTAATATTCCAATTTCTACCAATAGAATTCATGTAAATGATTATTAAAGTTAATCAACTCAATATTTAAGTTACTATAAATGATCCTCCAATAACTTAGAATGATATTTATCTCTTGAACCATCTAAATTTACAATTCCCCTCCAGATAAACTTACATTCCTTGAAAACAACCATGTTATCTGGCCAAATTCCAAATGTTTCATCAAATTAATTCTAAGGGAAAATATCCAAATAAATTTCAAAATCATCAGGAATCTGGTATTCCTCCTTCAACTTCTTAGCCATCTTGAATCTATCTTCCTGACTTTTGTGTTATGGATATTCATAATCATAAAAGCCAATAGGCCATCCATCTACAAACTTCCCTTCCTAATCTCTTTCAACAAAATGGGCTTCCTTTATATAGACAATGATGCATTTGCAAATCTCCCTATACTTCTACTCAAATGCAATATAATCAGCCATGGCCTCACGATAAGGAGGTCATGTAATACTGCCTGCAAAAACAATAAGTAATCTATTTTCCTTATGACTTTTAACCATTAATTCTTATAAAGCAACTTTCTATTGTTCTAAATTCAACAATTGGATTTCAGGTGGTTATTCATTCAATCCAAGTTTGGATCCATGCATTACATTATTTCTCCAAAAGAATACTTATTTCTTCAATTCAGGATCCTTAATGTACTTCCTCGTCAAAGCATAGTATAATTTATGATTTAATGGACAATCATCATAGCCAAAATGTTTAAATATTTCCGCATGGATTAATTCCTCAACAACTCCTGAATAATTAAGTTATCCATACAAATCTTGTACGTTCTTATCCAATCTCACTTACTAGTGATAATAATATATGTTTATTACTTGTTCCTTGAGTATGAGTTCCAAGAATTTTTCTTTATCATTAGGAATCAATTTTATATTCTTTATTCTACTTTCTTGTTCGATTTCTTCATAAGTTGGAGGTTTATAGCACGATCCACAGTTTCTTTCCTGACCATCACCATAAGTATTTGCATCAAACAGTTCCATACAATCCTAAATTACTTAAACTAAATACTTCTCCAATTGATTAAGCTTGCATTAAATTTATTATTAATTCTAATTTGATATTATGATATAATATAAATTTAAGATTTTTAAATACATGTACTCAGAATTTAAGCTCAAAGAGTATTTCTGTTAATGATACTTTAATCAAGTTAATTATCAGAATATCAGAAAATACATTTAAATAAAATTTAATATAATAGAATTATTGTTTCTGGAAATAAGATAAACAATTAAACTATNTTCAGATCTGAAATCCCAAGTAGCATCCATTTAAGTTTGAAATTCATATTGAATTATTAAGTATCATAATCATCATATTTTTCATTCTATTAATATTCCAATTTCTACCAATAGAATTCATGTAAATGATTATTAAAGTTAATCAACTCAATATTTAAGTTACTATAAATGATCCTCCAATAACTTAGAATGATATTTATCTCTTGAACCATCTAAATTTACAATTCCCCTCCAGATAAACTTACATTCCTTGAAAACAACCATGTTATCTGGCCAAATTCCAAATGTTTCATCAAATTAATTCTAAGGGAAAATATCCAAATAAATTTCAAAATCATCAGGAATCTGGTATTCCTCCTTCAACTTCTTAGCCATCTTGAATCTATCTTCCTGACTTTTGTGTTATGGATATTCATAATCATAAAAGCCAATAGGCCATCCATCTACAAACTTCCCTTCCTAATCTCTTTCAACAAAATGGGCTTCCTTTATATAGACAATGATGCATTTGCAAATCTCCCTATACTTCTACTCAAATGCAATATAATCAGCCATGGCCTCACGATAAGGAGGTCATGTAATACTGCCTGCAAAAACAATAAGTAATCTATTTTCCTTATGACTTTTAACCATTAATTCTTATAAAGCAACTTTCTATTGTTCTAAATTCAACAATTGGATTTCAGGTGGTTATTCATTCAATCCAAGTTTGGATCCATGCATTACATTATTTCTCCAAAAGAATACTTATTTCTTCAATTCAGGATCCTTAATGTACTTCCTCGTCAAAGCATAGTATAATTTATGATTTAATGGACAATCATCATAGCCAAAATGTTTAAATATTTCCGCATGGATTAATTCCTCAACAACTCCTGAATAATTAAGTTATCCATACAAATCTTGTACGTTCTTATCCAATCTCACTTACTAGTGATAATAATATATGTTTATTACTTGTTCCTTGAGTATGAGTTCCAAGAATTTTTCTTTATCATTAGGAATCAATTTTATATTCTTTATTCTACTTTCTTGTTCGATTTCTTCATAAGTTGGAGGTTTATAGCACGATCCACAGTTTCTTTCCTGACCATCACCATAAGTATTTGCATCAAACAGTTCCATACAATCCTAAATTACTTAAACTAAATACTTCTCCAATTGATTAAGCTTGCATTAAATTTATTATTAATTCTAATTTGATATTATGATATAATATAAATTTAAGATTTTTAAATACATGTACTCAGAATTTAAGCTCAAAGAGTATTTCTGTTAATGATACTTTAATCAAGTTAATTATCAGAATATCAGAAAATACATTTAAATAAAATTTAATATAATAGAATTATTGTTTCTGGAAATAAGATAAACAATTAAACTATGCTTAAATCAAATGGCATAAGGCTTCATTGTTTTTATTACTAAATTGATATAAATTTAAATTTGAATCAAGATAGCTATTGAAATTCTAATATAGTTATGTGTTATTAACCAAAAATCATCAAAGTCAACAATTACTAACTGATTAAATAAATAAAATCATTTTAGGAAACACTATATGCATTTTTTTCTATAAATTCCATTAAATAATATCCTTCATTATATGAAAATGAGAGAAACTTTTACTTTCTTTTGAAATAACATAAATTTAATAAGGTAAAATGGATGCAGATTGTCTAAATGCATATAGTGATAAATCGTTGATTTGATTCATCAAATGTATAATTTAATCAAATTAATCATTTCGGTTATAAGTATTTTTCAACTTCTTTTCTGTCTTTGAGAATCTGTTATTCAGTTTGATTTACAATTTCAATAGCATTTTATATTTATTTTCTTTGTTATATCCTACTTTGAAATAGATTTATACTATTCTTCATATTGTTATCCTAGCTGTAATACTTTATCTAGAGATTCTTGGTTATTCATTAATTTATGTGATAATTTTAATATTGATAATATCGTAAAAATAATGATTAATTGGGCAGCAAATGATATGTGTCAAAATAATCATAAGTTACAATGGGTGAAGAAGCATATCTAGAATTGTGCTCAGTGCGGTCCAGTTGACACAATGTGCAGGTATGGATGTGTCTAATGCAATCTATATTATTGTGTAAAATGCAGATAGCCTCCTGTTATGGGAGATATTTGTGGAGGCGGACATGAGTATATTTTATCAATAATAGATTGAAATATGTTCCTACTTTGAAATATCATTCTTGCGATGTTTGCAGAGGCTCTATTTCCGGAGGAGCATATAGATGCTAAGAATGTGATTATGATGTATGTGAAAAATGTTGGATAGTAAAAGAAGATTGATTAGTATATATTTAATTATTCACTTAACCCCAAACTTGAGAAATGATTTAAACTTATAAGTTTTCATCCGAGTTATTCTAGTATTTTCTAATTTGTATTTATTCCCTTTTAAACTGCTAAGGATGCTACTCAAATTCTCCTTTTTTCTGTAACATATCAACTCCTCATTTTTGTCAATCCCTTCAATTTCCTCCTTTTTGAATGTCAAAAATTCCTTGTGAATCTACTCCAATTATTTCTCATCCTCATTTTAAGCATATTCTGATTAATTGTATTCACTTGACTGAAATATCTTCTTATACAACTTCGGAGGTTTCAACAAATCCATATATTGTTTCCCAGGCTCAATCTAAGAACTATGACTAGGATTGACTTGTCCCTATTTTTTCTCTTTATATCCGCACCTCATTAAGAAATCCTCGTTCACTTCTTCTTGAATAATTCCATAGTCAAAAGCAGCTTCTAAAGCATACTCAATAGTCTCCTAAATTCTCGTAATAGCCTTAGATTTTAGTTGCTTTTTCCTGGAATGAGGGAACCTATCCAAAATGACATTTAAGCTCTTGTCCTATGCTATCTTCAATTGGGGAGGCTTATAAAACACAATAGGACAATTCATCAGTTCATGAGTGCGTCTACAAATCAAACATTAAATTGGTATCAGGTTAAATATTATTTCATCCCTTAAACTACAATATTATTCATAACTATTTTGATCTGATTTGAGAACATTAAAAAATTCTTACTAAGTTATATATGCCACTTCTGTAAATTATGTAGCTTTGGCATTATAATGCGCTTGTTCTGATGAAATGAATTCTTTTGATCCTAATGACCCCTTGTATTAGGTTGCAATTGAGACTTTGTTGATATTGAATTCAACAACTCCTTTTATGATAAAGCATGCAGTATTGATTAACTCTCCTTATGAGAATATGATTGAACCTGGTATATAAGTTTGAGATTTCACTACTTTGCTTAACTATTTTAATGTTTAATCAGAAAACCTGGAAAAAATTGAACATGTCTTCATCACTTAAACATATATATTTGACTTTAATTCTAATTTCAAGTCATCATTCAATTTATCTAGTAATTGTTCTGGACTGTCATCCACATCAATAAAATAGTCTAAATATTTTCTTACTTTCATTTGCAATAAAGGATTCAATTTATGCTTTTTCATATATGAATTTACTTTTGCCATATTATTCCTATGCAAATCTGTTTTCTCTCTTAATTACCCAAAAATAGTTTAAATTGACGAAATCGTATAACCAAAAATTAAAGATGTAACAAGTACCATAAATATCAAAAATGCTTGCTCATATGTTGTCTATGGCACTATGTCCCCATAACCTACAGTAAAGGCTGTAACAGTAGCAAGATATAGAGATGCTACGTACCTGGTGGCCCAATCAGAATTATCTAAATTATACTTAATTAACCAACAATTATCTATGTCTTATGTAATTTCATACTGACCAATATAATGCCAAGCACACCCGAAAATATGGGAAACAAAGATCATAAAAAACATGAGTTTTATTATATCTAAAGGAGCAGCAAATTTTTCTCTTATTAATGTGATTTCCTCAATTTGCTCAACCATTTTAGTGACTCTCGTAACTCGTAGCAGGAGGACAAAATTGATATATGGAATATTATACTATGATATGAGAAAGGGTATAACAACTATTATATCCTTAATGAAATCTCCTTTAATATAATGCTTAAATATCATTTTTCTACTTTCATGTATCATGCCCTCTGAATAGTAAGCTGTATTAAAATTGAGTAATATTTCCAATAAGAATATGTAACTAGGTAAAGTACTGAAAAAAAAATCTACTTCCTAGTTGTAATCGATTTTAAATGATAATTCCATAGGAATATAAAATATGTTGATAATTACAAAAACTAAAATGCAGCAATCTAATAGTAACTTAACCTTACTGTCTGGTTAAATAACTCCAATTTAAATTTGTGGCATTATAGAATTGAAGTATTTAATTATTGATTGAGATAATGAAATTTTTGAAAAGACTAAGTTTTTGTCTGAATAAAAATCATAATTGGATGACTAGTCTCCAATAATTTCGTGTATTCTATACGTAACAGTTTTAAATCGATAGCGTTCAGCAGCTGTTTTTAGCTTCAAAATAAATTTAGTGATGGCACAAAATATTTTTAAAGAATGCTATCTCCAGAGTAAATCAAACCCTTAATTGATTGAGACATCAGGTGTTGGTTCTGATATGTAAGGATGTTTATAAGGGGAATTCATTACAAATCTTTTGGTTGAGGAGGACCTATTTGTGTTCATAATTAATTAAGAAATAGTTATCTCTTTTAATATGATAAATTTTGGTTTTATAATTATATTGAAATAAAGACATCATCATTATTTAATTTTTGGTAATTGAGTTTAACTTTGACTTAATGTCATGCTTTATTATTATTAACTGGAATCTTTCTCATTTTAACTCCTATCCTTATCTAATTTTTCCCTGTGAGATCTCAATTTTTCTTGCATATTTTTATAACCAATTCCAAACTAGTTATTATTTCTCAAAATTTACTTTGCCCATCCTCTCAGGTGATGTTTCCTTTGGCGGGAAAACAGCCCAATTCTTGAAGTCTCCTAATTGTCCTTTATATTTGTCTAAGTCCTTGTCACATGAGGCACAACTCCAAGATAGAGGTTTTTTGACAAATAAGGAATCCTGATCTTTTGATCCATCTCCTTCAAGTATCATGAATATTTAATTAATCTACATAGTAATTTCTAATATACTTTTTATTCCAGATATATCAAAGCTTTCTTGGTTTCTTATTTATTGGCTAATGTTTTGATTAGTTCAGTGACAACCTTTTGCAATTAATCCAAAAACGTTTGATTCAATTCTTTGACTTCTTAAGCATCAGCTTTTCTGTCAATGCTTAATTTAGTTTCATCTTCAACTTTTTGAATTTCATCTCTTACTTATTTAATTTTAGGATCAAAAGTTTAGAATAATTCATCTTTAGTTATAATTGATTCAATTTTCTTTCCAAAATTGTTTATCTTAATTTTATTTTAATCTTAATCACGTTTAATTAAATCCATCTATTCTCTTTAATTCTATAATTCAATATAAATTTTATCTGTTTGAATTCCTTAAAGCTTTTTCTCCAATTCAGCTAATTTTACATGAGTAAATTGATTATTCTAATTCATTTATGTTTTGTGTATCAATAAATCACTAAAAAGATATAAATCTTATATACCCCTCAATTTCTTTTATTGATTGTTACAATTCTTTAATTTAATTTTGTAATTCTTTATCTACATTTGATTGTCTCAGTGGGGTTTCAATATTAGGTTAAGATTTTCTCTATTATGATTTTCCTAATTGTTCTCTCAATAACATAATATCTTTCTCTATTTTAGCAATTTCTGTTTATTCAACCTTCTTGTCTACTTTACTTTTGAATTCCCTTCTTGCCTTTTCTAACTCTTCATCAGCATGATCTTATACAAACTTAATCCTTATTTCTTTCTTAGCATTTTCATTCGAAAAGTCTGTTGTTGTACAATAATATTATAATTAATCTCTTAATTTATTTATTTCTGCCAAAATCAAAGCAACCTGATTCTCCTGCATGTCTTAACCCTATCCAAAAGTGGCTAAGTTTAATTATGTTTACAAAGCCTCAATTTATGATTGCAATTTCTTAATATCATTTTTAATTTAGATGAATTCTTCACTTAAGACATCAGATTATTAATTATTATTTTAATCTTTTAACTTCTATTTCACACTATCAACAATTTCAAATAAAGATTAAATCTCACTTTCATGGCCATCCAATTTCTTATTGATATCTGATAAATCTACTGGTTGATTTTCCTCAGGAACTTTGATATTATTTAGTCCCTCCCTTAAATTCGCTAATTCTTATGACAACTATTCTTGTTTTTACTCTAGCTCTAATGTACATATTTACTTAATTCTAGGGTGATTTAGTTTAATCTTTTTATTTCATCATCGATCCCTGCATATTAAATAGGTAAAGCAATTGGCTAAGCGGGGGCTTCTTTGATTATTTCCTTTTCTATTATAATCTGTTCTGGTTTGCGTTCTTCCACTTCATGCAACTCATTTTAGAAACCACTCATTTATTTCTTAACATTTTCAATTTCTTGACTTAGTTTGTTTAACTACTCAGATTATTGTGCTTAATTATTATTTAAGTCTTCTATTTTCTTAGCTTAGGCAGATTATTCTCCTTCCAGATCTTGCAAATTCTGTTCTTACTATTTTANGAATAATTCATCTTTAGTTATAATTGATTCAATTTTCTTTCCAAAATTGTTTATCTTAATTTTATTTTAATCTTAATCACGTTTAATTAAATCCATCTATTCTCTTTAATTCTATAATTCAATATAAATTTTATCTGTTTGAATTCCTTAAAGCTTTTTCTCCAATTCAGCTAATTTTACATGAGTAAATTGATTATTCTAATTCATTTATGTTTTGTGTATCAATAAATCACTAAAAAGATATAAATCTTATATACCCCTCAATTTCTTTTATTGATTGTTACAATTCTTTAATTTAATTTTGTAATTCTTTATCTACATTTGATTGTCTCAGTGGGGTTTCAATATTAGGTTAAGATTTTCTCTATTATGATTTTCCTAATTGTTCTCTCAATAACATAATATCTTTCTCTATTTTAGCAATTTCTGTTTATTCAACCTTCTTGTCTACTTTACTTTTGAATTCCCTTCTTGCCTTTTCTAACTCTTCATCAGCATGATCTTATACAAACTTAATCCTTATTTCTTTCTTAGCATTTTCATTCGAAAAGTCTGTTGTTGTACAATAATATTATAATTAATCTCTTAATTTATTTATTTCTGCCAAAATCAAAGCAACCTGATTCTCCTGCATGTCTTAACCCTATCCAAAAGTGGCTAAGTTTAATTATGTTTACAAAGCCTCAATTTATGATTGCAATTTCTTAATATCATTTTTAATTTAGATGAATTCTTCACTTAAGACATCAGATTATTAATTATTATTTTAATCTTTTAACTTCTATTTCACACTATCAACAATTTCAAATAAAGATTAAATCTCACTTTCATGGCCATCCAATTTCTTATTGATATCTGATAAATCTACTGGTTGATTTTCCTCAGGAACTTTGATATTATTTAGTCCCTCCCTTAAATTCGCTAATTCTTATGACAACTATTCTTGTTTTTACTCTAGCTCTAATGTACATATTTACTTAATTCTAGGGTGATTTAGTTTAATCTTTTTATTTCATCATCGATCCCTGCATATTAAATAGGTAAAGCAATTGGCTAAGCGGGGGCTTCTTTGATTATTTCCTTTTCTATTATAATCTGTTCTGGTTTGCGTTCTTCCACTTCATGCAACTCATTTTAGAAACCACTCATTTATTTCTTAACATTTTCAATTTCTTGACTTAGTTTGTTTAACTACTCAGATTATTGTGCTTAATTATTATTTAAGTCTTCTATTTTCTTAGCTTAGGCAGATTATTCTCCTTCCAGATCTTGCAAATTCTGTTCTTACTATTTTACAATTCTATCTAAATGGAATGTATTTATAATATTTACTAAATTTTTGATTAGTTTAATCCAATTCTTCTTTGGTTACATAATCCTTTTGAGAAACCTCTTATATTTCCTATAATTTAGCAGTGATCTGATCAATTGTGTCCTTGTTCTACTGTTTTGATTCTGGAGTTTCACTAACTTCTTTCAATTTCTAATTTTAAGTACATTTAATACTTAGACCCAATCAGAATTATCTGATACTTTAGAATTTAAGAGTACCATCCCTTTGTGCAATTATTTTAATATAGATATCAAAACTGCAAAATTCTTTTGTAATAATTCTTCTGAGAATTAGATGCTCATCATTTTATCCATACTTAGATTGGCCAATTCTTAATCAAAAGATTAGAAATTAGGATCGAAAATTACATTTATGACTTATTCTTCCATTTGAAGTTTATTAAATTAATAAATATATACAAACTTCATTGATTTTATTATTTTTAAAATACTATAATTATCTTATTAACCAATAACCACAATGAATTCCCTTAATAAATTGGAGTGTTCATTAGTAGTAAATGTATATTAAGTTATTTTCTGTGCATTAATAAATGACAAGATCATCGAACCAAATGTATGGATAAATAAATCTCCAAAATCTGATAGTGATAATAAATATTACTAATTATATGAGAGAGAATTTTAAAACAGAAATTAGCGAAACCTTTACTAAGAGATAAGAGACCTATTCTTTACAATAATTAGGTCAATCTAGCATCTTTCTTGAGGATTAAAAAATGTCTTTTAAACAATCAATATTCCTTCGAAATAGTTATAATCAAGTCTAAGTTCCTTATTCACATACTCTAATCTTACCGAAACCTGATTATTACATTCAGAAAGAAGAAAATAACTTGATTATTTCTGGAAAAACATATTTAACAAAAGCTATGGAACATAGATATTTGAAAATTTCCTGTCTAAATGTTGTTGGTCCATTGCTATGTTTCATTTAATGTTCTAGTGAATTTTAAGTATTGATCTCCTAAGTTCACCCTTTCCCAACCAATCATAATTGCGAATAAGTCATTAATAATAGAGGATTTCAAATGTCAGTAACAGCAGGTGAATTTATTTACATTTCTTTTATCTCCAGAAAAGACTCAGAAGTCACTTTCAACATTCAATCTAAAATCTAAAAAGAAGAAAATTATAGAGTGAAAACATTATAAGACAATCCAACTAATGACAATCTCCACTCTACTAATTCTCGATCCTTTCAATACATAATCAATACTAATAAAGAATAAGCAAGAATTAAAAAAAATAAATACAATGATGAAATTTCAAGATCTGAAAGATTTCTAAAAGTATTGTCCACTAGAAATTTTTAAAAGTAGTCTCAAAATTAAGCTATTATTTAAAAAAAGTTTGATATTAAGGCAAAATAATTGTCCAACCAAGAAAAAATACTACAAAGAAAACTTAACCTTGTTTTGAGGTAGAAGTTCTTTTTTGAACACCAATGGGCAATCCTACTCTAAGTAATTAAATTGGGTAAAATGATAGCAAATATTTATTACCACAAAAAACGAGTCATTAAAAAATATAGATTGGCTGCCTTCAAAATTAAGTTTATATTGATAGTCCTAAGAAAATAATTAGCTGAAACTAAAGGCTTAACTCTAAACACAAGAATTACAGTTGATGCTATCATTGCTATGAGGATGAGAGCCAAAATTGTTAGTAAGATGGTAAGAATCAAGTAAGGACAATTCTTACTCCCATATTTTAGACAAAGAGCCATAATCTACGACATTAAGGTTAGGATGCTTGAAAAAGCTAATAAGATATTGATAATTAAAAAATATGTCTTGATATTTGAAGCTAATTATTTGCAATATAAGAAGGAAATGATAGCAAAATGGGAAAAAACAAATGAGAAGATTAGGGAGTAAGAAATTAAAGAGAAGTAACCTGCATAACGAAATAAGGCTATTGTAATGTGGTTTCAAGTGATGAAAGATAAAGACTTTGCTTAATAAATGAGAAATTGTTTCATTTTTGAATTAATGAGAGATAGAATTAGGATTCATTTGCAGGATTAATATATAATAAGGAAATTCAAATTTGATTTAAAATACTATAAATAGAAATTACGCATATGCAGAGATCCATCTGAAGCCATCTCGTACAGATAAGAAATTCATTATATCACAAATGAAATCTATGCCATGCATATGAAAAATTAATTGTTTATGCATGTCGATGTCGAGAAGTACTTTTAGGGATTGGTAAGCAAGTATATTGTTTTGGTGGATGAGACAGAGAATCTACCGTAGGAAATTCAAATATCGTAAAGAAGTAAGCAAAGACAATCAAGGATTTCATTAAGGAAAGGAATGAGAAAATCGAAAATTTGAGTGTTTTGGATTGATTTTGTAAATTTGTTATTAAATTCTTAAGTGAAAATAATTAATAAGCTCTGTTATATTATTTGAGTCAAATTAATGGTGGAAGTACAGAACGACAAGTTGGACAGTTTAATTTGACATTCATCCATTTAGTTAAACAAATGGAATGAAAATAATGACCCTAAGATAATTAATAATTAATACACAAGGTGTTTCCATTAATTTATTTTAATTCTAACTAATTATTTTAGCAATAAACTTATTATCTAATTAAGATTCAGTTGGCATTTCAGTTAATTAAGTGATGCAAATTGCACATTCTCCATCTACGGGTTATTCTACAAAATATTCATGTGATTTAGGTCTCAGCCATTTTGGTAGGAAAAATCTCGGTCCAATTTTACATTGATAATAGTAGAGGACTACTTGTGCAGCAAATAAGAGAATTATAATTGTTACTGTTAAATAGGACACCTAAGCATGTAGTATATTGTAAGGACAACCTCTATAATAAATCTAAAATTAAGAATGCATCTAATACAGGTATGAATAATCTGGTTGACAATAATCCAAAAACAAAGATTTTATCAAATTCTACATACTGTCCTTTATATGCTACATGTATTATCTATGGTAATAAATATAGATTCATGGCAATCAAGAAAACATTATAGTAAATAAGGTAATAAAGTAGAAGTACAACAATAATAGCCAGCAAGTAAAATTTAAGATGAAATCTATAGAGTTCTCTTCTTAAATTTAGGTTATCCTGTAGGTTGATGAACCTTTCTTACCAAATGTGTTTAGCTAATTTTAACTCTAAGAAGAAAAACAACACTAATTCAAGGAAGGCTGGGGTTAAAAAGTACTACGTAATACATGGATAAATTACTTCGCTTTGCAGTGCAAGAAAGAAATGAACTATTCCTAAATAGCCATCAAATATCATAAGGAATACAAATATAAAGAGACTGAATTAGGAAGCCATCCTGTTTTCATTTATGAAGTCCTTCATCAATTTCAGACAGCTAATAAATTAAATCACACCTAAAACGGAAACTATTGTGGAATAGATAATCGCTTTGCTATCTATCTTAATTTATGATTATCTTTTACATTTATTGTATTAAGATTGCAACTGAAAGAGAATGTTTCTGAATATAAAGTATAATGAACATCTAATTCTATGCCAATATCATCTTAGGTATCACTATCCATGTTAATATTATTTAATTTCATTGTTAAGTTAGCATAGATTTCTACACTGGACTGATCATTTTCATAAACACTAGTTCTCCTAAAAGACCCTCTGACATTTTCGAATACAAAGTTGTTGTCTTCAAGGGGTAACACTAATTATGACGAATTCAAATAAAATGAGAATTGGTTGTAATAATCCTCTAGGAACTATCCTTCGATTAGCTTTAATTGAAGTTGTATTTGAAAGCGATTTTAATAAGAAGTTTTATAGAAATTGGCTTCTGCCAATTCATTTTAAGTTAATTATGGATTTGTCCATTTTCCTTGAAATTGGGAGGCGAGTAATTTCTCTAATATTTCAAAATGTTTTTAGATTTAAAGCAAAGTTGAATTGGTCTCTGTAATGTTGATGGCTCCATTAGTGCCATTATTTTAAGAATATTGAATCTGATTTTATTTATTGGCATATTGATTTGGTTGAATGAATACATAGAAAATGGACATTATAGCAAATACAATTAGGATTATATTCCTTCTCCTCTATCGTTATCTTGCTCTAGCATATTAGAGTTCCAACTAGAAGTTTAAATGATGATTATCTATCTCCATTTATTGCGTATTAAAATATATTTATTATAAATATTCACAAAGAGGGCATATTTCCTTCCATAATTAGTTTCCTAGCCTAATCGAAGACCTTATCTGGATCAATATTGATTTTTGCTACTCCAGTCTACATCGCGGCAATCGCAACTGCTCTGGCAACATTGGCTGGAATATCTGCAGTTAATGCACCTGGCAATATTCTTGTTGGACAAAGATCTGAATCTTTAATACTATTAGCAATGGCATAGGCAGCAGCAATCTAATAATTTACACAATAGAACTACTTTCATTTCTAAATTGATTTCTCTCGCTCTAGTATCGATGGCTCCCCTAAAGATTCCAGGAAATGCAAGGGAATTATTTACTTGATTATTGAAATCAGATCTTCCAGTTGCTATGATAAAGGCCCCAGCTTCAATGGCATCGTCAGGCATAATTTCAGGTACTGGATTAGCCAAAGCAAGAATAAATGGATTCTTATTCATACTCTTAATCATTTCTTTAGTCAAAGATCCCTATAACATTTAGATATTAAATTACAGCAGTTGACACTCCCACAAATAAATCTCTTCCCTTTACTGCATCCTTCAAAACTCCTTTAATTTTATTTTAATTTGTGAAAGAGGCTAATTCATTTTTGAATTCATTCATGTTTTAAGGCCTTCCTTCATATATAATGCCAGTAGTGTCACAAATAATGATATCTTAAATGCCATGTCCATGTAGCAATTTGCAAATAGCAACTCCAGCTGCACTATTTAATTATTTAGTAATATTTGATACCCTGCACCATTAATTACCAACTTCAGGTCTTTGATGTTCTTCTTTGTCAATTTTATATAATTAATAACAGCTGCTAAGCTGACAACAGCAGTGCCATGTTGATCATCATGCATTAATGGGATATGAAGATTATGCACAGCTTCTTCTTCAATAGGGAAACAATCAGGAGCTCTAAGATCTTCTAGGTTGATTGCTGAAAAAATTGGAGCAATGCTAAACTTTCAATACAACTATTACCATCTTATAATCTTAACTAATTTTTGAGGGTCCTTCTCCTTTAAACATATTGGCATTAAATCAATTCCTCCCAAAGCATTAAATAAAACAGATTTTCCTTCCATAACTGGCGATCCTGCAGCTGGCCCTATATTTCCTAATCCTAAAATAGCTGTTCCATTTGTAATAATTGCTGCATAGTTTTTTTAAAATGTTATCTCTCTTAATTTATTTGGATCATCAATAAGCATCTATCTTAATTAACCTAGTTCATCCTTTTTATAAGATGACTCATAAATTTTGAATAAGTCTTCTAATGATCTAGGACTGAACTTTAACTCTATTGTAATCATCCCATTATATCTTCTATGCAATTCCAAAGCATTTTGGTAAAAATCATTTTTTTAAAGCAAATGCCCATCCGACCATTTATTATACTATGCTATATCTCCATAAATGTACAGATCGTTTAGTTTTTTTACAAAATGATCAGGTTCAACATTTCTTATTGTGTGATGATACCATTTGTTTTTGTGAATTTCTCTTAAACCTTAAGCATAAGCAGAAATTAAAATATTAGTTAAATTGTTTGGTAATCCTTTAAAATCAATTGAAGTTATTGCTTTTCTCACCACTTCTAATTAAGAAGGTTTTAATATAGATCTACAATCTAAGGTAGCCTTTATCAATGCAGCATCATACAATTATTCTCTAAGATTTTCCGAATTCGTGATTATAACACTACAATCTAATTTTGTTTTCTCAACTGCTTATAATATTTAGCATGCCAGATTATTCTCAATATCTATCAAAACAATTGTCTAATTTCATTTATGCAATCTTTACTTTGTATGTTGGAGATAAATTATCAATCACAAGCAGGTAATCAGAAACATTGTGCATTATGTTTCTATTTAGGACAATTGGGTAGGCATCAACATCATAAAAAGCTTTGTAGAGTGCACTGATAGCTTCTAAATTTGGAATCATTTTCTAAGGCTTTGCAAGGTTAAATTCTACGTAGATTACATATTTACTTGATCCATCTGCTAATAAGGCAATAGAATTATTGGTGATTGTCAGATCATATAATTGATCTGGATCACCTTAAATTACTTTGCAAATATGGCCAACCCCTGGAGTATACACAAGAGATAGCGTGTAATTATCTGTTACTCTCACTTTTGGGCGAATTCTTATTAATCCATTTGTTCGTAGAAATAGATTTCTTAAGCTTTATTGCTGATACATAATAATATTAAAAATTGAACTTGTGTTCCACCAAAGTTTATTAGATTTTAAATTATGGTTATTTTTTATTTGAAGTTTAATGAAAAAAAATACATATTATTCATTTAAGATAGATAATTTTCATAGCTTTAAGCTTTGTATTTAACCTCAAGAGTAACTTTCTATATCTCATATTTTCGTCCAATCAGAATTCAATAGTATCTTCAAGATTTAATAGGGATAATAATAATTTATGCTTAAATTTCTAATTTTTTAATCGATATAGGTATAGAAAAACAACACTTTTAAAATTACCCAACTTGCATTTTTATATATTTCATCAATATATTTTATTAAATTTAAACAAAAATTTCCAGTATTATACTTGATAAAATATATATGTTCATTTAGAATTGGGACTTAGTGGTTTAATCATTTCATAAAGTACGACTAAATAACAGATTAATGATATTGCTATTACTAAAATGAAATTTAGATTTAATTAGTTTTATTTCTTGGAATTATTATCAGTATTTTTTAGCTTGGCATTATTTTCTCTCTTCTGCTTTCTCAATTATTCAACTATTTCTGAAATTGCTCTTTATTACAAGTTTGTAATATTCTTTCTATGATTAATAGGAGATGCAATAAATTTTGTTTAAGCAGATTCAACAACCTCCTTAAATTTGCTCTGCTTGCTTCTTTATTCTGTTCTTAAACAATTTGAACTTTATATTTAAAATCGATTGGAGTTATATAACTCATCATATAATTATTGTCTGTTAAAAAATTCAGCATTACTAAAAGATAACGAGATTGATTTGTGCTCAATAGAACGAGAATGTAGTCTTCCATTCTTAATTTAATCCTGAGTCTAAGGATTTTTTTTAAAATTCATATTTTTATTATTTATCCTGGCATATTTTAAGGTGTATTTATAATTAAGTTTAAGAAAATATCTTTTATTTTAATTACAATACAGAGCTTTATTAGCAATATTGAATAGTAAACAATGTTTTTGTTTAACAATTGTATTATTATCTCTCTCAAATTGAAAAATGCCTTTTTTAAAATTGCCAAATGAATTTTTCAAATCATATATTAAAAATATTATTAGCATAGAATTCAATAAGTGTTTAGATACTATCATAATAATTGAATAAGTGTCATTGAAAATAATTATCATTGCTCTGAATTAAGATATTAAAAATTAATTAGTATATTTATTTTAATATATTACTTCTTTTTTAAAGATATATCTTTTGAGAATAATAAGCATATACTAAGTTGAAAATATTATGAATTACATTGAAGATTAGAACTTTCATCTAAAATTAGTTCAAGGGTTTAATTACCCATTTTTATGAGATTGCTTCCCATTATAGTTTCATTAATTTTATGACAACTAGAGCGAAAAGAACTAAAGATTCCTTAATCTAATAATCCTACTCTATCATCTAAAATCATTCATTTTTTATTGGATAACACTAATATAAGCAATAATTAGGGTGAACAAATGGCTAATTAAAAATAAGAATTTGAGATTTAAATTGCTTTTTTAATTAAGTTATTAGTAATCATATGAATGATATTGGAAAATGCATAACCAAACTTCATTTATTCCAACATGAATCATATTAACAGTAGCATTCAATAGTCTGAGAATTAGATTCTAAATATGCATATGATTGATGTTTTATCATTAAATTAGCATAGGATTAGTGAAGTCATTATTGATCCATTAATTATTAGAGTTACACTTACTTATATAAATATTTCAATATAATTCTTATTTTGCACCAGATAGTAAAATGAATGAATCAATTATTTAATTGAGGATTTTCAGAATTTGTTAAGAAATATAAACTTTATATCTTTATTAAGTTAATGTTTTAAAATAAATAAGTATATATTATTTGTTATCGTTTTACAATATGATAATATTTTATTTAATGTCCAAAAATTTGATAATTCTTCTTTTGATTACAATTAGTTTTACATATGAAGTGCCAAATATGTTCTATACCTTTTAGGTAAACTAAAATGCATATTAGAAAAGCAATAATGGCCTGGTAGCATTTGTTTAACTAAACAATGTTATAAGGACAATGTTGGAAATTATAAGGGTTAATCATGGGCTATTCACGGATTATGGCCAGGAGCTACAAATGATAGTGGGGATTGCGAAGAACTCGAAGCCTGTACCAATAATAAATTCAAAGAATCTAACCTTTCGAAAACAACCGTGACTAATTTGGATTAAGCATGGGTCGGTTTTTTTAATCCATCAGGATCATTTAGAGCGTATTTTATTTGATTTATCGATAGACATGAATGGAATAAGCATGGTACTTGCTGGGATGAAAAGGATGATTTAGTTCCTTAAGTTCCTGGAATGAATGTCTAAGAAGAGTACTTTTAGACAACGCTTTAATTGTGGAAATCATATAATATCTATGATATTTTATCTGCTGCTGGCATTAAACCAGACGACAATAAATTATACGATACAGACAGTATATTAGATGCTATTGAAAACAAAATTGGCTCAACTGCTTAATTATTATGCTCTAAGGATTCAAATAATAAGTTATTATTGATAAGTGTTTCATTTTGCGTCAATGAATAATATTAACCATAAAGATGTCCTTGTGATATTTATGGTGGAATCCCTTGTGGATCTAGAAAAAACGACAAGGTTCGTTATCCAGTATTTAGATTGTGATCATTAAATAAATAATAAGTATTTAATACAAATTTGTCATTTTTTTAAGATAATCTTCGCTAAATTATCTCATATTATTCTTTTTAATTTATAACCCTTTAGAAATGATTCAAATACAAAGAAAGTTAAACAAATACCCTTTGAGCTATCAAGAGTAATAATCAGTTCAATAATGCATAATCTAAATATTGATGACTAAAATTTGTTTCAATAGTTATAATTTAACCGAAATAAATGTGCTCACTATGTGTTAGGCATATTTATTCAATTAAAAATTCAACCTTAAGAGTATTCAAGGAAATAAGTAAATATTAGATAGACTCATATAGATTTTTAAAATTTTGCATTTTATAATAATAAATAATATGTTAATAATTGCTTTAATTGGAATTGCACTATCTCAAAATATCACATGGTCGAATTATTCTTTTTCAAGTCCAGAATTCATTAATCTAATAGCCCAATAAACAAATTTTGCTAGAAGCTTCGAGGAGTTTGGATAAATATTGTATTAAATCATATAGGATTTGTAGGAATTTTTCAATTTCATACGATTCATTGTAATTTGAAGACATTTGCAGTTTTGAATATCAATACCTAATATTGAATAAAATTGAGAACTCATTTAACTCTTTTATTAATGAATTCCAATAAATTGAGATTGATGATTTAGAAACTAGTGAGATAGAATAGGGATTCTCTGATTAAATAATCTCATATACAAAAAGTGATTTGAATTTATTGTTATTAGAAAGGAATTAAGTAATTCATTATTTGAGTTTTGATTAAAATTCCAAGCTATTCAATTATTCAAAATTTAATTTATCAATTTATAGTAATACTAAATAACATTAATAATTGTTAAACGATTAAGATGCTTATTACTATATCAATAACGAATAATTTAGTAAGTTCATTATTTAAAATAACACTTTATATTAATTTGAAATTTTAAATTGGGTCTAACAAAACGATCAATTTAAAGTTCTTGTTCGAAATAATTATATTTATTTTATTAATGGATAATAATACTTGACTATATATTAAATAGTCTAACACAATCTAATATTAACCAAATAGTTATTCGCAAAAGTATGATTTTTATTTAAAAAACAAGGATATTTATGCAGTAGAAAAGAAGATGAATTTGATTGATATTAACATCTACGAAGATTATCTGTATATCCTTGATCATGAAAATGGAGTCAAGAGATTGCGTTTAAATGATATTGAGATAGATATGGATTTCTATATTAATTAACCAGGTTGTTCAATAATTTCAATAGAAAAGGAATCCATTATTTTAGTAGAGCACAACCAACAAAGATCTATAATCTTTGAAGGAATAATTAATGGTAATAGCTGGATTCTATTGCAAACAAAATAAACTGTCAAAAAAGTAATCAAAAGTGTTAAATAATTGAAAGATTATGCAATACTCATAAGTAATCCAATTAATAATATTCATCGAAAATATATGATAGATTCTTAAGCAAATAAAAAGATGTTGGAAGGGTATAAAATATTTTTATTATAGCAATGATTTTTATTAAATGGATTTTTTGGGAATTGAAAGCATAGACACAAATTATTTAGTAGGAATCTTTAAATACGGAGTGGCTTTATATTATACCATAGAGTTACCAAGCTCCATAGTTTGTTACGCCCAAACTTCATAGATGAGTAGAGTTCAAGTATCAGATTATTTTAATCTTAAGATATAAATAATTAGTACTTAATGCCCAAATAAGAACTAGCAGAACTTATTGAATTATTGTTCATCAAATCTGGAATATATATTTGATGTTAGGGGAGCTTTAATGAATGAATTTTAAGAAAAAATATTTATTTATTTATGCATAGGAGCAAGTGTTATTGTCACACTTTTGGTGGTTTCAATTATATATATTGTAAGAAGATATCAATTGAGAAAAGAATAAATCAACTAACTGAAAAGAAAAGGAAGAAGATATAAATGACATTAATGATTAGGTTAAAAATACACTAATTTTAATTTCAATAATAAATTATAATTTCTGATTCAATATGCTTATACTTCAGCCATTGTCAATTTTAATTGACTCATTGGCAATTTTAATTGACTCATTTAATTACCACAGTCTATAAATGAAAAATGCTCAGAATTAGCATTTTAGGGTATGGCCTTTTCAACCTTAAATCTTCCTTCATTAATCAATTCTATGAATACTTCTTGTTAACCTGAACTTAGATGAATTCAAATTCATCAATTAGATTGTTTAATTTAGTGTTATAGATGAACAATTATTCATTTTAAATATTCAAAACATGAATATTATAATGAATGATTCTTAAAATAATAATAGTTCTAATTAATAAGTAATACAGTCAAGATAATTTCACAAATCTGAGTTGTCTCCTTTAAATGTTTCGTGTTTCTTTTGAGATGAGGAAGCAGCTCTAGTAGGTCGCAGTAATTGACATTCGCTGAATCTTGGTCATGAATCTAAATGACTATGAATCTTTTTGATTGTGCTTTGAAGTCTTAAGCTCTAGGTATATGCTTGAAAATTTGAGGTTGAATTTTCTTAATAAAATGGGTCAAAGATTTTCTACCTCTTTCTGGGAGCTGGAAGAAATGTGATTTTGGGTAGCTCTAAGAAGATATGAACTACACTAAGTTCCCCCTAATACATGTCCTCAGTGATACTGCTTTGGTCAGTAAACATAAATAGATAGTTGAAATAAAATTTATTTTCTGCAAATTTTTTATGGTTTCTTTGAGAATTATCAACAGGGTTATTAAAAATATTTTTGGAAGCCTTTTAAAGGGCATTGAGAGAAAGGCTAATATTCTATGTTTAGCAATTATAATTAAAAATAAATTCTTAAAATCTTTTATTATTGATACAAAGAATAAAAAAAGAATAATTTTAATAGACTAAAAAAAGAAAAAGGAATAACTGGTTAAGTAATTTTACACAAAGAATTACAAACCTACGATTAGAATTTAATTGTTTATCACAACATTTTTCCGATATCTAGAACTAAGGATGTTATTTGGATATTTCCAAAGGTGCATTTATATTATAATTTAATCTTGAGTTAATATTTTGGATAATAGCTGTAAAATTGTAAGAAACTTCAATTTTTTCTTACATATCCTGAAATATCAAATTTATGTCTTTACCTAAACTTTCAGCCTTTACATTTAAAAATTGAACAATCAGCTACATTTCCTTCATAAATATAAATAAAAAATAGGATTTATTTATTATTAAAAGCATATCAAGATTCATACCTCATTTACTAAATTGAAAATAATGAAATCAATTAAGAACTTCCCATAAATTTTCATTAGATTTCATCATTTTTATAAACTAATATTCAATAATTAATATATTCATAATTCAGATATTTTTTCTAATTTTGTTTGCTTTTAGGTTTGTTCCTTTTCCTTCATTTAGTCAAATTATATTTATTCTTAATGTTATGATATGTCATAGTTTAAGTTATCTAATTATTTTTTTATTTAATGATTATCTATATAAATTTTTATGAAATGGTTCTTTATTTTAAGAAATATTTAACAAATATGAATCATTAATCCAAATATTAATCCACATATTTAAACAAGAATTGCTAAAATAACAAATGATATAACAATCCAGCCAAAAATTACTTTATTTTGTTCTATAAACTTAATCTATTGAGTATCATTTAGTGAAAATAAAACTGCTATCAACAATATTATACTTAAACTGAATTCTGAAATAAGTTAAGTATAAAATTCCCTTTTTGTGTCGTAAGGGTTTTGATACAAAATAAATACCACCCCAATCGAAGTTGAAAAAAAACAAAATAATGTTTAAAAAATAGGATAATAATAATAATGAACCATAAAAAATATGTAGAAAATTTTTCTTATTAATCCAAAAAATTTAAAATAATAACCAAATGATTCTTTTGTATTGACATTTTCATAATATAATATAATCATAACCATAAATTTCAAATTATTCTTTAAATTCTTTATTTTCAGCTAATAATAAATGTATATTTAAAGTTTAATAGGATTTATAAAGTTAAAATAAAAGTATGTTGATTGATATTAAAGCAAAAAACTAATTCAAAACAACAATTAAGTTTGAATTATTATTTGAAAATGTAATTTAAAGCATAATCGCTAATGTAATATCTAACAAACATAACGAAAGAGTTTGTTTTAACTTTTTTTTTAATTTTTTATCTATTATAGTAAGATACCCTACCATCCATTTTACAATTCTATTATTTTGAATTTTGTTTTCATCTTATTGTTATTAAGTTTAAGTTGATTCATTCTTTTTATTATCAGCCTATTGTTATTAAACTAAAATACTATGAGTTCTTCTTCTATCTTATTACAGTTATTAAACTTAAGTTTACTAAGTCTTTCTTTTAGCTTACAAACAAAAAATACTAAAGTGTTTATGATTTATTTATATTTTGTTATTTTCTACAGAAATTAGAGCGTTTAATAGAGATAGTAGTATGAAATTTAATTCATAAATTAAAAAAATGGTGATAATGAAAATAAATGGAATCTAGATATTATTGAAAAACAATGGATCAATTCCTTTATTTTGAAATTTCAAAGGTGCAGCAAAGTAATAAGAACAATCAGGTTAATTTAACCCTTAGTACGTTGGAAGAGCCACAAAGGCTGACCAATCTTAATTTAAAAGGAATATTTCCACATTAAATGGATAGTGAACATTTAAAAAATAGAAGTTGTTGACCCAGCTTAAAATTTCCAGAACACCCCACAAATACTCATAAAGATTAGTTACTATGGATACAGGAATTATTAATACAAATAAGAAACCAAAAGATTGTTGTACATTTGCAATTTAGTTTGCTTACATTTTTTCATCTGCTGATAATATTATTTACTCATTTGGTTAAATGTCAAATTATATAACTCTAACATTATTTTAATATAGTAATCTATTTTCCTGAAATGAAAGGCTTAACTCTACATGTATAGTATTAGATTTGAAAACTGATTTAAAAAATACAAATTCCACTCTGCATATGTTATTGATTACTGAAATATTAAAGAAGAAATCATTTTTATCCATACCATCAATTGCAATTAATGGATCTTAACAGTTTAACTCAAGTTTATATTCTGAATTCATAAGAGAAAATTCATAAGAAGAATTTCCATTAAAATGCCAAACTAATAAATCATTGAGCTATTTTTAGGCAAATTCAATTTTGCATTAAGAATCACATCCATCAGCATCTTCAATATTTCCATCATCGCATTCTTCCTCATCAATCACCAAAATTCCATCCCCACATTACGCAAAACATCTCTTCCTTTCAAAATCAGTGTAAAAACCTGGAACAGATTCACATAACTCACAATCTGATCTATAACATGATGTGCATAAATTTGACTAGCCTTTACAGCTTATACAATTTTTATCACATTCTAAACATCTATCTAAGACAGGATAGTAACCTATAAGGCAATCTTTGCAAATGAGATTGAATTAATTAATAGTCTAGCAAACCGTACAATAATCTCCACATGTTTTGCAAACAGAATAACTTATACCTGAGCAAACATACCCTGTTTCTATTTAGCAATTAACACAACCTTTCTCATTTGGGTTGTCGCATTGCTCCTCTAATTTATTAATTAAAGCATCTCCACAAATTGATATACATTTATTATTTTCTAAAGTATACCCATCTATACATTTTAGACATTTATCATAATGACAAACAGCACATGTTTATAACTTAGGACAATTTTCATATTCATTAAACTAACAATCTGAACAACCATCGTAATTGTCTAAATTACCATCATCACATTACTCTTGCCCTGAAATTATTATATCACCACATTTTGATTCACATATATTACTTATGATATTCATATAATAACCAGTTTAGCATTATAAACAAATGCCTTAAATGCAAATTTCACAATAAATATGACAAACTTATAATAATTTTTCATCTAATCCCTAAGAAATATTGGATTCAGTCTATTTAAATGATTGCTCTTCAAACATAAACAAACATTCCCCCTTAATGCAGAATTAGCATAAGTATTAGCATTAATATTAACAATTAAAACATCCATCAAAAGGAACGAGATTACCATCATCGCATTCCTCATCTTCAGAGACTTTTTCATCACCACATATTGATATTTCGAATGTGCTCTCCAAATCTTGATCATCAATCTATTCTTCTTCTTCAGATAAACCGCTCTCACCTGATTTTGGAGGCTAAATTGCCACAATAAGGTTTTAAATCCCACAAAATGTAGTATTAGCATTATTAAAAGAATTATCACAATAAAAAAGTATGATTAATTGATTATTATTATCCTAGTACTCAATTGTTTCTCTAACTGATATAACATCTACACAATAGTCATCAGACCAATTTTAATCTAGTTTTAGATCTTTTTTATTATTAAGTATAAGAGTTTTCTCATCTTGTGAGTTGATTTTATAATGAAAGACAGTTCTATTCATTTTTTCATCTCCTAAAATTACATCAAAGTAAATAACAATATTTTCTCTGATATTCTCAAGTTTTAAATCAAATTTAAATTTAGCATTAACCCAAACAAATGGCCCTCCAAATATTCTTTTTTTGTCTAAATATGAAAAGTAAATCTGTTCTCCTTTTTAAAAATTATAAATGCTATTATTTGTTTCTTGTAATGTAAATAGTTCATTTACTCTCTCTTTAGTAGTTGAAAAATCATAAAATTCCTTAACTAAAATCCTTACTTCTAAACTTTCATCATAATTTAATTACAAAGGATATATGCAAGATTTATTTGATACGATAGTGGGGTCAGGGCAAGTAGTCAAACATTCTCCAAAATACAAGAAATAGTTTTGAAGACAAATTTCACAATTTTCATTATCTTTACACAATTAACAATTCAAAGCACAAACAAAATATTATACCTTAACCTTTGGTAAAACATTAAATGCAAATATTTTTTTAGAACCATCAATTTTAATTATAAATTATCCTGAATTAATTGGAGCATCAAATTCAATAATTTATTATTTCATTGTTTATAAATATTAGTATTTTAATTTTGCTTAAATGTTAAATTGACTAATTGTAGCAATTTTTTTTCCATTAATCTGTAAAACCACTTAATTTTTACCAGATAATTCAACTTTAAGTGTTAATCTTAATAAGATGACTGATGATTCTAAATTTCCTGAAATCTGATATGATTCTTTATTCTTAATTAGTTATGATGCTGTATAAGTTATTAGTTCTTAAAGATAAAGATATATTTACTTGAATTTTTTTAACAAACCTTGTCTTTGTCATAGCTATACTCATCAGGACATTAAACAACACATCCTTTTGGAATTAATAAAAATGTTAAATTAATATTCCATTTGCAAGAAGAACAAGTTCCAGAAGTTAAAGGAATATTTTGATAGCATGATGTGCATTAATTTGTTTGACCACCATTGCAAGTTTTACATGTCTTGGAACATGGATTATAAAAGATTTATAAGTTTCGAAAAAGATAAGATTTTGTTTCAAAGTTTTAAGATAACGTGCTTCTTAAAACTAGGTTTAGATTCTCGATGTTGTGACTCAAATCTATAACAAGAGTCTTACGAATTTAATAGTTTCGATTCTAATCATAACTTATGCATTAATGAGATTTTCCTAAAGGTTGTGTTAAAGTAGGAAGATATGTGTTTTGCCATTATTATTCATCTATTAGAATAACAATTTTGTCCTCTGCATTCAAATCTCCATAAAAATATATATCTACGTATATCTACACTTAAAAATGAGGTAATATCTCCGTAATTTTATGTTAAATTTCATTACAACTCATATCTACTTTTATTAAATCCATTCCATATTTACAATTATATACGATTGGATATTAGTTATTTAGACAACTCCAGCCAATAGTCTTCTCAATTTTAAGTGAGTTGAAATTCTCGTAAAGCTATATCAATTCGCATCTGATTTTTAATTAGTCTATAAAAACAAGTAACAGTGTAGAAATCATAGAATTTTTGTAAATAATAATGTTTAATTAAACCTCTAATCTAGTCGAAAATCATTATTTAATCCTATAATTTTTAATACAAACAAGAAAGCCGAATGTTGAAAAAAAAAATGTAATATTAATAAAAATTGATTTCTAATACATCATATTGCTAGGTTTGTTAAATTGGAATTCTATGTATCATATTTCATCCAAGTATTGTCGTGGTAAATATTATTACAACATATATCTATCTCCTTTTTCAAAAAGACAGACACTAAATCGACATGTTATTTGCAATATATCTTCTTTAATATTAAAAAAATACATTACGTAATAACTTTTAATAATGTTTTCTTTTAATGAATTTAAATCTGTGAAAAATGCTTTGATTTGTAATTATCTACTATCTCAGCCTGTAAAATAGAATTCATACCCTGAAAATAATAATTATCTATCTTCTAATTAAATAATTTAGTTACAACAAAAAGAATTTTTAACACATTAAATATTACAGGATAGGGAAAACTAATGAATAATATTGAAATTGTATGTGATTAGAAATGGAGTATGAATCTGAAAATTGATTATCATAATGAATTGATATAATTAAATATATAATTAATAAATATATAAAATTTCTTAAAGTCTGAATTCACCTGCAACTTAGATTCAAAAATACTTAATTAATTTATGATAAAGACTTTATATATAAAACTGATACCTAGAATATGAAAACAGAAAAACTCTTCAACTTATTTTGATATTATTTTATGTTTATTTATTTATTAATGATTTAACATTTCTTCTATGCTATTTTGTCGCTTTTAGAGAGTATCTATTTCAAATATAAATATATCCTTACTTTTAGCTTGATTATATCTTATCTGCGCTTTCATTTAATATGTCATTTTTAAAAGTTAAAAAATTTTGTACGAAGACGTAAAAATGAAACTCGGTTTAATGTTGTTGACTTAGTGAATGAGAATCTTATCAATTTTATTCTAATATATATATATTTTATGTTTTAAATATCAAATTTGAGATTAATTGAGTAAGTTCTTTTTATGATTTTATCTTTTATTTTTGTTCAGAGATAATGGTATTTTACATAGATTTATCTTAAATATATTAAACCTTTGAGAAATGAGCAAAAACTATCCCTATGTTTATTTTGTAATTCTGATATATAACTCTTTATTATTCCAAAAATTAACAATAAGTAGAAGTATTTTGGATTGTTTAATTATTTAAAAATTAAATATGTACTATTTTATACTTTTGTTGGTTAATAACTTGAGTAGTCTGAAGGTAAAGGAAATGGATTCGTTCTATTAATATAGTTAATAATCTATTGCAATATCAGAAGATATCCAATCAATTTCAAGTGCCTTTAGATATGGATTATGGTCAAAATATAATCCTTTAACAAACATTCTTTAAGTTGGAAATGTTGGATTATTTGATAGTGATTGTTACCATTTACATAGTGCAATTGAAGAATCGACTTAGACTCTTAATCTAATATATTATGATTGTATAAATGATTCTTTATAGATGATCACAAAAACAATTGCATTTATTGATAATAATTATGTGCAACATTCATTTACCATAGAAATAAATCCATTAGAGTACGAAAATATATGGTATTTTTTTGAAATTTTATAATGGCCTTTTTAAGAAAGATTTGAATTAGTTTTTATATATTAATAGAAAGTTATACGCTAAAATTTGTTAATTAAATATCCTTTTAAGGATCAAAGCCTAAAATTAATTTTTGGAGGGGGAATGATAGTAAAACAATCCTTGATTGAAACAATCTCATAAGGTACAANTTGATTATCATAATGAATTGATATAATTAAATATATAATTAATAAATATATAAAATTTCTTAAAGTCTGAATTCACCTGCAACTTAGATTCAAAAATACTTAATTAATTTATGATAAAGACTTTATATATAAAACTGATACCTAGAATATGAAAACAGAAAAACTCTTCAACTTATTTTGATATTATTTTATGTTTATTTATTTATTAATGATTTAACATTTCTTCTATGCTATTTTGTCGCTTTTAGAGAGTATCTATTTCAAATATAAATATATCCTTACTTTTAGCTTGATTATATCTTATCTGCGCTTTCATTTAATATGTCATTTTTAAAAGTTAAAAAATTTTGTACGAAGACGTAAAAATGAAACTCGGTTTAATGTTGTTGACTTAGTGAATGAGAATCTTATCAATTTTATTCTAATATATATATATTTTATGTTTTAAATATCAAATTTGAGATTAATTGAGTAAGTTCTTTTTATGATTTTATCTTTTATTTTTGTTCAGAGATAATGGTATTTTACATAGATTTATCTTAAATATATTAAACCTTTGAGAAATGAGCAAAAACTATCCCTATGTTTATTTTGTAATTCTGATATATAACTCTTTATTATTCCAAAAATTAACAATAAGTAGAAGTATTTTGGATTGTTTAATTATTTAAAAATTAAATATGTACTATTTTATACTTTTGTTGGTTAATAACTTGAGTAGTCTGAAGGTAAAGGAAATGGATTCGTTCTATTAATATAGTTAATAATCTATTGCAATATCAGAAGATATCCAATCAATTTCAAGTGCCTTTAGATATGGATTATGGTCAAAATATAATCCTTTAACAAACATTCTTTAAGTTGGAAATGTTGGATTATTTGATAGTGATTGTTACCATTTACATAGTGCAATTGAAGAATCGACTTAGACTCTTAATCTAATATATTATGATTGTATAAATGATTCTTTATAGATGATCACAAAAACAATTGCATTTATTGATAATAATTATGTGCAACATTCATTTACCATAGAAATAAATCCATTAGAGTACGAAAATATATGGTATTTTTTTGAAATTTTATAATGGCCTTTTTAAGAAAGATTTGAATTAGTTTTTATATATTAATAGAAAGTTATACGCTAAAATTTGTTAATTAAATATCCTTTTAAGGATCAAAGCCTAAAATTAATTTTTGGAGGGGGAATGATAGTAAAACAATCCTTGATTGAAACAATCTCATAAGGTACAAGGTTTTCATATTTTCCTGGAAAATTAATAAAAGTTGAATATGAATTTGGAGAGATTTTGGTGGATGAAGATCAGGAAGAATTAGCAAGAAGGATTTTTGAACCATATAATGTTTGTATTTGTTAGGAGAATATTAATTTAAGAGTTTAGGATAATATGATGATGACATAGTTGGATAATCAAGTTTTTATTTCCGAGAATATAAACTGTGATTCTTTTCAACTATCTGGATGGTTGAAGATTACTGATATTATTTAGAGTATCGTACAAGATCTCCAAATAGAAATTAAGTAACTGTTACGACCTATAGCTACACATTTCCATCAGTCAGTATAAATAATTCTAATTTAATTTAAAAAGAATTTGATATTTTGCATAGTTTAATTCTTTGGCAAAAGTTCACAATACAACTAATTACTAATTAATTGATAATTAACATCAAATTTTATGAAGATTATAATATTTATGAATATAGTACTTAATAATAAGTAAATTAGTTTAAGGGTACCTAATTTAAACTTTAGTATCGTAATATCTATTAATCCAAGACAAATTTTTTAAATATTTTATTAGGAAATATGATATTTAACAATTGTGAAACAGAGTATGATATATAATGTTGCCATTATAGTTGTTCAGAATGTGATGGGCCATAGTAGAATAATTGCTTATCTTGTACTACTTTGAGAATTTATTTGCCTAAATTCAAAGCTTGTGTTTTTGCAATTCATACTATTGATTAAGAGGATTGTGTTTCTCATATAGATTATGGATTAGAGTTATCAAATATTAAGAAAAAAATGCCTAGGTGTAAATTTGGATATTTTGAATATGAAGATCTGTGCATTCCATGGTAATTCTACTTAATTTATTAACTAGTCCTTCTATAATTAATGAGAAAGTGTCCACTTGTTAAGAATGACTGTAGAATCCTAAAGGATGGAGTAAAAATTCCTATTGTGAAATTGATTTATACTTAAAATAAAATGGTTCTACTCAAACCACTATGCGGCAAGGTTATCAACCATTTTTTGGTTTTGATGGGAGCGATTTGATTTATTATAAAAATTGGAATAGTTCCTATACCTTCCTTGCTAATGATTATGATATAAAGAATGAGATAAGTGTAAAATAAGAGGTTTTTTATCAAATTTTTGATGGTTGCTTTAGGAGTATTAAAAAAATAGATGGTTATCAATGTGTATAATGCTATTATACATATAAATGCTAAGATGGCAATTGTATTTTACTTGATGAATATACTAGCTAATAAGTTTGTTTGCCTCCCTATTATCTTAATTCACAAAGAAGGTGCAATTTATGTACTATTCGAAATTGTAAACACTGCTTTGAATATCAGGTTAATGACTTATCTAAATGCACTCTTTACAATAACTTTGACGATTTTGATCCAGACCAAGAAGTCAAGATTGGTTGTGCATTATTTGATGACAATATTATTTTCGATTTTTCTATTGGTTAATGCTAATTTAAGACTCCAAAAATATAGCAATGTTTGAGGTCTTTTATTTATGATGGTTCAGAAGTCTGTACATTATCACAAATTGGTGATTTTACTTTGGCTCCTGAAATAATTAATTGCCAAATTATCATCCTTACTGTTTACAATGTATTTAATCACCAGAATTTACGATAAAATGTATCATCTGTCAGATCGGTTATGTTACTTCTCTTAAAACAGGAGGTTGCTATTTGAGTAAGGATTTACTAATGCTAAAATATTAGTTGAAGGTGCTATTAAGAATGGATGGATGCAAAGAATTTAGGGTTTCATGATGTAATTCCTTCCAAATAAATCCTTCTATTTTCAATCTAAACTCGATGGCAGCGTCTACTAAATGGCACTAGAATGTCTAGAGGGCTATAAACTCGATCATCATTTAAGATGTACTTGGTATTGTAATCCTTCATGCTTGGACTGCAAAAATGATTCCGATACATATTATTGTAACATTTGTCCTTTAAATTAATACTACTAACCTATCAGAGAATAAATAAATGGGAAATGCTCTGAATGCACTCAACTTTGCTCAGTTTGTTAGGTCAGAACTAACGATGAAATACATATATTTATTTCTTTAAATTTTAGAGCTAAAAGAACAATTTTGAAATAAAAGATAATAATCTCATCTATACGAAGAAGTGTCTAAGATCCGCTTAAGATCCTTAAATCTATTTGGATCCATACGATTAAATTGCAAAATATTGTTTCGATGAAACCTGTTCTTAAATATTGTTTTTTAAAAGGGTAATAGAGATTTGCTTACCTTCTTAAATACTGCGGTAGGTTTTGGTAAATAATGAATATTTGAATAAATTAGGNAGTGTCCACTTGTTAAGAATGACTGTAGAATCCTAAAGGATGGAGTAAAAATTCCTATTGTGAAATTGATTTATACTTAAAATAAAATGGTTCTACTCAAACCACTATGCGGCAAGGTTATCAACCATTTTTTGGTTTTGATGGGAGCGATTTGATTTATTATAAAAATTGGAATAGTTCCTATACCTTCCTTGCTAATGATTATGATATAAAGAATGAGATAAGTGTAAAATAAGAGGTTTTTTATCAAATTTTTGATGGTTGCTTTAGGAGTATTAAAAAAATAGATGGTTATCAATGTGTATAATGCTATTATACATATAAATGCTAAGATGGCAATTGTATTTTACTTGATGAATATACTAGCTAATAAGTTTGTTTGCCTCCCTATTATCTTAATTCACAAAGAAGGTGCAATTTATGTACTATTCGAAATTGTAAACACTGCTTTGAATATCAGGTTAATGACTTATCTAAATGCACTCTTTACAATAACTTTGACGATTTTGATCCAGACCAAGAAGTCAAGATTGGTTGTGCATTATTTGATGACAATATTATTTTCGATTTTTCTATTGGTTAATGCTAATTTAAGACTCCAAAAATATAGCAATGTTTGAGGTCTTTTATTTATGATGGTTCAGAAGTCTGTACATTATCACAAATTGGTGATTTTACTTTGGCTCCTGAAATAATTAATTGCCAAATTATCATCCTTACTGTTTACAATGTATTTAATCACCAGAATTTACGATAAAATGTATCATCTGTCAGATCGGTTATGTTACTTCTCTTAAAACAGGAGGTTGCTATTTGAGTAAGGATTTACTAATGCTAAAATATTAGTTGAAGGTGCTATTAAGAATGGATGGATGCAAAGAATTTAGGGTTTCATGATGTAATTCCTTCCAAATAAATCCTTCTATTTTCAATCTAAACTCGATGGCAGCGTCTACTAAATGGCACTAGAATGTCTAGAGGGCTATAAACTCGATCATCATTTAAGATGTACTTGGTATTGTAATCCTTCATGCTTGGACTGCAAAAATGATTCCGATACATATTATTGTAACATTTGTCCTTTAAATTAATACTACTAACCTATCAGAGAATAAATAAATGGGAAATGCTCTGAATGCACTCAACTTTGCTCAGTTTGTTAGGTCAGAACTAACGATGAAATACATATATTTATTTCTTTAAATTTTAGAGCTAAAAGAACAATTTTGAAATAAAAGATAATAATCTCATCTATACGAAGAAGTGTCTAAGATCCGCTTAAGATCCTTAAATCTATTTGGATCCATACGATTAAATTGCAAAATATTGTTTCGATGAAACCTGTTCTTAAATATTGTTTTTTAAAAGGGTAATAGAGATTTGCTTACCTTCTTAAATACTGCGGTAGGTTTTGGTAAATAATGAATATTTGAATAAATTAGGCATTGATAGTTTGATTCTTCAATTTCATTATACCAACAGTATGGCCTCATGTTTTACTGCTCTTCTTCTCAATAGCTAGCTTAAGCAATAAGTTTTTTCACTTAAATTCCTTCATATCATTGTGAGTTCTAGAAAGGGTTTAATATTGTTAGCATTTAAAATCTTTTAATAATTTTTTCAACTACTAAAGAGATAAAATAAAGATTAAAGAAAATTTCATCAAATAATGAAAAAATATTATCTGAGATTTATTAGGATAACTAACTTATTGAAAATTCTTTATTTGAAAGCAGATCCGTTGTATTAGTGTCACCAGGTATAAAGAATATTTCTGATGTTGATAAGCTTGAGTTGAATTAAATTATTATTCAAGAAACAATTTCTTTTGCCATTAGAAACAACAATTCAAAGACGAACTTAAGTTTGCTTAATTTTACTTATTTGGATACTTAATTAAATGAAACCTAATCAATCTTTTAAAGTGAATTATTTGGTGATGTGAATCTGATAGATGTTTACCTAATAAACTTGAGCTTTCTAAATTCTTCATTTTTTAATTTAACAAATAGCCTAATTGAAAGAATTGTAATTATAGAGAATTTTTTTATTAAAAATCTCTCTTTTTTTAATTCAGCCTTATTTTAATTTAGCAACATTTAAACACCTTTATATAGAAGAAAGTTCATTCATAAATTCTGATTTTTTGATTATTGATGCTAACATTAAGCAATTAAGTAAAGTGGATTTTTTAAATGTGACAATCAAGTAGAGCAAATTTGAAAATTCATGTCTTTTAAATTGTAAAAACTATGTTTCACTCTCCATAACTGACTTCTATTTTCAAAAGAATATTTGTTATTATCAAAACTTTTTTCATCAAATTACAATTTATATATCTCATAGTTATAGGCCACTTAAAATAAATGCATAGAGTAACAATTCATTTAAATAATTGAGAAAAATGAAGATTCATCGATTTATGTTAGTTTAAATTCACTTGAGGCTTAATAAAATTACATTCAGAATTCAAATATTTTGAATACTAAAATTAATTAGTAATTAAGTCAAATAAATTTGGTGATTACTAACCTTCTCTTCAATGAAATTGCAAGTATAGATAATTCAAATAATAAATAATATCTCTTTACAATTAGTTGTTTTAAATTACAAATCTAGGATTTAAGTTTCCAAAACTTAAAAAACATTCTCATATTTAACATTTTTTATGGCAATGATATTGTATTTTCAAATGTAATTTATGAAAATTCTGCTTAAATAAATTAATTGTCATTTAAGAATGACTAAGTTAAAAATTATTAAAAAAATCAGCTTTTGAAAATAGAGAACTTTTATGCTTTAAATATTACTTCCATTTAGATTATCAACTAATACACGATTGACGAATCTGTTGTGGATTTATAATAGAAAAAAGAGTTTTCTAATTCTTCCTTACTAGAAATTACGAATCTTACATTTATTGGAAATTTAAAATTATTTAAAGAATCAAAACAATCCTTTTCACTTTTAGTTATCAATACAGAATAAATTGTGAATATTTTGGTAAATAAAATTTAATTTTCTGAAAATTGCTTTCATTCTTTAGTTGAAAGCAATTTATAATCTTACGCCTCATTACTTTTCTTAAATATTCAATCTAGCAAGATATAAATATCTAATTTTGTCTCTTAATAAAATGCATTTACTAATTCCTATAACCCTTTTGTTTATATACATTCATAAACCGTAATTATGGAAAATTTACAAATTTCTAACCACAATGTTCTAACCTATGATCTTTGGGAAAAATTTTATGGTATAAAATTGAATTAACATCTTAATCAATAACAAATTAATCAGTTTGCTTTTGGAAATTTTAATATAAAAAATATAGGAGGAGTAGGTTAAATATAGCCGTTTCATAGGTTGTTATTGCATTTTAATATTCAAATTTTAAATATAAATAATTTAATCAAATTGAATAATAAAGATTTAAATCTGTAATTGCAGCCTTGTTCACTTGTGTAAATTGGAACTTTAAAAATATCCTAGCATCAAAGAGTGCAATTTTTGAAATTAAGACATAAGATTTTGGGATAATAAAACTAAATTAAATTTTTGCAAATGATATGATAAGTGACTTGAAACAGTTTTCTAATAGCTCAGGTTGTATTAGCATTTATGCGGAAAACAGTCATTTAGATTTTAAACTTTAGGATTCTAAGTTTCAGAATGTTTTTAATCGAATGTCTTCATCTGTTCTATCTATTTAACCATCAACCATTTCTAATATGATTAGATTGATCAATATTTAGATCTATGATTGTCTATCTTTAATGAATCAAATACTTTAAGTGTCATTCTCTAATAAAATCTTTTATAAAAACTATTTAGAATTAAGAAATATAATGATAGCCCAAAAAAAGGAATCATGGATATCATTATTTTCTTCACTTGGGTATCTAAGTTTAACGGAACTATTAGTTATTACAAGTAGCTAAAATTCATTAATTTTTGTTGAAAGCTCTTCGATATAAATGACTAATGTTAGTTTAGAAGGTATATATTTATCACCACTTTTGAATATATTAAATGCACCAAAATTAACTCTTGAAAAGATTTACATCAATTAGCTACAAAAACTTTACTCCTTTCAATTAATTTTAATTAATCAAATGATAGACATCTCGTCATAAACTGTGCTACATTAAGTTAAAATTTACAATAGTTCAAAATTTCAATCAGGGCTAGAAAAAATATTACTTTAGGACTTCAATTATATACTTAATGGGAGCATTATAGTTGCTAATTAATCAAAAAGCTCACCAGAGAGTTAAACATTCTACTACTTTGATGAAATACTTTCTATAATGGATAAACAAACATAAGCTTAATCTTCATTAATTAATATTAAAAGTCGATCAAGCTAGAATTCTTTCTATTTTAACCAAATAGATATAGAAGAGAATGATTGTACGCATTGCACTAATGGATTAATTGAACTTAATTTACTAAAATTTTAAAATTTCAAAATTTAAGAACTTAATTGTATTACAATAATATAAAATAATATGGATGTTTAAGAATTTTGGATGATAATTAGGAAAAACCAGCTATTCAATTATTAAGCTCTAATTTCATTAAAAATAGTGGAAGCTAAGGCGTTGCACTCTCATTGAGTAGTCCAATCATTATCAAAAACTGCAAAATAGCATAAAACAAAGCCAGCTTAAGAGGAGGGGGGATCTTTTTATAGTTGAAAAGTGATCAATTTATCATAAAAAATTCCATCATTATTTACAATCAAGCAAATGAAGGAGGAGGAATATATTTTAGTGGAAACAATAATTTGAATTAAAATAATTTTATTTCAACTTAATTGGTTTTTAATGAGGCTCATTTAGCATTATTTATAAACTCTGTAGAAATGCAGGGAATAAATTTACCTTCTTCAGAAACTTAAACCTATATTCTAAAGATTTTTCCATATTTTACAATTGATCAAGAAGTTAAAATACAAACTCATTATTTAATGATTCCTAGTGGTCAAAAAATTCAGGGCTTTTCACTTTATATTCCTAAATAATAATAAAATTATAAGTAGATTAAATAGTTAGAATTAATGTTTAAGAATAATTTAAAAGAGTTGCAGAAAAATCTTATTAATTCAACTTGTTTTATAAAAGAATGGATTATGAAAATGAATGGAAAAATAATTGATGGAAACAACCAAAAAATAATTTAATTGCCTTATAATATTGAAAAAAATCACTTTGACCTAAGTTCAATTTCTTTTTCATTCGATCCATACGATCGAGAGAACACGTATTTAGATGTCGACATTACTTGTTCTACTTCAGACTCTGAAAATCCTTTAAAATACATCATTTAAGCTAAAAGTTATAAGTGTCAACTCGGAGAGTTCTACTTCGATAATGGATGTTAAACATGCGAATCAAATCAAGGATTTTATTCTGTGACATATGATACATTTAAGTGCTCAATATTTGATAAGGAGAAATTTTAGGAGATAACTTCAAATCAAATCAAATTATAGCAGGGCTATTGGAGACCAAATTATTTATCGGATTATTCCACCTTATGTTTTAAAATAACAAGGTTTTGTTAAGGAGAGTGGGGTGTTGCAGATGAACTATGTACTGTAGGCCATATTGGTGCTTTGTGTGAAGAATGTGATATTTATGATATTTAAGGAAATGGAAAGTTTATAAAAAATTAATAAAATTCTGAATGTTTTCTTTGTTTTGGAATACAAGNTAATGGATAAACAAACATAAGCTTAATCTTCATTAATTAATATTAAAAGTCGATCAAGCTAGAATTCTTTCTATTTTAACCAAATAGATATAGAAGAGAATGATTGTACGCATTGCACTAATGGATTAATTGAACTTAATTTACTAAAATTTTAAAATTTCAAAATTTAAGAACTTAATTGTATTACAATAATATAAAATAATATGGATGTTTAAGAATTTTGGATGATAATTAGGAAAAACCAGCTATTCAATTATTAAGCTCTAATTTCATTAAAAATAGTGGAAGCTAAGGCGTTGCACTCTCATTGAGTAGTCCAATCATTATCAAAAACTGCAAAATAGCATAAAACAAAGCCAGCTTAAGAGGAGGGGGGATCTTTTTATAGTTGAAAAGTGATCAATTTATCATAAAAAATTCCATCATTATTTACAATCAAGCAAATGAAGGAGGAGGAATATATTTTAGTGGAAACAATAATTTGAATTAAAATAATTTTATTTCAACTTAATTGGTTTTTAATGAGGCTCATTTAGCATTATTTATAAACTCTGTAGAAATGCAGGGAATAAATTTACCTTCTTCAGAAACTTAAACCTATATTCTAAAGATTTTTCCATATTTTACAATTGATCAAGAAGTTAAAATACAAACTCATTATTTAATGATTCCTAGTGGTCAAAAAATTCAGGGCTTTTCACTTTATATTCCTAAATAATAATAAAATTATAAGTAGATTAAATAGTTAGAATTAATGTTTAAGAATAATTTAAAAGAGTTGCAGAAAAATCTTATTAATTCAACTTGTTTTATAAAAGAATGGATTATGAAAATGAATGGAAAAATAATTGATGGAAACAACCAAAAAATAATTTAATTGCCTTATAATATTGAAAAAAATCACTTTGACCTAAGTTCAATTTCTTTTTCATTCGATCCATACGATCGAGAGAACACGTATTTAGATGTCGACATTACTTGTTCTACTTCAGACTCTGAAAATCCTTTAAAATACATCATTTAAGCTAAAAGTTATAAGTGTCAACTCGGAGAGTTCTACTTCGATAATGGATGTTAAACATGCGAATCAAATCAAGGATTTTATTCTGTGACATATGATACATTTAAGTGCTCAATATTTGATAAGGAGAAATTTTAGGAGATAACTTCAAATCAAATCAAATTATAGCAGGGCTATTGGAGACCAAATTATTTATCGGATTATTCCACCTTATGTTTTAAAATAACAAGGTTTTGTTAAGGAGAGTGGGGTGTTGCAGATGAACTATGTACTGTAGGCCATATTGGTGCTTTGTGTGAAGAATGTGATATTTATGATATTTAAGGAAATGGAAAGTTTATAAAAAATTAATAAAATTCTGAATGTTTTCTTTGTTTTGGAATACAAGATACTTGAAAATAAATGAAAATTAATATAGGAAAGAAATCCTTACAATAGCATTGTTCCTTTCATCTTAAATACTGCATGGTAATCTTTGGTTATACTCTTAGGGCCATATTTTCAATAATACTTACCTTAAAAAGTATTGGAAAATCAAATGATTTATTCTTATATTACAAAATTTAAGGAAGCTTTAATGAAATCCTTTTTAAATTAAATCAAGGTATATTATTTTAATATTTATAGATCTTGAGGGTATTCTAATAAAAATGCTTATAAACTATTTATGGATTTATTCTGTAATATTCGCATTTAATATTACTTTTTCGTTTTAGTTTAACTTTGTTGAATAAGCCAGTAATTAATCTTATTCAATGGCTAATAATTTAGATTGCTATTTATCTCAATCAGTAGATATTGAGTTAATCTATTCAAAAATTATCTCAATTTTGATACTGATGTTAATGCAAGTCCTGATAATAACTTTTGGATTGATCATATTTTCAAATCTCATTCATTCAAATTTAAATTAAATAACAATTCAAATACATTACTTTGTTTATATATTTTCACTTACGCAGGATGTATCAAAATGTATAATTTATTTCAAATTAGGTTATGTTCACTGGTTTCATATAGAGAAATATCCAATTTATCATATATATCAGGAGATCTAACATTAAAATTTAATACAGAAACTCATTTTTAATGGCTTATGTATTTGGTCCTTCCTGGATTGATTATCTTTGGTTGTTTAATTCCTCTGTCATTGTTTTTGTTAATGTATTTTCATAGAAAAGGATTGGATAACTACTACATTTTCAGACCTCATGTTTGTTATCTTTAAAATGAATATGTAAAAGAAAGCTATTACTGGGAATAAATAAAATTGAGTAAAAGAGCTATTATGATTCTGATTTTGACATATTTTGAGACTAAAATACATTTGAAAGCTTCCTTAATAGGTTTGAGCCTAATTATTTACTAACTACTAGGCATTAACAAAAAGCCCTACATTATAACAAAATTCAATAAGTTTGACTTATAGTCAGGCTAAATATGTTCAATATCAATATTTTTATCCGCTATTAAATATGAGAGCGAATAGCTAAATAATATAGGGATATCTCTCGCATTCTAAACATGTTTGATGGTACTTTTTCTTATTATAACTTTTCCATTTATTGAAAGTATAGTAAAAATTTATTACAAAAAATATAAGTTGGCTATCATGAAATCGGTAAATTCAATTTTCAAATATTTGAAATTAACAAATCTATCAAATCAATTTGTTGTTAAAATAGATGAAAAATATAAAAAAGAATAAAGGATTAAAGATATTTTCTTAAAATTAAGAAAATTCCTTTTGACTGTTTCTAAAATATAAATAAAAAATAGACCGTAATTATTGAAATATTTTTAGTTCTATTCAAACTATTAGCTCAATTCACAATTATTAGCATAAATTATTAAGTCGAGAAATGCAAAGTTAGTCAATATTATTCTCTGGATAGAGATAGGATAGAGATAGGATTGAATTTTATTATATTTTAAAAAATAAAATCAAACTCTATTATAAGAATAGAAGGCTAGAATCATCAAAAATAAAATAAATTCTACATCAAAGATTTTCCTTGTAAATTTACTATTAAATATCGAATTTACCTAATAAAAACTTCCTTTAAAAGATTTTTTATATTTATTATTGTTACAATTTTAATCTTAATTAATTATAGAAATATAATCAAAAAATGGGTCACTGTTTAATCGATATTTAAACTTCCACTCAGTTTTTTCATACTTACCTACCTATTTGCACAAGTCATATTCAATATAAAGTAAACCTATGAATTGATGCAAAGATAACAATACGATCCTAGAAATTAGAAGTTCAAATTAATTATTGGTATTGTAGAAGTAGAAAAGAGATTATTAAAAATATAGCATTTTCTTAGAGCCAAAACTCAAGAAAAATAAATTCATTAAATTTGTTTTTGGAGATATATAACTATTTCAAAGTACCTCCAAAATTTAGCTTCAAGCTTCTCTAGAATTAATAATAATATTGGTATAAATTTTGAGACCAAAGGAACATTAAAATTGTGTTCTAACGTTAAGGTTGGAAAGGAGTTGTAATTGCAGTCAGTGTGTCAGATATGTGGTCTTGTTGAACAAGTCTGGTTGGAGGGAACACGGTAATAGTTACGATTATAGACCTGATAGTCCTTCAAACTAAAAAAAATTGAAATTCAAATTAAAAAATTTTATTTTATTATTAATGACCATGAAAATTACAATATAGGAGGCCAATGCAGCCATGGGATTGATCGATTCAGCCTTACGATGGAATGATATTGAAAATTTTTATCTTCTCAAACTACAGCGTTCCATTATTAACGGCTATTATTGTTTAGAGTTATGACGAATAGATTCTTTCGAATCAAATTTTCTGAAGTTAAGATATGGTAATTAATTTCAAAAGTCAACTCTCACATTCTTTTAGATAATTTAGTATAGATCGAAGTAGGCAATGGGGATTTGATGAAGAACACATTCCAGATAAATTTGGGTGGTCTTCTTTTTACATTAAATCCTAACCATACATTGTTTCAAAATTCTGTTCATGATTGTTTGTCAATCTTAACCTTAGTGGATTTAAAGTAAATTTGCTTCATAAAAGTAGGATCATAAAAACCTCCAATACATTCTATGCAAGATAAAAATAAGGTGGATTTTTTTTCAAAGATCGAACACCTAATCAATCAAATATAACAAATCGCTAACCAATCTGAGAAAGTACAGATGATTTAACTAAATAAATAAAATCAAGAATTGTAAAACGCGCAAATACAAGAAGAATATCAATCATAATAACATTTATCTTTCTTATTTCATTATCATCCAGAATTCAAGTAGTATTTATAAATACTTACAACTAAAAAAAATAAAATGCTTAAATTCTCTTAATGCAATCCAATGAATCACAGATTGTTAGATTTATAAGATTTATGTACTTATCCTTAAAATTAATGATAAATGATAGAGGATCTAGAAATTAATTCAAATTGTCTTCAAAAATAATCTCCTGTTTAAAATGGAAATTTCAATTGATAGATATAATGAATCAAGATATCTAAATTTGCTTTGTGGCCTAACCATAATACAGCAATAAAGATGATAATTATATTTAAGAAAATATCTACTAGAAGTAATGTAGTTAATAATTATTTTCAATGGTTGCTAGGAAAATGATTACACATCTTAGTATTTAAGTAGAACTTTAATTTTTATGAAATATGATTTCCATAATAAAGTTGTTTTTTTATTTATCATATCATTAAAGAACTTGCATTTGATAGGATGTTTTTCTTGGATCAATAGATGTTAAACAAGAAAATCAATTAGCTAGTTGTATCTAAATGAACAATTTGATTAAGTAAAATGAAAAATATGCTATTCTATCAAAATTACTTTATAAATGACTAGCCTGAATTCAGAATTTTAAAAAATATTTTATCTCATCTATACAACATCTATGCAAGAGAATTAGCTGAAAAATCTTTAGTTTAAACAAAATTTTGGTCTAATTTTTTTTCTCTTTACTCTTTTGTATTCTGCTTTTTCCACAATTCATTTTTATAATAGCATATAAAATAATTGATGTGCAAATCTGATATTAATTAGTCACAAAACTGATATTGCTGTTCCCCATAGCCCTTAAACAGTATAATATATGTAAGATTATCATTGGTAAATTTCTGGCCTATTCTTTGAAAAAAATTAACAACTACATTTAACACAATCAAATTTTTCTTTTTCTTTGTTTCTTTTTCCTTAAATTTCAAGACTACTAAAATTATTTTGATGTCAAAAACCTTGTGAAATTGTCTTATCTGAATTACATCTTTTAATAATTCATAAGAGAAATATTAATATTTTAAAGTGATTTGAATTGAAAAACTTTGTAAAACTACTAAAATAGGTTTAGTTTTCAATTAATATTGTTTTAAAATATCATCAAATAAAAAAAATACAATTTTATATCATTAAAATTCAATTTTGGTTATCCAAAATACAACCTCCTCTTTATTCGAATAAATATCTTAAATCTTTGCCCTAATGATTTAGAAATTCTCCCTAAAAGATAAGGGCCCCATATGCTTCAAAGTGCTGGTATTGGGCTATGAGCAAAATAGAAACAATAGGATTTACTAAATAAAATTGAATTAATACAACCTTTAAAAACTTGATTGTTTTATAGTGGGGTTTTGAATTTAGAAGGCACGACTTAAATACATTTATTTGAGGATGGAACTGTTATTCCTGTATTGATTTCCCATAAGCGGATAGATTAATCATTACTGCCGGATGCAAATGTAGTACCTTTAGATGAGAAGCATACTGATTGAATCCATTTACTATGGCCATTTAATTTGGTAGTTTATTGCCCTGTTTTACAATCCCATAAACGGATAGACAGATCTCCACTACCAGACATCAATGTCTTACCATCTGGAGAAAAACATACTGATAGAACTCTACTACTATGACCAATTAATTTAGATTATTTTTTTCCTGTTTTAACATCCCATAAGCAAATTGACTTATCATAACTGCAAGATGCTAATGTAGTACCATCAGGAGAGAAGCATACTTACGTAACATAATCTGCATGACCATTTATTTTGAATATTTATTACCCTGTTTTAATATCCCATAAACGAATAGATTTGTCATCACTACCAGACGCTAATGTAGCACCATCAGGAGAAAAACAAACAGATCTAACATCATTTCTATGACCCTATAATTTAGATTTTTATTGTCCTGTAATAATATCCCATAAACGAATAGTCTTGTCATCACTACCAGATGCTAAAGTAGTACCATCAGGTGAAAAGCACACCGACCAGACTCTCTCACTATGGCCCTCTAATTTCAATTTTTGTTATCCTGTTAGAACATCCCATAAACGAATAGAATTATCATCACTGCCAGATGCTAACTTAGTACCATCAGGAGAAAAGCATACTGATCTGACATCATTCCTATGACCTTCTAATTTGAATTGCTATTTTCCTGTGTTTGCATCCCATAAACGAATAGACAAATCATCACTACCAGAAGCTAATGTGTCTCCATTAGGGGAAAAACATACTGAATTGACACAATCACTATGACCTTCTAATTCAAATTATTAATGTACTAACTTAACATCCCATAAACGGATAGACTAATCTGCACTACCAGATGCTAATGTAGTACCATCAGAAGAAAAGCATAATGATTCAATTCTATCAACATGACCGTCCAATTAGGATTGTTATTGTCCTGAATTGACATCCCATAAACGTATAGATTTATCACTACTACCAGATGCTAAAGTAGAACAATTCGGAGAGAAGCATATTGAATTGACACAATCACTATGACCATTTAATATCGCTTATTATTTTCCTAACTTGACATTCCATAAACGGATAGACTTATCTGTACTACCTGATGCTAATGTAGTACCATCAGATGAGAAGCACAATGATTGAACTCTACCACCATGACCATTTAAGAGAAGTTGTTATTTTCCTGCTTTAATATCCCATATGCGGATAGAGGAATCTTGACCACCAGATGCTAATGTAGTACCATCGCAAGAGAAGCATAATGATTGAACTTTACTACAATGACCATTTAAAATGAGTTTTTATTGTCCTGTCTTTATATCCCACAAAAGGATGGATTAATCTTAACCGCCGGATGCCAATGCTGTACCATCAGGAGAAAAACTCAGCGAATTTATTATTCCATTCTGGCTTTTTAATTTTAATTGCTTTTTTCCAGTTTATACACAACTTAAAAAAATCAACCCCTTTTCACAACCAGATGCCAATGTAATTCGATTGGGAGAGAAACATATTGAATTGACAAAATATTAATGATGATGATAAAACCTTTTTTTTTATTTCCCTGTTTTAACATCCCACAAATAGATAAAGTTATTTTTACTATGAGAAACTAATGTAGAACCATCTGGTGAGAAGCATACGTATCGGACATAATCGGTATGACCATTTAGCTAAAGTAACTCCTGAATTTTTAAATTATTCCATTTACAATTAAATAACAAGGCTCCATTTAATTTCACTCCACTTATGTCCACATTTGAAAATTCAGATCCGCTCAAATTGCACTAAAATAAATTTGCTCCTATTAGTGAAGAGTCTCTAATCTTGATATTTTCAAAGGAATGTTATTTAAAATTAACTTTCATTTAAACTAATAAATTAAAGGAATTTGATCCACATTATATCAATTTATTATCTATAGCTGTTAGTCTAACTAAAAATTTTAAAAATTCCACTATCAGTTTATCCTCTGATATTTTTTTAATTAATTCTTCTCTCGTTTTTCTGTAGGTTTCCTTAGAATAATTTTAATAATTAAAATCATGATCCATCAATTTTTTGATAACATTAGTAATCATCTAAATGTTAGTTTATCCAACTTATAGCCATTACTCCTTTTAAAAGAATGATAAATTTTCCACTTGCAAAATATATTATTCAAAATGAGTTTGATTTTCACATTTTGAAAAAAATTCCAGACTATCAGAAATCTCCTCTTTTCTAAATATTTCAAATAGCACACTGTAAATTAATACGTCAATCTATTTTGACATCGCTAAAACCTTATACAGATCTTCTTACTTTTCAAAAGTACAATACATTATAATACTTTAAAAAAATATTGAATTAAATAATTAAAGCAAGCAAATTTAGCCTCAATTTAAAATTTAATAAAAAAAGTTAAAATAGGTTAAACTTAATTGATTTGAATAAATTTCTATAATAAGATACCATGATACACATAAGCATTCCAATCAAATAAACTACATTAAGTTACTACTTAGTAAATTAATTTCAACTTTGAACAACATGTTCTATTATTCAACCATTACTTAATGTCAATGTAATGTAATTATCATAGATATATTCCATTTCAGATTGATAATTCTGATCTTTGATTATTCTTATTATATATTTTAAAGTGTATCAAATAAGGCTTAACATAAACAAATGCAAATAAAATAAAAATTAAGTAAATATTATTTTGAGAATTTGAAAGAGAAATTGATAAAGCAGTAACCGGCTTTCTAATTAAATAATAATGCCTTTAAGAAAAAGCAATAGGCTTTATTAAAAGATAAGAAAACTATGTTATGCTTATGTTGATTTGAAAATATTTTCAAGTTTGTTATCTTAATTTTTGTAACTTAGATAAAATTAAAATATTCTTGAATTCCAACATTTTAGGAAATTTTAGACAGTAAGAACTAAAATATCCATTGATAAGTACTAAGTAATGATCAGGACATTGGCCGAGCATAAATTTATCACTACAGATATCATCATATCTACAGTGGATAAGAATAATACCTGATGAAAGAACAAAAAAAAGAACAGGTAATATAGTTTAGAATAGTGTTCAATTTGCATTCAATCAACTTTTCATCAATTGAATTCGAATAATAAAATTCAAAATTTTATATATAATTATTTCCTCAATTAGCTAAATATTATCTGACTTGGATTGACTTAGATTCGTCATCCCATGAGATCAAAAATTCTCCATCATCACTTACTGTTCCGAAGATATTTCCATCAGTACCTTTACCATACTCAATCGATTATTTTAAAGTAAATTTCCAACATTAATTTTACAATAAATTTTTATTTCCCTCTTAAATTGAAACCTGAATAATATTTATTGTTTATCCATTCTTATTAATCAAAATTTATTTTAAAGGAATAAATTTAGAAGGGAAAAAAAAAGTGCAATATTAATCACCTCCAGAAACAGCAACTTATTCTTAGATAATATATTTATCAAAACAATCAAGAGAATAAATATAGAGAGTGTTTTTTCCTTACATCCTAAAGTTTGGCTGGAATACAAAACTATTTGTGCTTAAAAAACATAGTCTGTAACCAATCCGATTTGCATTTATTCTTTATTTTAAAAGCCACCTCTAGTTTTCTGATCCTGTTCTTACAAAAATATAATTGTCTTCTCCGCAGGAAATGAGTTAATTCCCTTATTGATTTATCGATAAGCAATATATTATTCTTTGCTCATCAATTACTTGAATACATTTAAAGTTTTTTTGAGTAGACCAAAACCTTATACAATAGTCCGCTCCCCCGCTAATAATAAGTTGATCTGTAGGATGAGCAATTATTGATCTAATATGATTCTAATGGCCTTTTAGTTTTATCAAAAATTTGTTCTAAGAAAACAAATTCGAAGGCCAAATGGTAATAGTCTCATCTTCAGATCCCGTAATTAATAAAGGTTTCTTTTTTAGAAAGCAGCTTGTAGTTACAAAGTATTCATTGTTCATAAAAATTTAAATTTACTTAAGAGCAAGGTTTGAAAGTTAAAATATTTTTATGTTACAACCTTCCGATGCTACTATTATTTTATTATTTTATTTGATTGAAATTGTGTATGTGGTTGTTTCCAATTTTAAATCAATTTCTTTTATAAGTTAAAAAGAAAATTCACTTTATTAGTCTGGGCGACATGTTTTTTTTTATTCTGATTATTATTCATTTAATTTCTGATTATTTATAGATTATCTCCTCGTTCTTATCATTTATTATTTATATTATTAATTTCGACATCAATTACCCTCTAAAATACTAAAATATTTAATGCTTCAAATTAAAATCTATAAAATATCAGCTAGACTATAAGATTAATAGAATATTAAATCATACTAATTATTAGATAATTTAGAAAGAATCAATCCATTTGGGAATGATGAATAAACAACAACATTAAATTACATTTTGAAATTAAAAAAACTTACGTAGATCTAATGCGAAGAAATGTATTTGTTTGAAGTTTATTTAATTAGATTGGTTAAAAATCAAAGATTCTAAAATTTAATTTGAAAAAGAGCATGCAAATCTGAATTTAAATAATTTTGTTTTCCGATATATCAAAAACAACCAAGAGAATTTAAATATTAAAATTCTCTTGGTTTACAGTGATTATGTATTCCCATATATTTATCTTAAATAAGGCTGTGTAATTCCGAATATTTAAAATAAGTCATTGTTAATTCTAATATTATTTTTTTATTATATTCATCTCAACAATTAGTATGAATTTTAGGTTGATTAGAAAGAGCATTTTGGAAAACTTGTTGCTATTGTTCTCATATAACTTCAATAAGAGAATAAAATCTTATTTATATGTTTGCTTCAATCAAGTCTGGATATTAATTATTAATTTTATTAAATCAACCCTTTTATATACTAAATATTTAAAATTGTGCTTACATATGTAATTTTTGCAGAGGGGTCTGATTCGAATGTTTTTTTTAACTTAATTTACTGTCTATTTAATCTTGATTATTTATATTTGACATTTATACTCTTAGGTTAATTTCTTTCTTTTAATGGTTATTAGTTAAATGAGAGTGAAAAAAATAATGATAATTTGAAAATAAATTGTANGAATTCGAATAATAAAATTCAAAATTTTATATATAATTATTTCCTCAATTAGCTAAATATTATCTGACTTGGATTGACTTAGATTCGTCATCCCATGAGATCAAAAATTCTCCATCATCACTTACTGTTCCGAAGATATTTCCATCAGTACCTTTACCATACTCAATCGATTATTTTAAAGTAAATTTCCAACATTAATTTTACAATAAATTTTTATTTCCCTCTTAAATTGAAACCTGAATAATATTTATTGTTTATCCATTCTTATTAATCAAAATTTATTTTAAAGGAATAAATTTAGAAGGGAAAAAAAAAGTGCAATATTAATCACCTCCAGAAACAGCAACTTATTCTTAGATAATATATTTATCAAAACAATCAAGAGAATAAATATAGAGAGTGTTTTTTCCTTACATCCTAAAGTTTGGCTGGAATACAAAACTATTTGTGCTTAAAAAACATAGTCTGTAACCAATCCGATTTGCATTTATTCTTTATTTTAAAAGCCACCTCTAGTTTTCTGATCCTGTTCTTACAAAAATATAATTGTCTTCTCCGCAGGAAATGAGTTAATTCCCTTATTGATTTATCGATAAGCAATATATTATTCTTTGCTCATCAATTACTTGAATACATTTAAAGTTTTTTTGAGTAGACCAAAACCTTATACAATAGTCCGCTCCCCCGCTAATAATAAGTTGATCTGTAGGATGAGCAATTATTGATCTAATATGATTCTAATGGCCTTTTAGTTTTATCAAAAATTTGTTCTAAGAAAACAAATTCGAAGGCCAAATGGTAATAGTCTCATCTTCAGATCCCGTAATTAATAAAGGTTTCTTTTTTAGAAAGCAGCTTGTAGTTACAAAGTATTCATTGTTCATAAAAATTTAAATTTACTTAAGAGCAAGGTTTGAAAGTTAAAATATTTTTATGTTACAACCTTCCGATGCTACTATTATTTTATTATTTTATTTGATTGAAATTGTGTATGTGGTTGTTTCCAATTTTAAATCAATTTCTTTTATAAGTTAAAAAGAAAATTCACTTTATTAGTCTGGGCGACATGTTTTTTTTTATTCTGATTATTATTCATTTAATTTCTGATTATTTATAGATTATCTCCTCGTTCTTATCATTTATTATTTATATTATTAATTTCGACATCAATTACCCTCTAAAATACTAAAATATTTAATGCTTCAAATTAAAATCTATAAAATATCAGCTAGACTATAAGATTAATAGAATATTAAATCATACTAATTATTAGATAATTTAGAAAGAATCAATCCATTTGGGAATGATGAATAAACAACAACATTAAATTACATTTTGAAATTAAAAAAACTTACGTAGATCTAATGCGAAGAAATGTATTTGTTTGAAGTTTATTTAATTAGATTGGTTAAAAATCAAAGATTCTAAAATTTAATTTGAAAAAGAGCATGCAAATCTGAATTTAAATAATTTTGTTTTCCGATATATCAAAAACAACCAAGAGAATTTAAATATTAAAATTCTCTTGGTTTACAGTGATTATGTATTCCCATATATTTATCTTAAATAAGGCTGTGTAATTCCGAATATTTAAAATAAGTCATTGTTAATTCTAATATTATTTTTTTATTATATTCATCTCAACAATTAGTATGAATTTTAGGTTGATTAGAAAGAGCATTTTGGAAAACTTGTTGCTATTGTTCTCATATAACTTCAATAAGAGAATAAAATCTTATTTATATGTTTGCTTCAATCAAGTCTGGATATTAATTATTAATTTTATTAAATCAACCCTTTTATATACTAAATATTTAAAATTGTGCTTACATATGTAATTTTTGCAGAGGGGTCTGATTCGAATGTTTTTTTTAACTTAATTTACTGTCTATTTAATCTTGATTATTTATATTTGACATTTATACTCTTAGGTTAATTTCTTTCTTTTAATGGTTATTAGTTAAATGAGAGTGAAAAAAATAATGATAATTTGAAAATAAATTGTATTAGCCACTCAATATTTAAATCATTGTACATTTTTAATTGAAAGTTGAATTTTTAATAATTCATTAATGAAATAAATTTTTAAACCTCTTTTATAGTAGTAATCAATATTATTATTATTATTAATATAAACACACATTAATCAAATATCACTATATTATTTATTAACTCTTCTCTTCTCTTTTAATTTACTGTTTATTATAATTATCATCATTAAAACTAATTAATATTTCAAAGACCAAGATAATTTTGAATAGCATAACATAATGTGTTTTAATGACAAAAAAATACAATTATATGATTTACAAATCTTGTGAGTCATCTTAAAAAGTTTATTAAAATTATTTGGCAGTATCAATGAACCCTTTCATTTTTTCAAATGTCCTTATTCAAAAATTAGATAAAAATACACAAAAACAACCAAAAAACGGAGAACATTTGATATTCAAAAAAAATGATTCAATAGGTAAAGATACATAAAGAAGAGTAATAATAGAAAGAGTGTTAGTAAATAACCTATACTAATATAAATAGCTTTCTAAAACAAGAACAACACTAGAGATGATGATAAGAAAGTAAAACTGGAAAATGAAACAACATTTTCTGAAAATAAAATTATAAAAAATTTATAAATTGAATTTAAGTAAAATTAATTATTAATTAGATTTTATTTATTTAATTTTGATGGAAAACAAATAAATGAGTTAATTCTTAGATGTAAAAAATTTGATCATCGGAGTTAAGAATATTAATTAATGAAAAAAGGACTAATTATAATTTTAAATCGATTATTCAACTAAAAGAATAAAAACAATTTAAATTAAAAACAAAAAGTAGAAGCAATATAATTTGAGTTGAAAATGTGCCATTAAATTTTACATTTAATTTTTGATTTCATATATTGATATTTTACTGGTATTATTAAAAAATATACTAAAAAATACTAAACCATCACTTAAAAAAATTACTTATCATCAAATAAAGATTGAAATAATTTAAATAAAGAATATAAAAAGATAAATTCATAAATTTTATAACAGTTTTCCAAGTAAAATATTATTTGTGTTTATTAAAAATGAGGTCCCCTTTTACTTTGTCATTGGGTAAAGCAAACCTTCACCTTGTCTACATTTTAGTTAGTTCACTTCTTACTTTTGAATCACCCATTAAAATTAATTAAGGAACCAACGAATTAATTATTTAACTTAATACTATCTAGCAGGGTTTCTAAGCATTCTAAAGGAAAATTCTTAATTTGGAAGGAGTATAAGAGGGTTTTTCTTTAAGTGTAGTTTATAAATTTTTACATTTTAATTTTGAAAACATCAACTCATTTATGGGATAGGAATTTCTTAGTAAATATTAGCCTTGTAATAATTTAGAACAAAATTGTAAATTAAGGAAAGGAATTGTTAGAAAGTGAAATAAAGGACAGCACAATCTATATTTCAACAAAATATTCTAAACATTGAAACTATTTTATATTCTCTAAAATAGCATTTCATTAATACTTATCTTGTAATCTACAATTACTTGAGAAATTTTTATTAAATGATGTATTAACCTGTTACATTGATCCTTCTATGCTTTAATAAGTACTTCTAAATTAGGTCTCTCCTCCTTATGCATAGTTAAATATTTTTCTATATGGTAATTTAACAAAAGATATTTAATCCCTCGACATATCTCCTTCTTGCTTTGATCTTCCAAAGGATGTGTTAAATGATTATACGATCCAAAATATAAATATTATCGATATTTGATATCGTCTTTGGATAATGTTGAAATATATACATTAATCATTTAATTTTTATATCGGAGGTGAAATTGGTCAAATCCAGTTGTTTGCCAATCTACATAACTTAAAAGGAGCTCCACAATAATTATGAACTTGCTTTATCTAAAAGTTTTCCTATTTTAAAACTCTGATTGCTTAATTCTAAAGACTTAATCTGTCATGACCTCAAATAAGTTATCTGCTGTTATTACAGCGCTTGTCCTTTTTGGAATATAAAATCCTTTCAAACCAATCCTTAAAGGGCTATGGACATTTTTTTCATTAATTTATTTTTGAATTCAGAATTTTGTAGCAATCAAATTTAATTATTGTTTTTTCGTAATAGAAGATTTATATTATAACTGCATACATAATTAAAATTAGAATATTAATTTTGATTATTAAATTCATAATTCAAAAAATATTAATTGAATGTTAAAAATTATATTATTATGCTTATTGAAAATAATAATTGATATAAAGAACAACAGTCTGATGAAGAGAGTTAAGGAGTAGTTTTCTAAGAACTTTTGTTGAAAGATCATACTTGTGGACAGGAATGTTTGGATTACCACATTAATTCATAAGTGCATTATCTTAAGCTAGTTTAAAAATCGTTTGTAAACAACACACTATCATCAGAATAAGCCAAATTATTATGTTAAAGCCTTATGGATTAGAGAAAAGATAAGAAAGCTGCCAAGATAAATAATACAAAATTCAAGTTCAACATCATGATACGGATCATAAAGGAATTGGACAGTTCCTAAATCAAAATGATTAATTCTAACTAGTTTAGTATTGTTAAATGTACAATCCTAATTTTAATTTGCAGATGCTTCTAAAACTTAGCACGAGAATTGATTTGAAAGTTATTTAATAACACCTTAGTCTATTATTTTAGAAGGTAAAGTTTCAGAATTCCTTCTTTAATTTCATATAATATACGTTCAACTGCTAACATTTTTTGAGAATTAATAATCAAGCATAATAGATTTCATCGAAAGTTAGTACAAGGCACAGAAGAATTATAACACAAGTTTAAGGAGAAAAGATTAGATACACATCTTTATTATTTATATTAGTACTGTAATGGCAAAATAGTTTCTCAATTTCAATACTGATAAGAAATGAAAAAAAACAGCAGGTGATACTACTCTTTTCATATAAAGTGGAAGCATACTTTGTTCAATAATTCAAAATACATTGTAATTACACATTTAAATAATAAATTTCTTATTAGGAAAAATTTCTAAAATCATAAAAAAATTCTCAAATTGTCAAGGATCTAAAACTCTGAATACTCCACAAATTATTCTAACTTGAGGAGAATAGTTTTATAAGTATTTTTATTGAATTTATAAAATTAATTGACCAAATCTCAGCCAACTCTTATTTCTAAATTAAGAATTTTAGATCTTTCATCATGAGATTAATAATGCTTTGGCACGAATTTTCTATTTGTTAATCAGTGATTTCAATTATTGATTTGTGTAAAAAATGCATAAATAATCATAAAGAATAGGATATAAACTTACAATCTTTCTTTTTATCAAATCAAACAAAGGCTCAATATCATTAAATTCTAATCGTAATGAGGAGTAAAGATATGGGAATATTCGCTAAGGAATTTTCATTTCTTCAGATTTATGAATAGAGCAGTCATCGAAAATCAATAAAATTTTGTTTTCTATTTAAGGTTTTGAGCTTTTACATAGATTTGAGATGCTAACATGCAAGCAGAAATTGATGTAATAAAATTCAAAACTTAATAATCCTTAAGGGTTTTAAGATACACTCACTTGATTTAATTTATGGCATCCTAAACGACATGTTGAGTGTTTTAAGAAAACTAAAAACAATTTTACACTAAAATCAGAATCAGGAAATATTATTATAAAGTTCTTCAAAAATTTTGTTTTTATCTTTATTCGAGGTGACCACCCTTGACTTTTAAATATCATACTTGAAATTCATTCTTCTAAAATACTTTATATTTATCTTAAATTTTCAGATGTTTGCATTTTTTATATTTTAGCGTTGCTTCGGCTTTTCTATATTTTGGTCACTATTTTGATTCATTTTTTATTTTGGCTTCTTTGTTTCTTTTTATGCTAGATTATCAGATAATAAATTTATCATTTCAGAAGTTTACTTTTTCATGTTCAGAATCGAATCAATAGATCCCTTCTGTATAGTCTGCATACTATGGTATAGCAATGAAAGGGAAATATCTGCAAAAATGACATCGTCCATAATTTACTCTGATTATTTATTAAATGTTCTATTTGGAAAGTATATGTTCCAGAAATGAAAGATATAAGAATAGGCTTTTTGTTGCAATCAATAATAAAAGAAAAGATACAAGTAGAAATAGAGTAAATCATCTAAAAAAAAGATATATCTTGGGTTTTGATTCGATGCATTTACCTAGTAAGGAGTGGGATATAAATCTACTTTTACTTTATAGCCAAATCACGATTATTTTAGAAAACATAATCTAGAAAGTATGATTATATAAGCTTCACTTAGGAATAGATTCTGTAATTAGAAATCAAATATTTTAGGAAGATTAAATCTCTCGATTTGACTTATGGGAAAAGGTCAGAATAATAGTAAAATTACAATAAAACAATATGACCTTTGAACTTTACAATGGTCATATTGTAGTCCTTATTTGTAGTTCTTAAAATTTAATATTTTTTTTTTTATCATCATTAATAAATGTATTTACATAGCCAATATTAACAGCAATTTTGAATAATATAAAAAGAATCAATGTGTCTTGTTTCTTAATTTAAACAGTCTACTGAATATCAGACAATTAGAGAAGAAGGTTATTTTAATCGCAAATTAGATAATATAATATTAAAAATTAGTTCTTTAATAGGAGAAATTAGTTATTTGAATTTTGGAGATTAGAATAATATAAACAAAAAATTCATGTATCATTTGAGGAGCGAAGCATAAAATTTTATTAGTATAAAGAATCAATTATTAAACTTATAATAGTTTAAAACAATTAACTCATTTATAAAGTACAACTATACAAAACAGAAATTATAGTGAGATTCTAAATTAAAGAAATCGGTAACGGTTGAGTATTTAAAAAAAAACAATAGCTAAATATTAATGCTGAAAGAAGTATTTATACTTCAAGCACAACAGTAATGGCTTTTTGGAATGGATGGATAGAATACAATTGATAGCATAACAATCCCTTAAAAGAATAATTTC